TCTGTGAAAATTTAACCGAAGCAGGTTTTTTGTCAAGAAACGCGTAGCCATTGCCCATGTTGTTGTCTGCAAGAATTTCCAAGAAAATACATCGCCCAAGATTATTTTGTTCTCATGGCTTCAGTTTAATTTTCTCGCAGTTTTTAAATAACTAAAATTTTCCACTGATATTGCAGAAAATTAAATTTTTGATACTGCTTGTTATGGATAACTGCACTGAGATTTACAAATCAGAGTCGAGAAATTTTCAAACTATCATGATTCTATTACCAAAGAGTATTACAGTGCGTATATTATAAAGTTAAAAGATACAATAATACCTGTTCGTATTTCAGTTTACATATTATATTTATGAGTAAAAAATATCTACACTATTTTTACCCCAACATCAATCAAATTGATTGGAAGTTTAATGCGATCTTTCCTCCACCATGCCAAAATTTACTACCCATTTTGGAATTTTACTATACGAGTTATATATGAAAAATTGAGATAAAAACAGCGAACATGCACGAACGCCAAAATCACATATAGGCTATATATATAGGCTAAATTGCGTTTGCATCCTTACGTAATGTTATTTTGCACCCCTTATCTTTAGTAAATGTATTATTTATTAACATGTGCTGAAATTTATGTGATAAACAAGTTTACATAAAAAATGATATACGTGCAGTTCTGTGAATTCGTACCGTGAATTCTATTGTATTACGACAACTAGTTATTTAAAAGTTGTTAATTGTTGTCTGCATCTCTCGCCTTAGCTAAATCAGCATAACTCGAGTAACCATCGTTTACGGCGCCTTTCGGTGACTGGTAGCGGTTTTGCGCAAAATTTTTAAGATCAACCTCTTCGCAAGTTGGAACTGGGTTTGTATCTTGAACATCGGCACTTAATTCAGCTTTTCCAAACCTTCGCCAACGATAATACACCACAACATATGCAACACAAAGTACAACAATAATTACAGCCACGACGATGATTAAAGAAACATACCATTCAGTTCCGCCCTTCGAATTTTTGGGGTGTGTTTTTTCTGAAAATTAAATACCATTTTAATTGTTTTTAAAAAATAAGATTATGGTAGAGCTTAAGTAACTGTGCAATGCACTTGCATTAATTTTACACAAGGAATTAATATCTATAATTAAGTATGCCCTTTTTGCAAATCATATTTTGGTTTTCATTCTGGTTTCGTTGTCCACTAATTGCTGTCTCGCAGTAAGTTTACAGGTGGGTTTAGTTTTATGTTAAATCAATCACAAGGGCGATAATTCTGCATTCAACAGCAACTAAGTCAGTGGCTAAATTTTGGTCGAAGGTTAGCCAATGCCATGCAGGGCTAAATTTGAAAAGGACGCGCTTCTTTTCCACAATGCCTTTAGCGCTCTCTCGTTGATCGCGTGATCACGCGCGATATGTCGTGCACACGACGTTATGTTGCAATCCATGCTTTATTCCATGATAATTAAACTTTAAAATATCAATCTTTGACTTTTGCATTGTTAATCTTACTTTTAGTACTGTATATGAAATATTATTGTACATGGGTAGCGAATTAGGGTGGTGTTTTTAGTTCATTAACCAAGCACACCTATTGAAAGGCAAAATGTGACACATTTCTCTCATGATGAAATTTGTTTCTAAAGAGCTTCTATACTGTAAAAATTGTTTGTACATAAGTCTTAGCTAAATATAATTTATGAAGGGAGGCGGACATTCGTTCATTGTAAATAACAATAATTCTATTGTATATATCTTTTTTTACTATACCCCATTTAGTTCTTGTTTTCTTATTATCTTCTTATTCCAAGAAATTATTTTCTTGAAACGAGAATCAGATAAGGCAAGCTTTCCTATTTTAAGAAATATTTGGGATATTACTCAAGATTAATTTTCTCATATTGAGAATTTCAAAAGTTAAGATAATCTTTCTTATTCCAAGAAATTATTTTCTTGAAACGAGAATCAGATAAGGCAAGCTTTCCTATTTTAAGAAATATTTGGGATATTACTCAAGATTAATTTTCTCATATTGAGAATTTCAGAAGTTAAGATAATCTTTCTTATATCAAGAAATTTTTTTCTCAGTATAAGAAAAAAATTTCTAATTCATAAGAATATAATTTCTTGTTTTAAAATCTGTAAATCTTTGGGTTGACGACTTTCTTATTTTAAGAAATTACTTTCTAAACGAGATTTTATATCCTAGAGTTTTAAAAAAAATTCTCGGTTTAAGAAAAATTTTCTTTGCATAAGAAAAAAATTCTTAAGATATGGAGGATTTTTTGCTGTGTATATTCATATATTCCGACAGATTTATTTACAACTAACTTATGAACAACAGACACGGGACTATATCGAACATAGTATGCATGTGTTATTAGTTGGTAATGAATTTCAAAAGAAATTTAAAAGATTGAAAACAATGAAAATCAACATTTAATACCAACTTATTTGAAAAAAACCACTGCAAATCATTTTAATATCCTTGTGAAATTCATTCGTATAATTAGTGCTTACACTTATTCAAATCTGTCTCACAATTATTCATTAAGGGGCGGTTGTAAAAAGTGCGAAAAACTACGAATTTTGAGCTCTATAAGTTTATATTTTGGGGTATAATTTTTAGCCAGGTTACGCCGAACAACGGGCAATTTTAAGATGATTAAAAAAACACTATCCGGTGGATAGGTCTGTATTCAGCTTTCTTACAACCGGCCCCAGGGGCATACCGAATAACAGATACAAACTGCGCGGAAAATAAAACACATAGGCGAACCATGCTTTTTATGTATTGACAACAATAAATCAGTGCAACCTTTTCTTACCGCTAAAAACGACTTCAATTGAATTTCTGCGTGCCAGAGAGTTGCTTTTTCCTACGCATACGTATGTTCCACTGTTTCTTTCATTAATATTCTTGAGAGTCAAAACATTTTCTTTCTTCTTCGTGTCACCAATCTGTATGTCATTTTTATACCACGTCACATCGGCTGGCGGGTATCCGTTTTTTCCCTCACAAAGACATGTGACACTATCACCGATATTAACAATGATCGGACTGGAACAATTGATCGTGACATTTGGTTTTTCTGAAATATAAGTATATGTATCATGCGGCTATGCAAGGTTCAGAAAATAGGAATTACAAGTATTTCTACAATGCCTGTATTAAAAAAAAACATTAACCCTCGTACTCATTCAGTTTAGCATAGCAATTCTGCTATTACTGGTGGATTATGATATCGTCTTTCCTTAATCAATAGTAAATTTTATGATAAAACATTGAAAATCAAGCTCGCTTTAGTAGAAGAACTGCCATGCATGCAATCTTTGTGATTTATTTCTACCACTAAATGAGTTGAGTGAGCTTTTAAAATACAGACGTTATGTGAGTGTTCGGTAACATTTTCTACGCATATGTATAGCTAAATCGATGGATATGTTTTGTTCGAAGGTTAAAATAAACCATAATTTCTAATATTATAATTATCTTCGCCTTTAATGGAGAGTGAATATTCGTGCAGTCGACTTGCAATCGAAATGCAAGTGTGTATCATGTCAATATCCAAGGTACAAATCAAATTGTTTATCTTTCCCCCAACTGTCAGCCAAACATTATGTCGCGACATCCAAATTACCATCCAAATTATTGCGACAGCGAAACATTATGTTTTTGCTGACTCTTGCTTGCCTCGATATTTTCCGTGACTTCCTCTCGGTAACCATTGAGACACTCATGAAAACAAAACTAACCAAATCTTACGGGGGCATAGATTAAATGTATACACATATTTGATATGTAGGAATCCTCTCAGAGGATTTTCGCAATGATCTAACAAATCTTGAATTTCGACATTTTCAAAGACGTCCGTTTTCAATAATGCATAATAAATGGATGATATAGATCCCGCTGATTCGCCGATATCAACATGCTACAGAAAATGTGTAATTTTTGCATTCGTAGCTAAAAGAATACGTTGACTGAATTCAAGAAGAGTTTTGTAGCATGATTTTTACCTCGAAAAACCCTGGGTACGAGGTTGGCTGACCCATCGGTAGCCAGAATTTATTCTCCCACTTCTTTTTTATCAAAATTATTTTTGTGTATTTTTACTCATAGTTTTTACTTTAAATTATATTTACCGTAAAACTCAACCTCAATTGATTTTTCATCCGTGAAAGTGTGGATTTCCCCGATACATTTGTATGTTCCACTATTTGTTTCATTGACATTACTGAGAGTCAACAGGTTTTGCTCCTGTTCTGTGTCACCAAACTGGACACCATCTTTATACCATGTCACATTGGCTGGAGGTTTTCCATCTTTTCCTTCACACAAGCATGTTATATCATCACCAAGATTTACTGCGATGACACTGGAGCAATTGACTGTTATATTTGGTCTCTCTAAAATATATTTTTACATATTTTCACACTCAAAGAAACGCCTGAGTAACGTCAGGTCCATGCGAAAAATCTCAAGAATATAAAAAATTAGCCTTAATTAGGACTCAGTGATGATATAAATGCCTAAAAAACGCGACCCTTTGGAAAACAGGGCTCTGTTGCTGAAAGGCTATCGCGTTAATAAATCTGTTAAAATAAAATTAATGAACAACTATTCGCCTAAGTTTAGGACGCCGTCTTGCTGAGATTAAACGAGACGTGAAACGACTTTTGGTTTAGTGAAATAAAAATAGAAAACCTGACGGTAGCATGGATGTAGCCTTGTTGGCAAGACTACTTCAACCTCAAAATCATGAAATTAAGGGATAACGTTCATGGGGTTGTTGCATTTATTGTGAAACGACCATTGTTAATTCTGCCAATTTCGTATCAAAACGATGAAAATTGCATCACTAATAAAGTGGTGTATACGGACGGATCTCTTTTCGATCGCATTAAAAGAATCTATCAGCATTCAGCAGCACTATACATGAATAACATACGCCTAATTATTGCCCTAGTTAAAGCCCCCTATTTAAATAATCACCTGAACATTCTACTCCAGCGTCATAATCATGAGAGCACGAGCTATAGAGGACACCCAAACCATCATGTGAACAACTTTTAATATTTTCTTCTTTTCCAGTACAATGAAGGTTGTTTAACCAAATTGGTCCAGAACCAGGAATAACTTCGCTCCTCTGAAGAGTTCTAACAGCGTTGGGGTAACCAAGTTGACGACAGACAACCCTGGCATCTTGTAAATCCCATCCACTGTCGCAGATCGTTCCCCATTTCCCCTTGTAATATACCTGAACCCGACCAGTTCCATCTTCTCTCAGTGGCCCTTGCAGCCTGAGTGACACATTTATAGCTGTAAATAGTTGTGTATATAAAAGAGTAAATATATAATATTGTGTTTATATGCAATTTAATAACTTAATAATTTTGAACGAGTAAAAAAAATATACTATTTTATACACTACCACTGGATACTACTATTATATAGTGCTGCTTGTTGGTATTATTTGTTGTTATTGCATGGTATCATTAATTTTATTTAATATTTAGAACTCAGATTTAGCACTCAGGATTTAGAACTCAGAATGTGCATTAAGATCCGTAGGAAGGCACACTTGATATTTTTTATGCCTATGAAACATTTGAGTGCAAGCAAATGGAATTATTTCTTTGTTAAAAGATAAAAAACACAAAGCATGCTCATTTAATCACACAATTACAACGTTGTGGCACTGAATAGAGTCAGAAATGTCGCGATTACTGTTTCTATTGGTCATTCACAGTGTCAGATGGATTCATTTACCGTACTATCCTACATTATTATTACCTGTCTTAGAACATTCTACTCCAGCGTCCCCAGAATGAGAGCAAGATTGAGCTTCCCCCCAACCGCTATGGAGACAACTGGTAATATTTTGTTCTTTCCCAGTGCAACCAACATTGGTTAGCCATATTTTTCCAGAGCCAGGAAGAACCAAGTTTCTTTGAAGAGTTCCAAAAGCATCAGGATATCCAAGTTGACGACATACCACGTTCGCATCTTTAGAATCCCACTCGGAATCACAAATTGTTCCCCATTGGCCATTGTACAATACTTCAACACGACCGATACCTTCTTTACTTGATGGTCCTTGCAACCTGATTGGCGGAGTTATAGCTGAAAAGAAGAGATGGACTGACAACATAACAAGAAACACAATGGGGACTGGTAACATAACTACTGACTACAACGAAACTTCGTGGATTTTTAAGATCTTAAAAATTTTTCAGTAATGCCGATTTAAGGCAATGCTTTCAATAGAAATCTGAATATATAATATATTTCCAGAATATATGAATATAGCCCCCCTCAAATCACTTTCGATTGACGCCAATAAAACTTCACATAGAGTGCTTTAATTGCCTTATTTAGTATTCAGTTCTTTGCCGATAAGTGAAGTAAATGGTTCTAAACTATTTTATTGTTCAGTAGAAAAGTGCATTTTTTTATTACTTATATTGACAACAAATTTGAAAGTTGCTTACCTATTGTGATGTATTTATTTATGATTTATAATCTCTATAAGACTCGAACTCGCAGAGTAACTGTTAAATACATGTAGTAAATAATAGCTTTAACGCCTTTAAATTATTGAAATGACGACTATTTCAACCTTATGAAAAATTGTTCTCCAACCTTCAACCGACAACAAATTGGAGAGGCCGATCGAGGAAAACCAGTGGCGAATTTGGTGGCAGTCGCAATCGCATTGGTAGATTTTTATTTTAAAGTATTTATTTTTTGAAATCCATAACCAACAGGGTTGTTATCAAGGTGTTTTGAATTTAAAATTTAGCTGTGTAATTTATTTTGACTACCCTAGATCCGCCACTGAGGTATACTGCATAAATGTATAAGTACAGACCTGTTGTAAAACATTGAACTCCAGCGTCACGATCATGGGTACAAGGACTAACTCCCCAAGAACTGTGAGAACAATTTACTATATTGTGCTCTTCACCAGAACAATCGACATCTCTTAACCACACTTGTCCAGAACCTGGAGGAACTTCGCTTCTTTGAAGAGTTCTTACAGCATCCACATATCCAAGTTGATGGCACACAACCCTAGCATCTTTGAAATCCCATGAATAATCACAGATTGTACCCCAATATCCATGATAGAACACTTCAACTCGACCTGCCCCTTTTTCACTCAATGGCCCACGCAACCTTAGCGACACAGGGGTATTTGAAAAATCTATAAGCATATATATGTTGGGCAATGTAAGAAAAAGTAATTTAAAACTACAATAAAAAAAGATAACTTAATCGAAAGACAATTGTGTAGATGCGTAGCATCTTGAAAGAATGTCAACGTAAATTAGATTGGATAATGATGGTATATGTATAAAAATATAGCATCATATTATATGATGTAAAAAAATCTGGCCTTAAGGCGCTGTTACACTATGCAATTTTCTTTGCCATTTGTGATGCAATTACAATTTTGGGAGATTATAATTCGTGAAGATTGTTCGAAGTGCTAATAAACGTTAGCAGATCGTTAGAAATATTCGTATTTGTCAACTTTAGAAGTCTTTAGGAGTAGAATTGGACTGCAAGTTGCAAGGAAAGTTCCATAGTATAATTCAGAAACTTTTATCTAATAATTAAATAGCATTGTTTCTTTTTTGGTTTAAATAAAGCAAATAATGAATGTTTTTATTCGTGGAATGGAAGAAATATTTTCACTCAGCTCACCTCGTTGAATGGAAAATTCTATTTTTCAACTGATGAAAATATTCATAACAGTGCACTCATAAAAATTATTATTAACAAGCAACTGCGGAAGAAAGAAGACCATTAAAGATATTATTGACAGGAAAACATTTGAAATCAAAGATTTTAGTTAAAAGTCATAATACAACGGAAAACTTTCATTCCAACAACATTGTGATAATTTATAATCAATCTAATAATTTATCACAATATCGATTTATTGAACATTTTACATGTTTTTCTACATTCAACTCCTACGTCTGTTGAATGTGAACAATAGCTAACCCTTTCAATTGATCTAACTTAATTTTAATTAATGTGATAATTGATTATTTCGATTTTTTCGATCTTTTACCTGTTGTACTACATTCAACTCCTACATCTCTTGAATGTGAGCAAGAGGTATCACCCCAACCCCTACTATGAACACAACTTGCAATATTAAACTCCGAGCCAGCACATTCGACATTTTGTAACCATATCTGCCCAGAACCTGAAGGGACCTGATTCGTAATAAGAGCCCGAGCAACATCTTGGTAACCAAGCTGACGACATGCCACCCTGGCATCTTTTAAATTCCATTTACTGTCGCAGATTGTTCCCCAGGATCCATCGAAGAGTACCTCGACACGACCATTACCATCGTCACGTAATGGTCCTTGTAACCTGAGTGGCGCAGTTATAGCTGTAAAATAGTGAACATGGACAATTGAACGTGTGATATGATAACGTGATATTATCGTGATAACCATGTTTGCACGAGTAACTGGTAATTACACCATGAGATATGAAAAACGCACAAGACCTTGGGTTATTTAATTTAATTGTCGTGATCGAGTCATTTCAGCGATGAGAAATACTCCGGTTGTAAATTTATCTTTATTTCTGTATACAAATCGGTCATTATTGACTACACACCAGTAGAAATATTCTATCATATAAGCCACCCTGAAATGCATGTTCACGACACTTACGCCTAAACGAAAACCAAGCATTACGCGAAATCATTTAAGCGCTATTTTCCATAATTGTTAAAAAATGATCGGTATTATATATAAGAGTGATCGAAGCTTACTTTATATATTCATTGTATGCATTAAATTCGAATTTGGTGATTTGGGCAGCCGTGGCGGTTTATATAACAAAGCATGCAGTAATTGATATATTGACGACATACGTGATTCTTCTATGTAGTGTAAACATACCAAAAACGCTTTAAAATCTGTACATTAAGCTGATTTCTGATCAATTATACTGACAAGAAATATTAGCCGTAAGTTATAAGTAATAGCTTCTTCAGACCATAATCTGTAATCATACGTAATATTAAAGTCGCTATTAGAGGTAATAATGGTAATTGCACTGAGTGGAGTGCAATTTGGTGTGAAATCGAACGCGTGATTACAAAATCGCATGACCCGGTCAAGCGGAAGCAGGAGTGTGATTTGTAATCACAAGTTTGATTTCACACCAAAATTACACGACATGAAGTGCAATTTTCACTTTATTATATTCATTTTGAATAGTACCGTAGCCAGCCTGTCGATTTGTTCCGCTATGCTAATATTTTGGTGTTCACTGACTGTGAAAACAATACATTTCTAAAGACATGAATATTATAATAACTCGAAATTTACATAGCGGGACAAAATCGTCAGGCTGGCTACGCCACTGATTTTGAAATCATACAAATAATTGAACGACTCAAAACGATTTATTGACTAAACGAACCGTAAACAGTGTAAAATGCGAGTAATTTTTATCAATTTTTGGCAAAACATTTTGCGGGGCATTTGCGGGGCATTTTAAGATTCAAAATAATAAAATTTTGTGCTATTTTCCCCTGTAATTTGATTGGATGGTTACACTAAATCTGACTGGTTATTGTGGTGAAGACCTTCAATCTTATTGGCTTATAAATGATGTGATTAATGCCCAAAAATAGTGCGATTTGGGAATTAATCACACTATTTTTAACCAATGAGATTGCAAGAAACACCATTAATTTCAAAATGAATATAATAAATTTAAAAACCTTCTACTTTTAACAAGCGCGGTAAAATATTACCATCGCTCACGCCGGAGTAAATAGCCTAATAGGCATACTGTAATTCACAATTATTGTTAATTATTATTACATAATATTTTTTTACGTTCTCATTGGTCAATTTGTACAAGGTGAATGAATTTTATATAGAACCAACGTCACGGCAGTGCGGTTATAAAATTTATTGCACTGTTAAAATGGCGGCAATTATTACGGAAACAAATAAAAAATTTGAGAAAAAATTAGAAAAAATTATCGAAAAATCCACACCTGAAAAGACGAGGGTACGTGTTCTCGTATTTAAAGGTAAGCAAGTGTTATATATTTATTGAAGTATTTATGTGTATTTATAAATGTCTTTATTTGTTTACTCAAAATGAACATTACTGACTTGTTATAATACTGTAGAATTATATAAGACGCGAGACAAAATTTGAAATTAAAGTTATTTCTATCCAACATAAGATTATTGCAGTTGCAGACATTGGTTTAAGAAGGCGGGCAGAAACTCAATACTTTTATGATTTTTTTTTTCATAATTTTATATTACCTTTAACAGATTCTCCCGTTACGTCATTTCAGCAACTAACCATTAATATTGCAAGTAGGTGTAATGCCCTAGTTGCTGAAATGATATTATTGGGGAACCTGTTTAAGGTAAAATAAAAATACAAAATTTTTTTTACTAAAGTACTGAGTTTCTGCCCGTCTTAATTCGAAGTCTGCAACTGCAATATGGAGGGTAGAAGTTGCTTTAATTTCAAATTTTTTCTCGTGCCTTAAATAATTCTATTATAACAGGGCAGTCATCTTTGATTGCAAAATCCTGGCATTATGAACTTTTATGTTAATTAATGTCCCGAATTTCTGGTTATGATATTAAAAGCATTCTTTGTTCGGGTTGCGTTATCGGGTTTCACATTCAATCGTTCATAAACAAGGAACTCAAAGTTCAATACAGCTTTCGGCTTCGCATCGTGCCCCTTGTTTTTTATGAACTCGTGCATGTAAAACCCGATAACGCACTCAGAGAGTGCTTTAATCCTTAATTAGTATAGGCTGCTGACTTTTTTCAACACCAATCTAACGTGAAAATTAAGAGAATTCAGTGAATAACTCTATTATAACCTTATTGTTTTTCAACATATACATCGGAGTAAGTAATAAGGGTAAAAAATATTCATGTGGAAATTACATGTGTTTCTCTTCACACAGAACTAGAAGAAGAGTCCCACGTGCATGGTACGTACTACGTACTGTCATATAAAAGTGTCACAACATATTTGCCATCTATTTCTGTAATGTTTAAAGCGGGTGATATCAGAGAGTTGAATTTCACGAGATGTTATTGCTCTCATGAATTCTTTGCATGGACTTACCTGTTGTTGAGCAGTTTACTCCGACATCTCGAGAATGTGAGCAATAAGGATGATCCCATCTATAAGAACAACTTGTTATATTTTGCTCTTCTCCAGTACAAGCCACGTGAGAAAACCATATCCGTCCAGAACCAGTAGGAAACTCGTTTCTTTTGAGAGTTCTGACAGCATCGGGATAACCCAGTTGAAGACAAATAACTCTAGTGTCTCTCATATCCCATTGATAATTACAAATTGTTCCCCAATTACCACGATAGAATACTTCAACACGACCCGACCCTGTTTCATTTAATGGTCCTTGTAACCTGACCGGCCCAGGTGTAGCTGAAAAAACTGCAAAATATTGCACATTTGAATCAAGCATGTCTGTTCAAATGTAGCTAAAATAAAGACACGTAATATGTATTTTGCACCTGCATCGTTCAATTTAAAGTCAATTACTTGTGATATAGTTTGTACAAACGGTTATATAAATATCATTTAGGTTAATTTCAGCTTTGCTAGCAATTTAGAAGCTTAGATTAAATATTTTATAGTACTGAAATGCTCGCCAAAATGAAGCCATGATGCCGAATCCGTGTGCACATTTCAAATTAAATGTACGGTTTAATAGAACATACAGTTTTTTTTCAAATTGATTGTCCTTATACGTCAGCGAACATGACCACCCCACTTATCAATGCTGGTGGCGCCACAATAGCAATCACTCGGATTACCAACTACGAGCGAGGTTCTGGAATACATTCTAAACAGCCTTTTTTACAAGATTTCTCTACATATCCAGCTAAGTGGCATTATAATTCCTTAGTGACATTATTTCCTTTTAAAAGGGAAACTCCGTCGGAAAAGTTTGGCAAGACGAACACGGACAGTGTTCTTTTGGGCAGTATTTATACCCCAATGGTATAATTAGTACTATTCATTTACCTGTTGAGGAACATTCTACTCCGACGTCGTTAGAATGGAAGCAATAATGATTCCCCCAACCATTATGAGAACAATCTGTAATATTCTTTTCTTCCCCGGTACAAGCGACATCAGATAACCATATCTGTCCGGAACCAGAAGGAACCTGGTGCCTTTCAAGAATTCTATTAACATCTGCATACCCAAGTTGTCGACATACAACTATGGCATCTCTCATATCCCATTCAGAATCGCAGATTGTCCCCCAATATCCATGATATAATACTTCAACACGACCAGTACCATTTGCACTCAGCGGTCCTTGCAACCTGACCAGCACAGGTGTATTTGAAAAATCTTAGGAATAATATATCCGTATGAAATTATGAGGCAAATATAATAAATTGGTTCAAATAGAATACACAATGTCTGAATAATATTAACAGATATTTCCCCGTAACAAATGTTATGAAAACACAGAATTTAAAACATGTTTTTTTCAAATTTTTCAGCCATTTAGTTTTGGATGCCACTGGCGTTTGCAACTTTTAAGCCATGGGCATGACACGATTCGTCACGGTCAGTCAGCAAGTTGCATGTTTCAATTGTTTAAAAACATCTCAACATGCATGTATAATTATGTAAATAAATATCCGGCCTTAAGATAAGTGTTTACCGAATGACTAACAAGGCCGTAACTAGCCCGCTTAAATGGGGGGTGTGTATATTCATACATTCAGGTTTATATACCGTAGACGTAATCAGTCGGGCATAGGACGAATATAATTATTATATACTACTTGTTAAAGTTTGGTGTTTGTAGCGTTTCAATGGCCGACAGCGAATCCCGCGCGCGAGAATGACAAAGAGGAGATAACTTTGAACACGCGCAGCGCACCTGGACGTGCGAAGGTGCGGCCTTATGATTGCTTCTGCATTTGAAATTATGTCTTTTATGAATAGATATTTCGTTGCTTACCTTGTTCTTTGATATTTCTTTGACAATTCGTATATAATAAAAGCTTCTTTACGAAGACCTCAGGAAACATTATGTTTTGTGGCCCTTCAATTACCGATATTTCGGTCATCAAAACATTATGATTCCTTCGATAGCGATAAATAAGCGTTAAATGAGTACGCACCCTCCCTCCCCCACCCACACACAATTAAGCTTCTAGCTACAGCCCTGAATTCACTAATACCTTTTGTTGAACATTCAACTCCAGCGTCTCTAGAATGAGAGCAGTAAGAACGCCCCCAATTATTATCAGGACAGCTTACAATATTGTTTTCTTCCCCAGAGCAGGAAACACCAGATAACCACTTCTTTCCAGAACCAGGAGGTACCTCGCCACTTTTGAGGGCCCTAGCAGCATCTGTATAACCAAGTTGACGACATACAACCCTAGCATCTCTCATATCCCATCCATCATCACAGATTGTCCCCCATTGTTCATGAAAAAATACTTCAACCCGACCAGTACCATTTGAACTTGATGGTCCTTGCAACCTTATTAAAACAGCTGTTAAAATAATATAATAAAAAGTGTTTGTCTAACTCCAGGAGAAGTCACACTCAGTGAGAAATCATACTGAGCATTTGCATTGTAATTGGGTGTAGGTCATAATGACACGTGTACCTTTCCTCTATAATGGTTATTTATGAAGTTATACAGCAATTAAAAAGAATTATCGTCGGATCGTGACCCAAGGACCATGCATAAAAAAGCTGATTTCGACTCAAACACATCAGGTCTGAGTTTTAAATCACTTTGTAACTCTTCCTCGACAAGGATAATAAATTTTGTAACGCTTTTCTCACTAGTACACGGAGAGTATGTAAAATACAGATCTCAGACCAAAGGGATAGATTTTGTGCCGGACCAACCAGCAAGTTTGTTTACATTTTCAGTAACCCAATCACAAAGTATATTCGGTAGATAAACAAGGTAATTTAACTCGCCATTTAAAGATATATCGATCTTTTTCCCTGCGCAAATAGAGTAAACAAGCTTTAAAACACTGAATACCAGGAGAGAAAAGGGTATTATATAATATGAAAAATTATTGCGATGGCAATATCCTTTTTCCCTCGATCGGGGGATAGATATCAAACGTTTAATATAGCTAAATAGATAAAATATACCGTTAAAATTGGATTGGGAGTTTCAATACGCTAGATTTTGCTGAACTCAAAATGGTCTAACTCACTGCTTTTCTGGTCGGAAAACGATCACCTTGCGAACGGCCACGCCCTTCTTTCATCTTCAGGTTTTTTTACCCTGGCATATTATACACAATATCGTTGTTCTAACGTTTCTCAGGCATATTTGACTTTTCATAAAAAAACGAAATCTTATTTTGCTTGCACGGCAGAGTTTAAAAGGCAAAGCCAAAGGAATAAAATATTCTTAGCTTTCGAGCTTAGAACCAGAATTGTTGACATCTTTTTTCGAGAGCCATTTTTGTCTTGAAAACGAGCTTTTACTAAAAACAGGTATATCTCGTCAGATATAAATTATAATGAAAGATTTAGCAATGTTCAAATTATAATGTTATCAAAATTTAAATTTTCCATTTTTATTTCTATATAAAACTTTTTTGAAAACCATAGTGATACCTGGTATAAATTTTACTTTATGCTAATCTAAGCACCGATACCTTTTCAAACATATCCGGTATATAATATATTTTATAATAGTTAACAATAAAAAAGGAATTTGTAACATGCGTGTTTTGTCATTTATTAACTGATACAGTTCAATTACACTGAACAAATTCTCACAAAATAAGCGGGAATTGTATTCTATGAAAATACCTTTTTTAGAACATTCCACTCCGACGTCTTGATCGTGGAAACAATGATTGTTTTCCCAACCATTATGAGAACAGCTTGTTAAATTCTGTTCTTTGCCAGTACAAGAGACGTAAGATAACCATACTGGTCCAGAACCAGAAGGAACAAGGTGCCTAGGAAGTGTCCTAACATATGTATGATTTAGATCATAACCGAGTTGACGACAAACAACCTTAGCATCTCTCATATCCCATCCATAATCACAGATTGTCCCCCAATCACGATGATAGAATACTTCAACGCGACCAGTACCATTTGCACTTGATGGCCCTTGTAATCTTATTCTCACCCCCGCGTCTACAAAATCTTTAAAAAACGTGTGCGTTAGCCTGTGTTCGATTTAAAAATAATATAATGGATTGTTAGATGCTGGAGAATTTACGAGAAATTTGTAAGGGGAAAGATTGGAAAAGATAATTATTTTTCAGCTTGATGATTTAGCTCCAAGTTGTTAAATTTATATGGTGTTCATTGACAATAGGTAATCGATTAATTTCGAACATCAAAAATTATAACAACTTGAAATTTTCATAGCGGGAAAGAACTATCAACCTGAATGGCTACGCACTTGTCCAACAGCCAAAGATGTTGAAGCCTAATTTTTCTTTTTAACTCTTTTACGTACGCGACGTCTCTACCATTTTCCGGACGTTCTGTTTACGCAAGGTTATCTTAGCAAGTATTTACCCTATAAATACTCAGAAGGTTTCATTTGAAAGCTTAAAGTATCATATTTCATCTGATGTATTTGTTTTTGCAATTCATAATTATCCCCGTCCGGATTGAACATAAATCCCAAAATTACATGCGACTGCATCGTTAAAAATTGCGAAGAACGGCCACACGTTTGGCTGAAAATCAACTAAAATACATCGTCTGAATGATTTTTACCGGTAAATTTGATTTCCGGGGCATCTGGTTTCCTAGGATACACATATCAAAACATACAGCCCGAAAGACGCCCGAAAGACGCCCGAAGGAGATTTCCGCCCGACCGAGTGTTTGTGCAAATTCCCAAATTTAAGGAAAAATATGTACATCTGGCGTATGATATTTAATACAAAAATAGAGCAGAATTTTATAAACAAAATGGTGGGCGAACCGTCGCTTTTGGCTGAAAAGAAACGAAGATACAGCGCTACAAAGATAAGGCATTGCATCAAACTTGCCAAAACGCATCTTTATGATTGAGTGAGACATTTGTTTGTTGAAATATCTCGATAACTCGCCTAAAACGCGATGAAAATTTACGAAATCAACGCAAAAGTAAGATTATGATATTTACTATTCAGTCGTAGAATTTTCATGTCCCAAGTATTCGTTTTGTCCAAGTTTTTAAGTTTTCAATTAACGTGCCCTTGAAGACGCATATTCCAGGGCGGGTATTATAAATTAAGATGAAATGATGTTATAACTGAATATACTTCTTCCTGAATTAATTATTTTCATTGATATTTTCATACCAGTTGTGGAACATTCCACTCCAGCGTCTTGATTATGAGAACAATAATGAACTCCCCAAGGACTGTGGGTACAATTCGTGATGTTTTGTTCTTTTCCATTACAAGCGACGTAAGATAACCATATAAGTCCTGAACCTCGAGGAAAAGTCCCCCTTCGAAGCGTTCTTACAGCGTCTTTATAACCAAGTTGACGACATACAACCTTCGCATCTCTTAAATCCCATCCATTATCACAGATTGTTCCCCAATGGCCATGATAAAATACTTCAACACGACCTGTACCATTTGTACTCAATGGTCCTTGCAACCGGAGGGAAACAGGCGTAGCTGACAAATCTTAAAAGAACATCAATGCGCGATCAACTAACATTAGTGTTGTTTGTCTGCAATCACGTGATTTTTACTTACATGATCGATGGCTAATGTTATGAAGTAAACAAAGTTAACTAATGTTTATGTGCGTAGTTTTGTTCTGAAAGCCGGCATATTTAAAGTATATTCTTCCCGTGACGTCTTCTTTAAAGAAATTATTAAAAAAATATATGGTAGATTCTTCTGCCTTATTGATAGGTATAGAAATCATTGTGAATATGTAAGAATCGTTACAAAATATAGGTAAAGAATATAAAATAACATTTTACGATGTTGAGTTCATATCTCAGACATACCTGTGCTAGTGCATTCAACCCCGGCATCTCGACTATGCCCGCAAGTATTATCCCCCCAACCTCTGTGATGACAACTTGTTATATTTTGTTCCTTCCCATTGCAATCGACCTGATACAGCCATATTTGTCCAGAACCAGAAGGAACCTGCCTACCATAAAGTGCTCTGGCAGCATCTTTATAACCAAGTTGACGACATACAACCTGAGCATCTCTTATATCCCATCCATCATCACAGATTGTTCCCCATTGTCCATTGTAGAAAACGTCAACACGACCAGTACCATTTGCACTTATTGGTCCTTGCAATCTCATCTTTACCGCTTTAAGATGACAAAAGGGGTGTTTAATTATTTTGGGCTTAATTTGGAAAATCTGAAGTTGTATTTGCTGCATGCAATTTCAATGTATTTATACATAGCAATTTTTGATCAGAGAAATGTTTCTCTGAGTGATCAATCTGTAGAACGTATAGTTAAACGAATTAAATATTGTACACTTACACGAAATTTCCACTAAACGTTTCGACTATTTCTCCTAACGAGATTAATTTTAGCAGTTTAAACTCATCACATCATGCACGAGAATATACCACTGCGTATCGCAGTATCGTCCCGGGGTAATTTGCGTAATGAAACCCGCTATTGTCTTCTATTTCGATGAATTGATGTTCCCCAGCTTTAGAGTCGATGGCAAATTTTTCAGTTATTCGAAAACAAATACAGCCATGAAGGTGACGTAAACATCGTCCGTTTCTCGCTGCATTAGGGAGACAGTTTTGGACACTTACAGCTTAAGTAACGGTTATGAATTTAATTTTTAAGACATAAAAAAGAAAATCTTTTTTTCTTAAGGAATAAACGTCGTAGTTAATTTTTCGAATATTAAAACAGTAATTAATCGCTTTCGACTCCAAAAGCTTTGAAGTGATATCTGTTCTTTGAAAATTCAAAATTAAAAAGTTTACAAAAATATCTAATTTTTTAATTTCTTTTAAATTGGTGTCGTTTTAATTGAAACACAAACTTTTTTCTGAGCCAATCAGCAAGTTGCTGATTACCTGTCTTCTACTCGTCCGAACTTTCCGGATGTGCAAAATGGACAAATTAAATTCGGTTATGTACTGTCAACATACATGGGTGTAATAAATCTGCCAGCGGAATCTCTACGCTTGTACATCCCTTTGTCCCAGCTCAGGCTGAGCAGAAACAGGGCAGGCTCAGCGGCATCATTACCCTAGCACAGAGCTTCGCGCCGGCTCAGGGTTTGATCGACAGCACTGCATGCAAGATCGGCACGGACAAATTATTTTCATCTGCACTGACAGATTCTTCTTTCCCCTCTTTGTCCCAATCTAAGGGCCTGCTTCCTGGCTAAAGAAATTATTTTCAGCCTAGTCGATGAAACTCCAGTAGATAGTGATTTCAAAAAATAATGTTGATTCCAAAACGTTTTCTTACCTGTGCTGGAACATTCAACCCCGGCGTCGTAATAATGAGAACAATGATTATTAGCCCCCCAACCATTATGAGAACACTTTCTAATGTTATTTTCCTTTCCATTACAAGCTACGTGGGCTAACCATATCAGTCCCGAACCGAAAGGAACCAGGCCTCTATAAAGAGTTCTACTGTGTACATGTTCTAGATCATAACCAAGTTGATGACACACAACTCTAGCATCTTGCGTATCCCAACCATAATCACAGATTGTCCCCCAATAACCATGATATAATACTTCAACACGACCAATACCATATGCGCTTAATGGTCCTTGTAACCTCAGTTGAACTGGAGAAGTGAAAAGATCTAAAAAAGTATGTATGATGCTAATGCATGGGACAAAAGTAGATGAGAATTCGCATAATAGTGGTCTAAATGTCAAGTAATTATGCAATCAAGTAATTATCTTTTCAAACATAATCGTGAATAAAAGCCTGGACTGAAAAACATTTTACTAATGGTGTATCAGCAAAGCCTTTCCTCGATGCTCGTTAGCAAATATATCCTTGCTCCCTGTCCAAGAAAATTGTCAACTTTTTTACAACTTTTTCACCAAATCTATTGACACCATCATACCTCTTGTAGAACATTCTACTCCGGCATCATAAAAATGGGTGCAGGAATGAGCGCCCCAACCATTGTGATGACAGCTTGTAATATTTTCTTCCTCTCCAGTGCAATCAAGAGCAACTAGCCAAATATTTCCAGAACCAGAAGGAACCTCATTCCTCTGAAGAGTTCTTGCAACATCTTGATAACCAAGCTGACGACATGCGACTTTAGCATCTTTCATATCCCATCCATCATCGCAGATTGTTCCCCAGTATCCTTTGTGCAATACTTCAACACGGCCAGAACCATTGGCACTTGATAGTCCTTGTAACCTTAGCGACCCAGATAGGAAACCTGAATTGACAATGCATCTCAAACGTTTGCATGCTAATGCCCAACATATTTTGTTTAGCAATGATTTAGGAAATGGAGGGAGGTTCCTAACAAGGTTCCTTCACATACTTAATTCCACGTGTCGCTGTCTTAAAAACTTTTAGTGCATGCTTTTATACTTGTTATTGTGAAAATTGGGCGGTGCAATGGAAACTTCCCCCCTCGAACTTTTCTTTCTTGGAATGCGAATATACATAAAAATGAATAACTCTATATTCATTGCAATACTTAGGTTGGAGTATCATAATCTCAATTTCTATAATGATTTACCTTGACACTGATGTGGTACAAATTGAATTAAAAAAAGAACCGTGCCAGTTATGAAGGCGATGCTTGTCATCTCGTGAACTGGTAACTGGAATGATAAAATATGCTGAGTGAATTGAAAACAGGCATGGAAATTTTTTAATTGAATGTTTTGTGTTAACAACGAGGAAAATCACAGATTTTTAAAAAGCCAGTAATAATCTCCGGCCGAACAACCGAACTGTTTCCTTAACACGTCGCTCGTGTGTTTATGCGAAAAATACCAGTTTTATAAAAAAAAGGAAAGATATTTGCTGATTTGTAGGAGAATTAGGTATGTTTTAATTTCAGGGTTAGGTATATCTGAAAAATAAAAAATATATATTGAGGTGAATGTATATATAAAGACTCAATTTAGATCTAGTATGCGACAGTGAACATGGGGGCGAATGGGAATATGCTCTAAAAACAATATTTACAAATATATATTATTACACGTGTGGTGTGTGGAGAGAGATTAAAGAAAACTTATAAGAACAGAGTTTTTGTTCAAAGCAAGCTAGTTTTAGTTGAACTGAGGCGAATGACGAGCGAGTTACGAAAGATTGTCAGTGAGGCGAGCCAGAAAATACTCGAGGACAAGTTACAGATCAGAGGACGAAGGTGTTGGACGTGTGGTTCTGAGAAGAATCTGCAACGAGAAAGTCTACAATTCAAAAACGATTATCCCGAAGCGGTGGATTGCGGACTCGTTGAACCGGACGTTTGAGAAACAATTCCATGAATTGTTGTGGGTAAAACGTTCGTGCAGCTCAATAAGGAATTGCTTGTGGTGCCGGTAAGAATGGTCAATGTGACAGATAATGTACGCCGCTTTGGCTGGAATTTATTTGGCAAAGTGTGAAACCATTTGCTCGGTGGCTGAACTTGATTCAAATAAAGTGAGAGCGAACGTGGTCCAACGAAGTTCAATAAGTATGATGCAATTTGAACATTTGAACCTAATTTTCCAAGAAAGTGTAGCTGAAGTGGATGACGAGAAAAGGAGTGAAGTTTATGAATTTCTTTGTGAAAACGCTGATTTATTTGCGAATTATTTTAGTGATCTCGGGAGAACGGATATCGTGACCCATGCATCGTATTGAGATTGGGGGGGGGGTAAGACCAATCAAACAGCAACCTAGAAGGATGCCACAAACAAAGAAAGTAGTAGATCTTCAAGCAGTGGAAGACATGCTATAGCAAAAAGTAATAGAGCCTTTAACAAGCCCTTGGGCGTTACCAGTAGTCTTTGTGAAGAAAAAGGATGGTACTAAGCGAATTTGCGTGGACAATAGAAAATCTTATGTAACAAGAAAGGATTCTTTTCCTTTTCCCAGGATTGATGACACGTTAGACGCGTTAAAATGGTTCTCGACGCTAGATCTAATAAGCGAGTAAAGGCGTGTCATGATGAAACTTGGAAACAAGGAGAAAACCGCTTTCACCAATGCAGAAGGACTGTGGAAGTTACTTGTAATGCCATTTGGACTTTGCAATGCATCAGCGAATTTCGAGAGATTGATGGACTATCTATTAGCTGGGTCACCGTGGAGTGTTTGTTTCGTCTACTTAGACGATATAATCGTTCAACGGAGGACATTTGCCGAGAAACTTGACAACTTACGTAAGGTGTTTAGCTGCATGCTTGCGAAGAGCAGGGCTGAAGCTGTCGGTCAAGAAGCAACTTATCTCGCCGTAAAGTAAAGTATTCTGTTCCGGTATAGTAAAATATAACTAATTTAAATCCCATAAACTTACTAACGAAATAAATGAATTTGACTTGTGGGTATAGTCCCTCATGCATTATATAATCACTACAATAAATCTCTTCCTGGGTTCTTTTAGCAGAATTGTATCGTATTTTAAAAATAAATTACCCATTTAAATAACCCACATTTACTCAAAATTCATTATAATACCCACCCTGGAATATCTGTCCTAGAGGACAGGTAAATTTAAAATTTAAAAACTTGAGCAAAACGAATACTTGGGACATGAAAATTCTAATGAACGCAAGCTCCACGCAAGTTAACTACGTGATTAGTTAATCATCCGACTAACTACGTTTTGTGCAACGCAGTTAAGTCGTGTAGTTAACAAATTATAGTTAAGGATTTAACTACAGTGATTAGCGCTAATCACAGTTAAAGTTAACGACGTTTTTATACAACCGGCCCCTGAATTGTATCGTATTTTGTATTTTGTATCGTAAATTACCCAATGCCCATGCGTGCAAATTCCATGCATTCGGCTATGATTTTAGTCAACAATACAATAAAAACAAAACATTATACAAAACATTGGCAACATCTGCACGCATTCGTCTACTTTTAAGTCTTTCCCCACTAAAATAAAACAATTTCTTCTTGTTACACTTCTGATACTGATAATACGTATTCTGTGGTGCAACTACTTGTGGACACATTTACTCAACTCATTATAGCACCCACCCTGGAATATCCGTCCCCGAGGACAGGTAAATTCAAAATTTAAAAAACTTGGGCATAACGAATACTTGGGACATGAAAATTCTACAACTGAAATCTGAATATAAAATATCTTAATCTTTCTCTTGTGTTGATTTTGTAAATTTTCATCGCGTTTTAGGCGAGTTATCGCAATATTTCAACAAACAAATGTCTCACTCAATCTCAAAGATGCATTGTGGAAAGTATGAAGCAATGCCTTATCTTTGTAGTGTTGTATTTTCGTTTCTTTTCAGTCAAAAGTGACGGTTCGTCCACCATTTTGTTTATCAAATTCTGCTCTATTTGTGTACTAAATATCATATGCTACAAGTACATATTTTGCCTTATGTGGGCATTTGCGGAAACACTCGGCCGTGCGGAAATCTCCTTCGGGCGTCTTTCGGGCTGTATGCATTAGCTGTATGTTTTGATATCACATGATATGTGTAATCCTGGTAAGAATCACTCATACGACGTATTTTAGTTGATTTTCAGCCTAATGTGTGGCTGTTCTTCGCAATTTTTAGCGATGCGGTTGCATGTAATTTTGCGATTATGCTCAATCCGGAGAGGGATAGTTATGGATTGCAAAAACAAATACATCAGATGAAAGATCATACTTTAAGCTTTCAAAAGACACCTTCTCCGTATTCATGTATATAAATACTTGCTAAGATAACCTTATGTAAACAGAACGTCCGGAAAATAGTAAAGATCCTCGAGTACGATAAAATATCACGTTCGTCGTGATTTATTAGTAAACGGTTTCACTTACCAAATAATTATGTAAATGAAATAGTTCTAATTCGAAATATTTTGTACGCAAAATTCCGGCTAGTGCATGTAAACCAGGCATGAAAATTTCTTAACGGGATATTCTACAGTTAACAGCGAGGATAATCAGGGGCGGATCTAGGGGTAGTCAAACTAGTCACGCGACTTGGGTAAAATTGCACAAATATAATAATTAAAAAAACTTCCAAGTATTCCAGTTTAAATATCCCATACAGCGTTAGAAGTCCGCATATTAATTCTCAAATGCTCTCCAGTAAGTCCAGTTATATATCTCATGCATCGCTTGAGCCAGCGTGCAGATTAGTCAAAAAAGCGGATGACTGCGTGAATTTTGACTAATCTGAGGCAGATTCAAGCCATTTGATTGGTGAATTCACATTTTGACTAAAGTTTGCGGGGGGTTGACTAAATTGCGTAATATTCTTGCGTTCTGATTGGCTGTCTATAGAAAACTTCTGGGTTCTGATTGGCTTGATGCGTTTGACTAGTTCGCTGCGTGGGGTAATCTCGTCAACTTCAGTCAACAGGAATAATAATAACATTTTAGTTCGCAAAGTTTCAAATTTGCAAAACATTCTTTATCGAATATCGATCGCTCATGCGAATTGATAATGCCAGTCTACGAGTACAAGACAATCAGGTCTGCGATTCGATTTGCAAAAGGCAGATCTTTCGAAGGAAATTCACGCAAATGCAAATGCACTATAAATTCACGGCAAATCAGTCGAAGAGCTTCTTGCCGCTATTTACGACACAAACAATATGCTGCCGAGAAATTTCCCTTCTTGGTAAGAAGTGTACGGTATTAGAGTAAATAATTCTGTTGATTTTCATATAAGCAATATATTACAATAATAATGAACTCAATATGTTTTGTGGCACTATAAATGTATGAGCCAGGTTTGTTATTGTATTTGCATATATTAGCGGTTCCCGGTCACACCAAAAGGTCATTTAGAGCTCATTATGATTTCATATCATTTAATATTTACATCAACCGAAGCTTTCCTGTCAGCATTTTTATCTAACAAACCAGTTTAGCACACAGATTTACAAATTTCTTTGCTGAAACATGAAAGTCGAAGTTTAAGCTTATAAAAGCATAGTTTGTCGTATAGTGTGGTGTAATATGATCTGTAATATGTAATATTAATTTTCATTTAAAAATAAAATGCGCACCCCCTTCCTCCCCCCACGAATCGTTCCGAAAAAATAATAGGGAGAATTGGAGAAATGTACCTGCGGTAGTCGGACCGAAAATTTTTGACTAGGGTATGAAAATTCCTAGATCCGCCCCTGAGGATAATCACAGATTCTTAAAAAGCCAGTATTAATCTCCGGCCGCACACAGTCGAGTTGATTTCCTTTGACACGTTGCTCGCGTATGTGTGCAAAAATACCAGTTTTGTGACAAGAGGAAAGATATTGCTTAATTTGTAGCAGAATTGGGTATGTCTTAATGTGAGGTTTAGCGATATCTAAAATAGATAGCATAACTTGTTTTTGGCTTTGCTAGGCTTGCCGATAACGATAAATAACTTTTAACATAAAGTCCTTTATTCAAATTTCAAATTTAATTATAATTTATAGGATACCCCCTGGTATTAATGACCAATTCAATGCTTTTTCTTTTTCTCTGAAACAACGGGGGTTCGTATATACATGCGATGATATTTGTTTAAATTCCTGCCTGTTCACCAAATTTCACCTATTAAACTCTCCTGTTACAGAAAGACAACAGGTTTTTTCTTGGCAGTGAGATACTCTGTTTTCCGTTAAATGTCAGGCGAACAATATTGGTATTAATAAAGAAACAAGAGAAAAGTTGAACAAAATAAGTCATGTTTAATGTTCACGTGATTGATACTTTTATATATATTTGTATGTAGCTATTTGGCATGGACATCAACCTTTTTGACAACGATGCATGCTAACGACATAAAAATGTTTTGGATTATTCTAGGCAAGTGATTATTTTTCTCTTTTCATACTGATCACAAGTGGCATGGCACACCTCATTAATTTTCCTCTACTTTACATAAACAGAAAGCGTCATAATATGAGTCAATTTTTTGACACTCTTATATGTGAAAGCAAATATATGAAAGCAAATCAAATTTTAGTGAAATTTAGCTGTGTAATTTCTGATCGGCACAATGTGCGAAGTGCGGAGATTGTTGCAAAGAGACCCTCACAAGTTAGAATGAGATTCTGAATTACCGTGTTTAGGTATGTTTTATAATGATGTATAGCAAGGAATTCCTGGGTTTTGAAATGTTGTGGAAAGCGAAGAGGTAAAGGTAGATCAACGGCGAAATCTTGGATGGAATATTGAAAATAAAGACAACAGTCGCACAGAAATAATTATATAGCTACAAGTCTCGGAATGAAAAATATGTAACATATGAAACGTTGAAACGTTAAATTTAACGTCAAATCTCATTACAGTTTAGTAAAATATAACTAATTTAAATTGGATAAACTTGACAAACGAATTAAGTGAATTTGATTTATGAATTATGAGGCCAAATCCTAATGGTCTCCCGCTATAAGTACTAATCACTTCCTAAAATCTTTTCACCAAATTGTAATCGTATTTTTTTTAAAAAGTAGGTCAATGATATTTTACGTACTTTTATTCTTCGGCACTTTTCAGTTTTCAGCTATTGCTCAAACGATATCCAATGGACAAATTCCTCAAAATATTTAGAGATCTAGATCATCATATGATACGCAGAATGAAGTACCGATTTTGATATATATCTTAGAATTTGAAAAGGCTTATCAAGACGAATGGATAATTTTCATGTCTGCTGTTGTCATGATAATACATACCCCTTGTTCCGCTAGGGTCGCTATGCATTCCTTTACATTTTGTTGCGACAAAATAACATACATATGCCATTATAAACAGCAAGAAAGCTATTCATCTTAACTGCAAGGAAAGCGTTTTTATTATATGTGTATATAGAGATTTATGAACAGCAGAATGATGGAATAAAAATCGTAATTCACTGTGTAAATTAATTTCATGCAATTTTTGATTGCACGTTTGATGTTTATCATGTGTGAAAAAATGCCATATACATTGCTTTTAATTGGACGTACGATATTCTTCACACGTAAAAAATTGTCGTATGTCATTTTGCGGCAATTTGTTTACATTTTCTTTCAAGATGGCGTCGAAATATAGGAGTGAGATTCAAAATATTTTTCTCATATTCAAGATATTTTCACATTCTCAAATCTTTCGGAAAGAATATCGATCTAACTTCTATTGAACAAAATTACAAAGAAAGGATTCAATAGGAATTCGTTTAGGGTTCAATGGGATTTCCTTTAGGATTCCGTAGAAATTCCCTCAGCATTAAATAGGAATTCGTTTAGGATTCAAAAGGAATTCCTTTCGGATTCTATAGGAATTCCTTGAGGATTCTCTTGGAATTCCTTTAGGATTCTAAAGGAATTCCTTTAGGATTCTATAGTAATTCCTTTTAGATTCTATAGGAATTCCTTTTAGATTCTATAGGAATTCCTTTAAGATTCTATAGGAATTCCTTTAGGAAATCCTATCGAAATTCGTATTACAATTCCTATTGGAAAAGTCCGAAAATCCTATACAATATCCTATAGGAATTTCCTATAGGATTTTTTCGTAAGGGAAATATGTTGTGATGCATTTTTGTTGCTCGCTGTGTTTTTGTATATTAACGTTTTTGTGTCGTTGTCAAATTGATTTCTATATACATTTAATAAACAAATTGCATCATAGTTGGCTCGATTGTACGATTTTTATTATGAACTCGTTGCGAAGGATCTCAAACTCACTCGCTCGCTACGCTCACTCGTTCGTTTTGCGATTCTTCACAACTCGCACATAAAAATCGTACCCACTCGCTAACCATGAAGTAATCTCTATGTATGCTTAGGATCTACAGCGATATTGTGTGGTAAAATTGATCTACTTTGCAATTTTGTCTAGCTGAGATATATACATGCATGCGTGTTAAAAATGTAAAGAAATATGGCTACTTTTCTCCTTAAATGATATATTTTAGAACTTCATAAGAGTTAAAATAAATGTATTTAGATGTGCATACCTTTGTTCTAAGATAATCAAATATCTCATCAATACATTTTCTTGTTTCTTCTTCATGTAGAATTTTGCAAATCCGAATGGATTCGCCTTTTGCCCTGTTTGAAAATTCTTTATTCGGAAATGATGACAGTGCGATACCTAAACACTCCTTATTCGTGCTTAAGATTTTCCCCATGCATATATTTCAGTGTATATCGCTCTTTTTATTATTATTACTATATTTAAACTAATTTAACCTCGTTACCTTTCAGAAGTTTGTTTTTCAAAGGGCCGTGCAAATTTAAAATTCGGGTGGAATCAATAATTTAACAAGCACCTCTTTTGCACTTTTGAATAATAAACAGTGAAGTGAAATCATAAATCGTTAGCCGCCATGTTTTCTGCATTTTCTGCCAGTCGCTTCCTTCTTCGAGTCCTCCCTAATATTCCTTGCGCGCTCGCTCAGCTTAACCACTGACCTATGTAAAAGCCTGTAGTGTTCCCATATTTATTTTATTTAAAGCGCCCAGAAATGGGGCTGGTATTTTTTTGTATTACTGGGTTCCCATCAAATAGTTATAGTACATCAAAATGAATTTTTTTTTCTTAGACTTAAAATGACATAATAGTTGTGTCTAAATTTGTTGACAGCAGACAAATTCCGTTTAAATCATTACGTAATGTTATTATGCACCCCCTACTTTTTTAGTAGCTAAATGTATTTTTTTTTAATATTTGCTGAAAATTATGTGATAACATGCATTGACGCATGTCATTATCGTAATATCGCAACTAGTTATTTTAAGCTTTGATAAGTGTTTCCTGTGTCTCTCGATTTATCTAATTCTGCATAGCTTGAGTAATCATCCTTTACGGCATCTCCTGGTGACTGGTAGCGGTGTTTCGCTAAATTTTTAAGATCAACTTCTTCGTAAACTTTAACTTGATCTGCATTTGTATCTTGAGCACCGGTACTCGATCCAGCATTTCTGTTTCCTAGCCATCGTCGACGATAATACACAACAGCATATGCAACACAAAGTAAAATAATAATTACAGCCACGACGATGATAAAAGGAATATACCATTCAGTTCCACCCTTCGAATCTTTGGAGGGTGATCTTTCTGAAAATTAAAGTTGATTATTTGCTATATTATATTTGAAATACAAGTCTATTAGTTTATGTTTTCAAAACGACAGCCAAACATTTTTTGTCTTAAGCCACCGATGTTTTCATGCGATGACATCGTGCCGGAAAGCATCGAGACGCTCGTAAAAGTGAAAGCAAACCTACTCACGATTCTCTCAGAAGCTAAGTTTATATAAAGCTATATAAATATTAAATACTTGTTTAAATTTCCAACGTTTTGGAATCCTCTCAGGAGATTTTCGCTATAGACTATATAACAACTCTCGAATTTGGATATTTTGCGAGTTGCCTGTTAATTTGCAATCATATGAATTATTTTACACAACTATTGGTCGAAATAGATCCAGGCGAAAAAAATGTATTTCCCTTTGGCTTAATAAATCTGATGTAGAGTACATGTATGTGCTTTTTCGCAAAAGTTGGCTAATTCAAAGAGAGTTCTGCAAAAAAATCCATCGCTTCGAAACACCTAATGCCAAGATGGCCTTTTCTTCTGCACGTACTTTAAAATTACCTATTTCCTAATCTTCATCGTCGACACGCCGAGTGTTTTCTCAAGAAGCCGCTTTCGAGATAAGCCGCGTGATAATAATAACGTCACTTCATTGTACAGTGAAATTGTCCGGGGTACGAAGATGAATTTACCGATATGTGGCTTGAATTATTGATAGTCTTTCCTACCCCTTGTACTTTTACCAAGATTATTTATTGTTTCTTTCTCATACGTTTTACCTAAGGCTAAATTATATTTACCGTAATAAAAATCGACCTCAATTGATTTTTCATCCGTGAGAGTGTAGCTTTTTCCAACACATTTGTATGTTCCATTATCTGTTTTATTGACATTACTGAGAGTCAACATGTTTTGCTCCTGTTCTGTTTTACCAAACTGGACGCCATCTTTATACCATGTCACATTGGCTGGAGGTTTTCCACCTTTTCCTTCACACAAGCATGTTATATCATCACCAAGATTTACTGCGATGAAACTGGAGCAATTGACTGTTACATTTGGTCTCTCTGAAATGTTAGACAGGCAAAAATATCATTTTTAATCACACGTTTTTACACTCAAAGAAACATGAAGCAAACACTTTACGCTCATGCGAAACATTTCATAAATATCATATATATTAAGCTTCAGACTTGGACTGTTTTCCAACACTCTTTAAATTTTTATTGCATACGTGTGTCACGACTAGGTAATTAGCATGTTAATTACTTTATGGACGCGGGGGCGATGCTATAAAACGCCCTAAAATGCATTGACTTTACTCTTGTTTTTAACGCTACCGAACGTTAGTCACTGTCCTTCAAAGCAAACTTTATCGGGGAGAACGGGGAATATTGTATGCGGAGTTGGAGAACTTATTCGTCTAGTCCTAGCAAAGATGTAAGCTACCGTGGTTTATGTATGTTTGTTATACGTTTGTCTTGTTTATATCCCATCTCATATGTAAATATTATAGCTATCTTACAATCGCCTTTTATAGTTTTCACCGACTGGTTATCAAATAAATTTTACACCGCACAAAGTAGAGCATATTTGGTTTGCCCGTCTGGTTGACACTTCGTTCCCGTCCGCAGGGACACGACAACGTGTAAAGCACGATCATTTAAAAAACAGGTCACGGAAAGGCTACCATGCCTAAAATTATTTTGAGAAAGCCTTTTTAGCAAACTTTTAATACACGCGCTTGAAGTGAAAACTTAGAGACAATGTAAACAAATTACTGGCGTTTAAGTTGTAAATTTCAGGTTGCATTTATTTGTAACTTGGGAGATATTCATGCAGGCTTTAACAAACGTTATAACTTCCCAACTTTTTCGTAGTATTAGACAGAGTAGCCTCGCGTCAACCGGAAAGCGAACGCCACGAGAACGAAAACATTTCTGGGCTACTTATATTTATGTATATACTCATGTTTCACTTCTGTCCGATGGATTTCTTTTGAAATCGCATATGTATGCAATTAAAATAATCAATAGAAGGATCTGAACACATGATTATCACACCATTAATTTTTGGGCTGGTTATATAAAGCCCTGTTTAAATAATCACCTGTTGGAGAACATTCTACTCCGGCGTCTCGATCATGAGAACATGGACTATAACTGACACCCCAACCATCATGTAAACAACTTTTAATATTTTCTTCTTCTCCCGTACAAACAATGTTGTTTAACCATATCGGTCCAGAACCAGGGATAAACTCGTTCCTCGGAAGAGTCCTCACAACGTTGTGGTAACCAAGTTGACGACATACAACCCTGGCATCTCGCAAATCCCATCGATTGTCACAGATTGTTCCCCATTGTCCCTTGTAGTATACCTCAACCCGACCAGTACCATCTTCACTTAGTGGCCCTTGTAGCCTGAGTGACGCAGTTATTACTGTAAAAATGTGTGAAGGATCTGTATATAAGCGAATATATAAATGCATATTTTGCTTTTACAGTTTTCATGGTAAGACAAATCAAGCATCTCTAGCCACACCTTTTTGAACTGCTTCTGGAGACAAGCTGAGGTCTGAAGATGAAATTTTGTTTTTTGTGATATGGACAGCGATAAAAGCGCATGAAGCTACTGCGAAACGACTTGCAAAATTGACGTAATAAGTTCTGTTGAAATTATCAACTTCTATATCATGGTGACAGACGAATTCATTTCATATACTCTCCGACATTGATTTTAAATAATTAATTACCTGTCCTGGAACATTTAACTCCAGCGTCACTAGAGTGATAGCAATTAGGAGCTCCGCCCCAACCATTATGAATACAACTTGCAATATTTTTTTCTTTCCCGGTGCAAAAAACATCGGATAACCATATTTTTCCTGAGCCGGGAGGAACCTTGTTCGTTTTAAGAGTTCGAACAGCATCAGGATATCCAAGTTGACGACATACAACCCTAGCATCTCTCAAATCCCATTCTGTATCACAAATTGTCCCCCATTGTCCATTGTAAAACACTTCAACACGACCAGTACCTTCTTTACTTGATTGTTTTTGTAAACGAATTGGCGCCGTTATGGCTGAAAAAGAAGTGTAGAAAACCGTTTGTAGACGATAATAGAGAAGGAAAGTATAGAAACGCTAGTTAAAATCGGTTTACCATATACACAGGGTTCCTTCTTTTTTTAACAACATTTGAAAATGAAATTTCCAGTTTTACCCTACAAGGTAATATACTTACATATATTGTTTTATTTCCATTCAAAATTACAAGAATATTATTTAAGAAAGTGTCATGTAATATCTTCGCATAGAGTACTTTATTTTTCTATGAAGTATTGCCGATGATGTATGTAAATGGTTTAAAAAGTGTATTCATACAGTTATCAATTAAATTACCAAGAAATTTGAAAATTGTTCTATCCAGCGCTTGTATATAATTATAATCTGAGCACACACCAGATTCGAATTCGCAGAATAAATGTCAAATTTGTTTACTGTAATTACAGAGGTGACTATTGAAAATTCTGGCCTCTGGTTGGTCGAGCAAAACTCAGCTTTTTTCGCAATAATCACCTGGGAAGATTTCTCAAAATGGCATGCATCGAGTTGTCTTTGTCAAAGTGACAGAAGAAGGCATGAGTTATTTTAACAAAAATGCTGTTTTAGAGCGCTTTTTAACTTTATTTTGCGAAATTATTCTTAGATTTCGTGGAAATGTCTCACGAGAGAGCTCAATTCGGTTGTTATGAATGCGTCACTGTTATATTGTCATTTGTTTATAAGATTAGATATTGTTTGATTTTTAACATCTTGCGCCCTTCGCCGAATTTTTTTCAAATTTTGATCACGGGAGTTGCCTGGTGTACAGATGTAACTATAAACATGCAGACAAAACTATCAACGATCAACGCGCGAATCTGGGCCGCCAGGATTTCATACATTTTTAAGATTTATACGACTCAGTATTTCGAAATTTACCCCATTACACTGCAATTTAACTTCGATTCTTGTGCGATGGTTTTGTTATTTTTTGCATTTGTCACGAACTACTTTTTAAAAACAACCATTTTAGCGTCGATTCAGATTTAGGGGACGCAGATTTAGGAGACCCACTATTCTCAATTGATTTATGTAACATCGCTTTCTTAAAAACAATGGCTATTTTGAACAATTGAATCGCTAATCAATGTAAATTATCCTATTACACGAAATTCTAATAGCTTTTACTATATATAAATAGGAATTATTTTGACCTTATACAACGTTGGTCTTGTTAGAGAGACCTGGAAGATACCTCAAAATGTATTCTAAATACTTACTTGTCGTAGAACATTGAACTCCAACGTCATGATCATGTGTGCAAGAATAAACTCCCCAAGCACTGTGAGGACAACTTGTTATATTGTGCTCTTTCCCAGTACAATATACATCTGATGACCACACTTGTCCAGAACCTTTGGGGACTTCGTCTCTTTCAAGAGTTTTAACAGCATCCAGATAGCCAAGTTGATGACACACAACCTTAGTATTTTTGAAATCCCATGAACTATCACAGATTGTACCCCAATATCCATGATAGAACACTTCAACACGACCTGTACCTTTTTCACTTGATGGCCCACGCAACCTTAGCGACACAGGCGTAGTTGAAAAATCTATAAGGACATATAATTTATGTTGAGCGATTTAAGAGAAAGTTTAAAATCACAAGAAAAACCACAATGCATGGTGTAGCTGCAAAGCCTCGAAATACTGTGAACATATATAAATAAGGTTAGTTAATGATAGTATAGTTATAAATACATAACATTTTATTATTATGTATCCAAAGTATATGGTGGTAATTTATGCTAATGAAAATGTTACGCCTTTCTTAAGTTTCTATTGCACGGTCTAGTTGTGCAAATAGCTTTTACCATTGCACGGCTGCTTTCACTAAATTCAAACACTCGCAGAATCAATCGTATTAATGTTTTTGCACCTATTTGATCGCGAACTCGAATAGTATCGCCACTAGGATTATTATATACGATCAAAAACTGTTGGCTTCAGGTAGCTAACACTTTCAATTGATCTAATTAATTTTAAATAATGTGATAATTGTTTATTTTGATTTTTTCGATCTTTTACCTGTTGTACTACATTCAACTCCTGCAACTCTTGAATGTGAGCAAGAAGTAACACCCCAACCGTCATAGAAACAACTTGCAATATTACGCTCTGAGCCAATACATTCGACATTTTTTAAGGATATCTGTCCAGAACCAGAAGGAACCTGATTCTTGTAAAGGACCCGAGCAACATTTTGAAAACCAAGTTGACGACAAACAACCCTGGCATCTCTTAAATCCCATCCATATTCACAGATAGTTCCCCAGGTTCCGTTGAAGAATATTTCAATACGACCAATACCGTCGTCACTTAATGGTCCTTGTAACCTAACTGACGCAGTTATAGCTGTAAAATAGTAAACGTGGCCAATATCAATTGAATATGTGATATGATGGGATATAATCATTCTGCTATGTTCTATCACAATACCCGCCGGGTGTAGTTAATCTCCCAGCGTAATCGCGCTCCGCACGGGGATAAATCTGCATAATTGTGTTATGTGATAGATAATTTCATTTATAAATTTTGATGAGACGTCTGATGTTATATTTCATGGTAATTAATAAAGAGAATAATTTACCATAACACTGACTACAGATGAGTAACTTAACTTCCAGAAAAATGCTAGAATCTTGTCATATCTTTGCCATTTCTTTCACAAAAATATGAGTAAAATTGGATATTTTAAAAATACACGGCCGTTGCGAGTTTCTATGACTACAGTGCTTCCTCTTCCAGAAAAATATTTCAATATTTATTTTCTCACATACCACCACAGTTAATTTAGGTTATGCCAAAAAAGAGAAGTTTTAGAGCGATTGAAAAAACAGTATCCTGTGGATAGGGGTATCCGCCTTTCGTACAACTGGCCCGGGTTTATGCAAAAAATGGTTCCTCTCTCGTCACGTGTCTATTGTATTTTAGCCAAATTTACAATGGCATTCGTCACGCTAAACTCATCAACCTTGACTTGAAAAATATGTTAATTATAAGATTGCTATTGGTTTATCTGTGCAAAATACAATAGACATGTGATGAGACAGGAACGATTTTTTCATAAATCTACCTCAACATAGTTAAAGAGTTGTATTGTAGCTTCATGTGGTCTCCAAACCATGTATATTCTGTTAACTGTGATACCACGTACCCTCCACCCCTTAACCACAGCCCCAATCCGTATTAAGTTTCTATCATATTACAATACCCATACTTAACAAATTATTTGTTTAACCGAGGCGAGGGGTTGCTGCATGAATGTATTTTTAGTAATAGTTTGGCAAATTTTAAATTGAAACGAGCGATCCCACAAAACTATCTCTAATTTACTTTGTGGCAAGCTAGCTTTTTTACTGTTAAGGTTATCTTGTAGAGAAGTAATGGGATGAGATTTTTCGTGCGCTTAGAAAAACAGTAATAAAAGTTTCCAAAATTATGGAGAACAAATATGGAGAACAATGGAACACGTGTTGACGCATGACCGCATCAAATTTTTTGCGGATACAAGGTAATCTGGGATGTACGGACCGGGTCTGATGTATTATCTGGCTAGTGACATTCAATGATATGATCCTCCTGATATTTGAATTGATGCGTTATTCACTTCACAGAACTGGAAGAGTTTGCATGCTTGGTACGTACTTTACATATTTACCCAAGTGTTAAAACTTTTCTGCCAACTGTTTTTCTGTAAAATATGTAGTCGTGACAATAATTTATGTAACTTTGACTTCATATCTGAGAGACTTGGATTTTTACGAGAGCTTAGTGCTTTAATAAATTCCAACGATTTACCTGTTGTTGAACATTTTACTCCAACGTCTGCAGAATGTGAGCAATAACCATAATCCCATCTATAAAAGCAACTTGTTATATTTTGTTCATCCCCAGAACAAGCGACGTAAGAAAACCATATCTGTCCAGAACCAGCAGGAACCTCATGTCTTCGAAGAGTTCTAACCGCATCGGGATAACCAAGTTGACGACAAATAACTCTAGTGTCTCTTATATTCCATCCATCATCACAGATTGTTCCCCATTGACCATGATAGAATACCTCAACACGACCAGTTCCTGTTCCACTTGAAGGTCCTTGTAATCTGACCGAAACAGGTGAACCTAAAAATTCTGAAGAACGTTCCGCCAAAATGAAGCAGGAGGGACAAACGCATTAGGCCTACATGTTATGCCCCAACACTTTATAATATCGCCTGTATTCTAAAAGCTCACTCACACTCAAACTCATTGAGTGGTAGATCTTAATCTTCTCATAACGTTTCAATGGCGGTATTTCCAGCCGAAAAGGGGCTTGATTTTCAGTGATTTACCTTATATCTTTCCATCTATTCAGAAAAAACTTTCTCATTGATCAGCATTAACGAAATTTATATGTCAAACTCGATGAGTAAGAGTGTGAGTGAGCTTTTTGAATACAGGCGTATGTCTGAAGACGTCTTGCTTAGATTATCGTAGCCAGGAGACACAAATTGTGTCCCAGGTCAGAAATAAATGTCTAAAATAGATGATGTGGATTGATATTTTGTTATTTCGGTGAGTAAAAACTACCCTGTGCGTACGTGTCGATATGGACATCTGCACTTCTATACAGGGTGAGTAAAAAAACTGACACCTTTGAAAATCAAATTAGGCGGATAGCGGCTGTAATGTGACAGAAGTTGCCCTAAGTTGCCTTTGAATTATAAACGAGTTGTTCCTTTTCACCGCTACCTGATAATATTTTAAACTCTTCCCAGTGTTTATTTCATTTTATTTGATTCCACATTTTATATTGGGCTTCCAAAACATTTTTTTAAAAAAATAGTTTGCAAAATGACAGTTAAATTGCTGACGTTTTGGAAGCGCAAACACAAGCGTCTCGTCTTTGCCAATCAGCAAGTTGCTAATTACCAGTCTCTACGCGTTCAAATTTTGCGCGTGCGCGTAATTACCATGATCATTGAACGTTCATGGTCCATGACATGGAATTTGGGCAACTTTGGATTCCGCTATGTTCTGTCACAATACCTGGGTGTAATTATTCCCCTAGCCGAATTAGTACCCTTGCAAGGCGCACCGCGCCCGTTCGGGAATAAATTAAAAAAATAAAAGCAGGTGTTAAAGTTTTACCATTGAAATACCTTTTACGAATAAAAAATAAAAATTTAACCGATAACTTGTACCTGTTGGACTACATTCAACTCCCACATCTTTGCGGTGGCCGCAAATATGAAGACCCCAACCTCCATGAGAGCAACTTGCTATAGTCCGTTCTGTTCCTGTGCAATCAACATCATCTAACCATATTTGTCCAGAACCAGAAGGAGCCTGCCCACCATGAAGTGGTCGGGCAGCATCTTTATAACCAAGTTGACGACATACAACCTGAGCATTTCTCAAATTCCACCCATGATCACAAATTGTCCCCCATTGTCCACGATATAATACTTCAACACGACCAGTACCATTTGAACTTGATGGTCCTTGCAACCTTACCAATACAGCTTCTGCAAGATAATATTAGGAGATTGTCACACCCAGAGAAACAGCTAGAAGATGGTTTAATCCTCTCTCAACAGTAATATGTACATGGAAAATATTATTCCCCACTAATAATGGAGTATAAACTTTAAATTTTTTTTTTAAGTTAGAATTAGTATTCGAAATTGCATATAGGAGATGTTTGAGCAAAATTGAATAAGGCACGATCATTTCGATGAAGCAACATGGCCTGAAAATTCGGCAATGAATAACGTTCCACTTTCGTAGAAATTTGCTTAGGGTGACACCCTATGTCCTATGTAAGTTTATAATAAACTCTATAATAGCTACGAAATGCCAAAATATGTAGGTCGGTTATAATTTGCCTCGATACCATCTCAGAGGCCATACTTGATTTGAATTCTCTAATTTCCTCGATAAACGCGTGATTGGGGAAAATATGTCAATATGGCCAGGATTAGAGCTGGCTTCACCCACAGTTAATAGAATACATGGTTTAGAGCCTACATAAAAGTACAATAGAACTTATTAACTATGTCGGGGAACATTTATGCAAAAAGTTGTTTCTTATTCGTCATGTGTCTATTGTATTTTGAACAAATAAACAAATGGTAAGGTTTGCATTAACATTGAGAGTGTACGTACACTTTCTTATACAATTTCAATAATAAAAATATTCCTCTCGGAGCATATTTGGGGATTTCGACTTGTCTTCAAATTTTCAGTGTTTAAAGATCTATAAAATTGATGATGTTTTGGACGTGGACAAACATGACTTCTCTATTGTAGGTTACATAGAAAGCAAGCTTTAATAATTCTCCTACTCATTTCTTATACGGGACGCAATATCGGATTTTTGAATTAGCGCTAAGTCACGCATGCAATAGCGTCAATATTGGGATGTATTTCTGGCCATGAGTTTTAGTTTAGGCTAGGATACATTAACGGTGTATTAATTGCTATAGTTAATGGACCATTCCCCTGTTAAACTAACTGATTCCGAACTAGGGAAATTTGTCGGTTCTAAGGTATACAGCTATAGAGAGAGCATCTCAAAGATTGTAAAATCGGAAAAATATCGACGTGTTAAGTTGGCAAATTTTATATTTAAGGATTAATGCACTCTGTGAGTGCATCATCGGGTTTTATATGCACGAGTTGACGAACAAGGAACGAGCCGAGTGCAGTATTAAACTTCGAGTTCCTTGTTTGTGAGCGAGTGCATGTAAAACCCGATAATGCACAAAAAAAGAGTGCTTTAATGCTTTTAATAATATTCATTTTGAGTAAACTCGTAAAAACTTTGTATCATTAACTAAACAACACATGCTTATCTTTAAATACTAAAACACCCCAAGCGGTTGCACGTTTATTATTTCTCGGTGTGGATTCATCTATAATTACATTAATTTCATTTTCGTTCTCTTCGCTAAGTTCGGCAATTTCTTGTTTGTTGCCGCCATTTTGATAGTGCAATGAATCCTATAACGTCACTGCCGTGGCGTTGTTTTTGTATAACATTCACTCACGTGGTAGAGATCGACCAATCAGAACGTAAGTTTACAAAAAATGAATATTAAAATTGAATATTACGTTCAAAAAAGTGCTCTAAAAAGTTAAAAGTGATAACGTTCTTTGAGCCTAATGCTAATTTATTTCGCAGGCTGATATTTTTCACACCTTACAATATTTCGCCACCAAACTTTTCTGATTACTAATTTTGGGATGCTCTTTTCATCGTACTGAAGAGAATCTCTACATAGTTTTGAACACAATTTATTAAGATAATGGTACATTGTATAAAACAACAATTGAGAATGGTAATCTATAAAAATACCTTTCCTAGTACATTGTACTCCGACGTCTTGATAATGAGAACAATAATTGTTTCCCCAACCATTATGAAAACAACTTGTTAAATTTTGTTCTTCCCCAGTACAAGAGACGCGAGATAGCCATACTGGACCAGAACCGGAACGAACACGATATCCAGGAATTGCCGTAACGTACGTATGATCTAGATCATAACCAAGTTGACGACATACAACTTTGGCATCTCTCATATCCCATCCATAATCGCAGATTGTCCCCCAATAACCATGATAGAATAATTCAACACGACCAGTACCATTTGCACTTGATGGTCCTTGCAATCTTATTCTTATAGCCTCATCTGCAAAATCTTTCAAAGAAATCTACGTCAGCCTGTGTTCATAATCGAGCTAATTAGGTCAACAACATGATGGAAAGCAAGATGCAAAATGTTTGAAAGAATTAATGTAAAGGCTTAAGACCAATAGCACAAGCAGCTTTACGATTTAGGCTCAAGTTACTTAACTTGTGGTGTTCAATGACTGTGAGACCGATTAACTTCACAAATGATTAATTCTCATAACGTTTCATAATAGTAATAATAAATTTTCCAAGTAATAAAGTCAACTTGAATATTATGCACTGAATATGCAGTTGTAAACAGTATCTTTGTATTAAGGTTAAAAACATTTAGTTTGCTGGTTGAATAAAACGATAGAATTGCTTTCTATTTTGAACTTAACCACCGTTTAAGCTAAACGGGCTTGATACAACCGGCCCTGTTCAACAGGCCAAAGATGTTGAAGCTTCATTTCTGTTTTTAAAGGATGCATTGCTGCTATTCATTTAATATATCGCTGTATGTTATTTACCGGTTGGAGGTCCGGATGCAAAAAACTGTGCCCGAGGTCTATGTTTATTTTTTAACATTGACTTTATCAAACACAAAAAATACAACAAATTTAACGAACAAACTTATTGAACTATAAAAACTATAAATTTTGCAGGCCATTTTAGAGTTTTAATACGTCAACAACTCTATAAAAGGGTATTCTAGTCGGGAAAGACCCAATAAAATGGCAAATATCGTCACCATAGCAACTAAATCACGGCAAATTGATTAAAAAACAACGTATTGAAAAGCGAAAAAAGACGTAAAAATCCAAACTAAGACGTTTTTGGGTATGCTTTTTATTTCTAACATTTTTTAGCCCTTCCCAGGAAGGTTTTCACACATTTTGGCCGTACGTTGCTTTGGTTTTGTCACTTTGCTCACATTTTTCACAGCGAGGAGGTTGTATTTCACAGTGGGCCGCATGCACTTTATAGCAGGCCGGGCCGGTTGGTCAGCAGTGAAACACTTCTCAGCCAATCAGATGGCTTTATTTACATAATTAAAAAATGAAGCTACTTATTTCCTGCATTAATTATTTTCATTGATATTTTCATACCAGTTGTGGAACATTCCACTCCAGCGTCTTGATAATGATTACAATATTTAACTCCCCAAGGACTGTGGGTACAACTCGTGATGTTTTGTTCTTTTCCATTACAATCGACGTGAGACAACCATATAACTCCTGAACCTGAAGGAAAAGTGTCCCTTCGAAGCGTTCTTGCAGCGTCTTTATAACCAAGCTGATGACATACAACTCTTGCATCTCTCAAATCCCATCCATCATCACAGATTGTTCCCCAATGACCATGATAGAATATTTCAACACGTCCAGTACCATTTGTACTCAATGGTCCTTGTAACCGGATGGAAACAGGCGTAGCTGACAAATCTTATGAGAAATTTATTGATAATACACGATCAGTTAACGTTAATAAACGTTAGTATTGTTTGTTTGAAATCGTAGGAAGTTTTTCAATTTCCCAATGATGGGTAATGTTGTGAAGTAATATTAAAACTTTAGTTATAGACAAACTAACCCGTTAGATCTTCGACTTTCAAGATATCAAAATAGTACATGCAACATTCGTTTAAGGATTGTAAAAGTCAAAGTCGATTTTCCAATATTTATGCAGTAACAGCTGTCGATTGACTCGACTCCAAAAGCTTCAAAGGGATAATTGTTTTCAAAAAATTCATTTGACTGACATTATTATTGAAATACAAATTTTCCTTTTCGCCCATAAACATATCTTGCTAATTGCCAGTTTTCTACTCGTCCGGCTCTGTCGCACATGCGACATGCAATGTCAACAAACTTCTATCGACATACCTGGGTATAATAATTCTGCCTACAGAATCTACCATAGGATAGGGATTTGCACCGGCTCAGAGAAGGAAGGGTGACAGATTTATTATTTGCTTCACAGCGTTTGAAGAACGGCGCGGGTGAATTTTTTTCACCTGCGCAGTTGATAAAAGAGGTCGATAAAAAGGATGTATATTTTTCAAAAAAGAACCTAAATTATCTTTATCTTACCTGTGTTAGAACATTCAACTCCGGCGTCGTAAGAATGAGAACAATAATTATTAGCCCCCCAACCATTATGAGAACAACTTCTAATGTTATATTCCTTTCCATTACAAGCTACGTGAGCTAACCATATCAGTCCCGCACCAGGAGGAACCAGGCCTCTATAAAGAGTTCTACTGTGTACATGTTCTAGATCATAACCAAGTTGACGACATACAACTCTAGCATCTTGAGTATCCCATCCATAATCACAGATTGTCCCCCAATATCCATGATATAATACTTCAACACGACCAATACCATTTGCACTTAATGGTCCTTGTAACCGCAGTTTCACTGGAGAAGTGGAAAAATCTAAATAAAAAGGATAAAAAATTTCAGTAGGACTAAAGTAGGTAAGAATCTACTTGATAATGGGGTAAATAAATGATAATTTAGTTTTTGTACTTTGGTAAAAATTATAATGATAATTAGTTTATTAATAAAATTATAATGACAATTAGTTTATCGGAATTATCGCTACTCTGGTTTTAATAAATGAAAGTAATCACCACACAAAGATTAACTTTCACGAGTGGATTATACCTGGTTGCCGTGAACCCATGCATTACGACAATTAGTCTATTGTTAAATATAATGACAATTAGTTTTGTGATAAAAATATATATAATGACAACTATAGTGATTTTCTGCTATCGGAATTTGAAAATCGATTCAATATTCTTTAGCTCACGTTCAGATAGAATTATTGCAGCGTGAGTAAATTCATAATTTCAGAGGTAGACCTCATTGCCATTGGTTCCTTCCTTTTTTTCTCACTAACTGAAATATGCGACATTCAGCAAGTGTTTTGGCCTATAGTGGTTAAGCAGTTATGAGAATTCTCAAAGGTGCTACCAGCTTTGTGCTCCTGGCTTTTATCAAATGTTTAAAGTCAAAACGTTTTTTAAACATGCCACTACTCTATAGCTAACCCTTTTTTAAGCAGTCAAGAAGTTCAGTTTACTGGGGAATAATTACTATCCATCAGGGGTAATGCGCAATCAAATTTCGCGAAATAATTTCCGGTTATTAATGACCTCCAATCAAGTGATGATCTTTTTCAGACATAATCGTCAATAAAGTTCTACTTTAAAATTATTATTATTATTATTATTTATATTTTTTATTATTATTATTTAAAAATATTTTAGAACGGTAGCTCTTCAGGGCTCTTACGCACCTGATTTTCAAGAGGCCGTTCGTTTACAATTTAGAAACACACTATACTATACAAATATATACAAATAAATTACCAGTTACTTAAGTAAGTACAATAGGCGTCGGAAATGTTTATCATTCTAGAGAATAGTGACCGAGAATTGATCTAAACTTGAAAAACCTTGTTCTGAATTTAATTGAAAATAAAGCATACTTGTAAACACTTCCTCACGATGCTTATAAGCAAAAGCAATCTCCATATAATTTTCGTCTAAAAATCCTCATTTCTCATTTTGTTTCCAAAATATTGGAAAATTACAAGAAATTTGTGGCAAGTTCAAAAATTCCTACGCCTTCCTCTTTCAAGCGTTCTTTTCGAAAGTTCTGGTGTCTGTACATTCTGTTTTCAAGTTGTTAAATTTTTTTTAAGTAATATTACCTTGTCAATGTTACTTCCGCTTAATATTTTCTGAGCAAAGTCTTAAATTTACGGGAAGTTTAATTTACCAAATCTACAGATACCTTCATACCTGTTGTAGAACATTCTACTCCGGCATCTTGAGAATGGGTGCAGGAATGAATCCCCCAACCATTGTGATAACAGCTTGTAATATTTTCTTCCTCTCCAGTACAATCAAGAGCAACTAGCCAAATATTTCCAGAACCAGAAGGAACCTCGTTCCTCTGAAGAGTTCTTGCAACATCTTGATAACCAAGTTGACGACATGCTACTTTAGCATCTTTCATATCCCATCCATCATCACAGATTGTTCCCCAGTATCCTTTGTGTAATACTTCGACACGGCCAGAACCATTGCCACTTGATGGCCCTTGTAACCTTAGCGACCCAGGTAGGAAACCTAAATTGACGATGAACCTCAAAAGTTTTGCATGCCAATCTCAATACATTTTGTTTGGCAAAGTTTTAAGAAAAAGATCTAGAGGAGGTTCCTTATAAAAACATGGCGTGAAAATATTGTAAGAAGTATTTAATGTATGCATTTAATGAGGAAATTTTCATAAAACTCGATTTGTGATTGTGAAAATTGGGCGGTGTACTGGCCAGCTCTTTCCCTCCCACCTTCGAATGGGCATTCATCAAAATGAAAATCTCTAAATTCATTAACATAGGCCGAAACCTCGTATCTTAATCTCACTAATGATTTACCTTGGCACTGATTTGGTACAAATTGAATTGAAAAAATAATCGCGCCAGTTATGAAGGCAAAATTAGTCATCTCGTGTACAGGTAACTGAAACGAAAAATATATTGAGTTAATTATATTATTTGGTTAACCCATGTTCAATGTTGAGAGACTAAATTAAATGTCCACGCGGTGTTTATTCAGTATAATATTTCGCAACCCTATTTTCCGTATTCTACTTGTGGAAATTGCACGCAAAATTCAGCCCAGTGCACGGCAAAACAGTCATGAAATCTACGAAATCAACTTTGTAATTATTACCATTTATAGTCCACATAATAGTCCACACATAACTTTTCTTATCATTCACTTTATTTTTTTCTCAATTTTGATTGGTTGATTTACCTCCAAACAACTTCGTGCAAAATAGTAGTCTGAGAATGCGCATTTGTTGAAAACGTTGCTCATCTAGAAATAATACTCTGAGCATGCGCATTCGCTTCAATTTTGTAAGCAATAATGGCGACTCGCCTTGCTGAACGTTCAGAAATTAGTTGTACTGCTATCTCGAATAAAAAAACGCGGAAAATATTATAAAATAATATGAGATAAGTGATAAGACAATTATTAAACTCGGTTGTGCGAGTTTAAGAGAGGCTTTGCGATGATCTGCTCACCACCGACAAATTGCCATATTTTGTTCGACCTTGCCCAATAATTGATAATTAATTTCTGGGATTACCAATATCCAAAAAAGATATAATTACTTGATTGATAACATGCAACATAAAGTCCTATATTTGAATTCAGTTTATTATTTTATAGGATATTCCCTGGTATTATCGACGAATTTTATGCTTTCTTTCTTTTTTCCGTACCGAAGGAGGTTCGTGAATGCGATTATATTTGTTCCTGGTCGCCCAACTGCACTTAGAGTTAACAGAAAATGTGATTCATTGATGTGAAATGATGTGAATTAATGTAAATATCTGACCTGCTTGTCGTCAGACTATTTCGACATGGCGGCTTGTAGTGAAAAGTTTGATATCTTAAAACTGCATGATCAGGAGAATAGCAGTACCGGGATGAAAATTTTCCTCATCATGATATTTGGTTCTGAGATTTAAAGATTAACCTGTAAAGATATAACTATTTATGTCATACCTCTGTCTTTACAATTCTATCATGACCGCTCAGTATAATGTTCGAGGTGTGGAGATTGCTGCAAGGAAAGCCTCACAATATTAAAGTTTCTGAATTATCGTGTTTAGTTAATTGTTCTTTATAATGACGTATAGCTGGAAATACTTAAGTTTTAAAATGTCGTGGAAAGCGAAGTAGGAGAGTTTTACAACTGTATCTTGAAAACTCATTCGAGTTTTAAATCCGTTTTTAAAACAAAAACGACGTTGTTGCTAGTCGAAAATGCATGCAGTGACTGATCAACGGCGAAATCTTGGAAAAATACTCAACAAAAAGACAGCAGTCGTGAAGTCATTTCCCTTTATTTTCGCCGTGGTATAACCTTTGTTATTGACTACTTACATGCATGATAGGCCAACTTGTGATCTACAAGTAAGAATTCGAAGGGGAAATGTCACCACAGCTAAAAAAGCATACTGAGATTAGTGTATAAATGCTAAGTTTTGCTGCAAAACGTCGAGTAGAAAGGAAAATATAGACTTGTGAAGTAGACAATTTTTGTATACTTTTGTATGCGAGCAAATTTTTTTAATTATTTAATTACACTCTTCCGGCCATAATACAAAAGTATACAAAATTTGCTAACTTCACTATAGGTTATATCTTCGGTACTTTACAATATTTCGCAGCCAAGTTTTACTATAAGTTTAGCAATTCTTTCCTCCAAACACAAGTGTTCAGTAGTAATAAAGAAATTGTCGGTGTATTAAAAGGGTTGAATGTAGACCAGTCACATCAGTGCTTTTGTATTAAACGAATTGGAATGACCCAGCGACACTGCCCGAATTTCTTCTTATCGCACGCGAATGTCGTTACAGTGGCCGACTGGCCGAACTGAAGCACGCCTATTTCGGTGATTCGTAAAATCTCTTTTCAAATATATTTGTCAATTAGTTATTTGTCAAAAGCATCGATATTTGTCCAAACAATCCAAATAGATGCTTCGCGGTTCGCGAGTAGATCTAGACCCAATACCCCTGGTCGATAGGGAAATGGCTAATTGCCGAAATTGTTCGGATCGGGAAGTTATTATTGCTGCGTTCAAGCATATTAATGTTTGAAGTTAGTTTATTGAAATTAAAGTTAAACACATTGATTTGGAACTTGATCCTCTTCACAAATATTGTTGGCCTTGCAGGGCCAACATAATAAAGATCCCCAATTACGCCAAACAAAGATACCGCCATGGGAATTTGTGACCATTAAAATTTGCGATTCTTATTCACTTTTAGATATAATTTAACGACAGAATTAATTCAAATCTAAACGATTGACGAACGAACGAAATAAATGACTTCATTCATTAGTATTAATGCCCCGTACACTTTGAACACCCTACCATAAACCACTTCATGACTTTCCCGAATTACTGTCACAGAACCGTATTGCAAAATATTTATAATAATTAGTCATCATTATATTACATACTTTATTCTTCTGCACCTCTCAGCTTTTTCTTCATGTAAAATCCAACAAGAAAACTAACGGAAGTGTTCGAAGAGCTTCTCAATTATACAACATATAGAATCGATAAAAGCAGCAATTTACATGCATGCAATATCAATAAAATAAGCCGCCCATTCTTACAATGCTTTAGTAGGGCGCGTCTGCTGTTGTTATGATAATTAATGTATTAGCGTTGTTATGAATTCCACGTACGTCTTTCTAGAAATGAGTAAACACATGATATCACCAATATGAAATAAGAATCCGCAAAAGTGCCTGCTCGTGTTAATATTAGTTGCATTACTCTAATTCTAACAAATCGAAGTGACGTACTTCCGGTTAACATGAAATTTAGGTCAGCTTCAATTTTTTTGAGTGGACACTATTTATTAGGTTTGGTGTTTAAAAGCGTCGATATGTCGGGAAAGTAAGATTAGTTTCCCTTCATCATTTCCTTTTAAGCGGGGGGGGGTAAGGTTTTTTTTCCTCATTATTTCTTCCCTGTTCACGCTAAAAAGGAAAATAATGTGTAGTTCCTTTGTATTTCTCGCCAGCACGTTTTGCCGATACAACATTTTTCTCCTGTCTTAGGATATAGTTGCAGAGAGTTTAGGAAATACATACATGCACCTGCAACCTTGTCATCAACAATGGCACTAATCCTTAAAGACAAACGAAAATGTACATTACGTTGCATTTAACCTTGCACATCGCCGTGGTTGTTGACAGGGTTGCCATATTACTGAATAAATTAGCCAAATACTATTGCCATAATCGCTGTTTTCTTTGTTTCAAACAATAAGATCAAAGAGTCGACTATAAACATGTTTGGCTTCTTTTTTTCAGTAATCCGCAACCTTGGTCGCTGAAACGATAACGTAAGCTGACTTACGCCAATACCACGGTGCATCACCACGCGGCAGTTAATGTGTTCTATGTTCCTTAGGGCTACTCACATGAGCCCACGGTTACAGAGATTTAATGTTCACATGAGCCCGCGGTTACAGAGATTTAACGAAGTGTAAAATGTTCTGTTTCGGAAGAACTTATTCAATACTTGAAAATGTTATTCTTCGTTAAATCTCGGTAACTGGCCTCATGTGAACAACCTCTCAGTGTGCTTGAAGCAAATTTGCTGATCGACTTGAATCTTATGCCCTGAATATGTAGTTGTAATCAGTACCTATGTATTAAGGTTAAAAACATTTTGTTTGCTTGTTGAATAAAAGGATAGACTTGCTTTCTACTTTGAACTTAACAACCGTTTAAGGAAAACGGGCTTGATACAACTGGGCCTGAATGGTGTCGCTAAACTGGATCGGATAATCTGGCATTATCAGGCATTATGAAATAGCATGAGAATATAGCAAAGAAATTAGATGAATACATTATGGACAGTGAGACGAATTTTGATCGTGTTGACCAACCTCGTTCCCAGGGCCTTTTGGGACTGTATATGGGGGCTGAGAGGACAGGTGAGAAGAGGAAAGGCCCTGGGACCGCATTTTGAATGAGCATAATTTATCATAAAATTTCACCTAATATTTTCAAAACATATATGAATATATACCCCCCCCCATTAAGCTTCTAGCTATACGACTCTGACTTCACTGAAACTTGTAAGCATTAAATCTGTAAGAAATATTTCCTCTTGGGGCCGGGTTATAAAATTGATTAAAAAATTTAACCCAGATTTCTAGTACGTAAATTTAAATTTTTAATCATGTGTTAACTGCAGTTCAAAATTGGCGACAAAAGGGGCGAAACACGTAAAAAGGCATGTGTAATTCTTCATTAAACTAAATAGTTTCGAAAGATTTCGTAACTATTTCAGACAGCAAAAAATTATTTAATTTTTTTGTTTCAGCTTCCGTTTCAGTTCTGTTTCAGCTTATGTAGCTATTGCTTGATTATCTTCCCTTAAATGCAATACAAGTTACCACAACGGTACAACTTGATCATGATATTTCGTGACCGAAATATTTGTATCGAATGCCATATAATATTATGGTAAAATGGCAAGAATAGGAATCATCGCTTGTACAGTGAAACAACGAGTACGAATTGCCATGCACACGAGAATCTCAATCTTTCAGTAAAATCCGCGGTAAGGTGCCGAAATTCTATGACTAAGTTAATCGTACGACCGATCTTAACCGAATGCCAAAATATAATACATGGGCAGTGCTGTAACAGTTACCTCTTGTTTATAACTAATTACACTTGTAGCAGGTACTCTGCTAGAATCATAGCAAGTTTCCGGTGCAAGTCACAAGTTACAAGTTCGAAATTGTAACTAGTTTTATAGTTACAAAGTTGCAATGTATTTTTGTGTAACTTAGTTACAAGTAACATTTGAGTATTGAATAGGCCCTAGAAACGTAAAAAAAACAACTAAGAAAAACAATTTTTTTCTATTAGAACTAAACACAATTTTTAGCATTCTGATTAGTTCCGACCGTGCCTCGACAAAATAGCACGCTTGCATTCAATGTGATGCAAGCTTGTATGAACATAATGATTTCTTAATTTTTTATTCAAAAATGTAACTTGTCCTGAATGTATTACAACTTGTAATCCGGCGTTTTAGTTTTAAATGCTTTTTTTAATTAGTTACCGCCACCGTTACCGCTACCCTACACCGTTACCGCTACCTTAAAAATAAAAACGAGTTACCGTTGCGGTTACTGAAAATTATAACGAATATTTGTAACTAGTCATTTCTAAGGAAGTTACTTACAGCAATGGTATATGGGCGATGGGCCATAGGCCAAATTCCGTTTAGATGATTACGTAATACTATTAAGCACCCTTAACTTTAGTAAATGTATTTTTTAATAATATTTGCTGGAAATTGTCTGATAAGCAAGTCTACTTATAAATATTTTAAATGCATGCACGTATGTCATTATCTTATTATCGCAACTAGTTATTTTAAACTTTGATAAGTGTTTTCTGCATCTCTCACTTTATCTAATTCTGCATAACTTGAGTAATCATCCTTTACGGCATCTCCTGGTGACTGGTAGCGGTTTTGCGCCAAATTTTTAAGATTAACCTCTTCGTAAATTTCAGCTGCATTTGTATCTTGAGCACCGGTACTCGATCCAGCATTTCTGTTTCCTAACCATCGTCGACGATAATACACAACAGCATATGCAACACAAAGTAGAACAATAATTGCAGCCACGACGATGATAAAAGGAATATGCCATTGAGTTCCGCCCTTCGAATCTTTGGAGGGTGATTTTTCTGAAAATGAGAGATACATTATTTGCTATATTATAATTGAAATACAAGTCCATTAGTTCATGTTTACGAAACGACAGCCAAACATAATACAAGTCTATTAGTTTATGTTTTCAAAACGACAGCCAAAAAATTTTTCTCTTAAGCCTCGATGTTTTCATACAATGACATCGTCTCGGAAAGCACATCGAGACGCTCGTGAAAGTGAAAGCAAACCTAGCTTACGATTCTCTCAGAACCTAAGTGTATATACAGCTATATAAATATTAAATACTTGTTTAAATTTCCAACGTTTTGGAATCCTCTCAGAAGATTTTCGCTATAAACTGTAAAACAACTCTCGAATTTGGATATATTGCGAGATGTCTGTTAATTTGCAATCATATAATTATTTTACACAACTATTGGTCGAAATTGATCCTGGCAACACTGGCGTTGCCAGCATCGATAATTGGGGGGTCCATATTCATATATTCATGTAAACCGACTGTACAGACAATTGATTTGAAAAGAAATTAATCCTGCGTATCACGAATATATGAATATGGACCCCCCCAATTATCGTTCTGGCTACGCCGCTGCCTGGCAAAATAAATGTATTTCCCTTTGGCTAAATAAATCTGATGTAGAGTACATGTAGCAAAAAAATCCTTTACCTCAAAACACCTTATGGCCAAGATTGCCTTTCCTTCTGCACTTACTTTCAAATTACTTATTTCTTAATCTTCATAGTCGACACGCTGAGTGTTTTCTGAAAAAGCCGCTTTTGAGATAAGCCGCGTGATATTCATAACGTCACTTGATTGTACAATGAAATTGTCCGGGTTACCAGGTTGACTTGAACGATATGTGGCTAGAATTATTGATAGTTCCCCCCCTTGTACTTTTACCAACACTATTTATTGTTTTTTTCTCATAATTAGTTTTACCTAAATTATATTTACCGTAATAAAAATCGACTTCAATTGATTTCTCATCCGTGAGAGTGTAGCTTTTTCCAACACATTTGAATGTTCCATTATCTGTTTCATTGACATTTCTGAGAGTTAACACGTTTTGCTCCTGTTCTGTGTCTCCAAACTGGACGCCATCTTTATACCATGTCACATTGGCTGGAGGTTTTCCACCTTTTCCTTCACACAAGCATGTTATATCATCACCAACATTTACTGCGATTAAACTGGAGCAATTGACTGTTACATTTGGTCTCTCTGAAATGTTAGGCAGGAAAAAATATTTTTAATGACACGTTTTTACACTCAAAGAAACATTAAGCAAACACCTTACGCTCATGCGAAACATTTCATAAATATCATATATATTAAGCCTCGGACTTGGACTGATTTCGCAACATTCTTTAAATTTTTATTGCTTGCGTGTAAAGCACGATCATTTAAAAAACAGGTCACAGAGAGGCTACCACTCATGAAATTATTCTGAAAAAGTTTTTTTTTAGCCAGCTTTTAATACACGCTTGAAGTTAAAACTTAGACACAATGTAACCAAATTATTGGCGTTTGAGATGTAAATTTCAGGTTGCATTTATTTGTAACTTGGGAGATATTCAGGGTTTAACAAACGTTATAACTTGCCAAATTTTTCGTAGTATTAGATAGAGTGGACTCGCGTCAACCGGAAAGCGAACCCCACCAGAACGAACAAATTTCTGGGCTGCCTATAATTATGTATACTCATGTTTCAGTTCTGCCCGATGGATTTCTATTGAAATCCCATATATATGTATGCAATCAAAATAATCAGTAGCAGGATCTGAATACATGATTATCACGCCACTAATTTTTGCGCTGGTGATAAAGCCCTGTTTAAATAATCACCTGTCGGAGAACATTCTACTCCGGCGTCTCGATCATGAGAACACGGACTATAACTGACACCCCAACCATCATGTAAACAACTTTTAATATTTTCTTCTTCTCCCGTACACTTAACTTTAGCTAACCATATCGGTCCGGAACCAGGGATAACCTCGCTCCTCGGAAGAGTCCTCAATACGTTGTGGTAACCAAGCTGACGACATACAACCCTGGCATCTCGCAAATCCCATCCATTGTCACAGATTGTTCCCCATTCTCCCTTGTACAATACCTCAACACGACCAGTACCAACATCGTTCAGTGGCCCTTGTAGCCTGAGTGACGCAGTTATTACTGTAAAAATGTGTGAAGAATGTGTATATAAACGAATATATCAATGCATATTTGCCTTTACAGTTTTCAAGCTAAGACAAATCAAGCATCTCTAGCTACACCTTTTTGAACTGCTCCTGGAGACAGGCAGAGATCTGAACATGAAAATTTTCTTCCTTGTGATATGGTCAGCGACAAAAGCGCATGAAGCTACTGAGAAACAACTTGCAAAATTGACGTAATAAGGTCTGTTGAAATTATCAACTTCTATATTACGGTGACAGACGAATTCATTTCATATACTCTCTGACATTGATTTTAAATAATGAATTACCTGTCCTGGAACATTTAACTCCAGCGTCTAGAGAATGATAGCAATTAGGAGCTTCTCCCCAACCACTATGAATACAACTTGCAATATTTTGTTCTTTCCCAGTGCAACCAACATCGGATAACCATATTTTTCCTGAGCCAGGAGGAACCTTGTTCGTTTTAAGAGTTTGAACGGCATCAGGATATCCAAGTTCACGACATACAACCCTAGCATCTCTCAAATCCCATTCTGTATCACAAATTGTCCCCCATTGTCCATTGTAGAATAATTCAACACGACCAGTACCTTCTTTACTTGATGGTCCTTGTAACCTAATTGGTGCCGTTATGGCTGAAAAAGAAGTGTAGAAAATTGTTTTTAAACGATTATAGAGAATTAAAGTATAGAACAGCCATGCATTTAAAAATCGGTTTACGAAATATACAGGATTTCTTTTTTAAAACACATTTGAAAATTAAATTTCCAGCGTTACCCTAAAGCGTAACATACTTACATATATTGTTTTATCGCCATGCAAAATTACAAGAATATTATTTAAAAATTGCTCTGTAATGTCTTCGCATAGAGTGCTTTATTGTTCCATTAAGTATTCAATCTATGGCGGATCATGGATGTAAATGGTATAAAAAGTGTATTCATGCAGTTATTAATTAAATTACTAGAAATACATTGCATGCAAAGCCCCCTCGCCTGAAGCAATGAACGTATATTTCCATCACTGAAAAAAAGTTTCTCCTGAATGATCGAAGTCGTAAAGTAAAATCCTATATCTTGGTACAATTATAAAGTCGACTCTCGAGCTATCAAATTCGACTATAATCATAATTGTGCTACGAATAGTTTTAAATACTACAATTTTTAAGGAAATTTCAATTACTTTTTAAACAAATTCACCATTAAAATAAATACTTTCCAAAAAATCATTTCAACGAAATTGAAGAATAAATTCAAAGAGGTGTCATACATTTGTGATAAATCCACATATTAAACTTACAAAATACTTGCATGCTTTAAAATACAAAATCTACCCATTTACTTGTTCAAAAACACTCCAAAAATGCTTCAAAGTCGTAAATTTTTTTACCATCCATTTGAATGAAAGTTTTTCTATCCGAAAACATCTTTTACATTATATTTTAATCAATTTTACAAGTCAATTTTTTGTATATTTTTAAGTCCATCCAAAAGAAAAATATTATTTTAAAAAAGTTTTATAATTCAAAATATCAGTTATGCTGACGTGATCCAAATTTTAATTTAGCCATTCGCACGTTTGTAAACGTTTGCTAGCAAGTTTTAACTCGTCATAAACTCACGCATGCGCATAACTTACAAAAACGCCCAACGTCCATGACATAATGGCGGACAACTTTCATTTCGCATTTGCATTACCGGGCGTAATTAAAATCTCCGGGCGGAATTAGTACCCTCGCCCGGTGCTTCGCACCGGCTCGGGGACAAACAAATTTGAAAATTGTTTTATCGAGCGCTTGCATGTATAATTATAATATCAGCACATATCAGATTCGAATTCGCAGAATAACTGTCAGAGATCTGAAGGATACTACACAATGTATTCTAAATACCCACCTGTTGTAGAACATTGAACTCCAGCTTCACGATCATGGGTGCAAGGACTAACTCCCCAAGAACTATGAGAACAACTTGTTATATTGTGCTCTTCCCCAGTACAATAGACATTTCTTAACCACACTTGTCCTGAACCTGGAGGGAATTCGTTTCTTTCAAGAGTTTTAACAGCATCCAGATAGCCAAGTTGATGACACACAACCCTAGCATCTTTGAAATCCCATGAATAATCACAGATTGTACCCCAATATCCATGATAGAACACTTCAACACGACCTGCCCCTTTTTCACGTGAAGGTCCGCGCAACCTTAGCGACACAGGCGAGGCTGAAAAATCTATAAGAATATATTATTTATGTTATGCGATTTAAGAGAAAGTTTAAAATAACAAGAAAAACCACAATGTTACGCCTTTCTCAAGTTTCTATTGCACGGTCTAGCCGTGCCAATAGCTTTTACCATTACACTGCTGCTTTCACTAAATTCAAACACTCACAGAATCAATCGTATTGTTTGCGCACCTATTTGATCACGAATTCGAATAGTATCGCCACTAGCTAGGATTATTATATACGATCAAAAACTGTTTACTTCAGGTAGCTGACACTTACAATTGATCTAACTTAATTTTAGTTAATGTGATAACTGATTATTTCGATTATTTCGATCTTTTACCTGTTGTACTACATTCAACTCCTACAACTCTTGAATGTGAGCAAGAAGTAACACCCCAACCTCCATGAACACAATTTGCAATATTACGCTCTGAGCCAGTACATTCGAGATTTTGTAGCCATATCTGTCCAGAACCAGAAGGAACCTGATTCTTATAAAGGGCCCGAGCAACATTTTGATAACCAAGTTGACGACACACAACCCTAGCATCTTTCAAATCCCAACCGGAATCACAGATAGTTCCCCAGGTTCCGTTGAAGAATACCTCGACACGACCAATACCATCGTCACTTAATGGTCCTTGTAACCTAACTGACGCAGTTATAGCTGTGAAATAGTAAACGTGGCTAATTGATTAATTATGTGATATGATGTGATATAATCATTCCGCTATGTTCTATAATACCCGGGTGTAATTAATCTCCCAGCGTAATTGGTACCCTCGTAGGGCGCCCTCTCGGGTTTAAATCTGCATAATTGTGTTATGTGATAGACCACATAATTTCATTTATAAACTTTGATGAGACGTCTGATGTTATATTTCATTGTCATTAATAAAGAAAATACATCATCTGACTATAGATGAGTAACTTAGCCGGTTGTACGAAAGGCGGATAGCGCTATCCACCGGATAGTGATTTTTTCAAGCGTTTAATGCGTTTTTCTCTACACAGAACTAGAAGAGTTCCGCACGCTTGGTACGTACTGTACATAAAATTATTTATACAAGTGTTAAAACGTTTCGGCCAACTGTTTTTCTGTAAAATCTGTAGTCGTAACAATAATTTATATAATTTTGACTTTATATCTGACTAAACTCAGAGATAGCCACTGCCTAAAATAGACAAAACACTTCTCGACGTACTAACTCTCCTGACCAAGGTCCTCAGGTCGAAACGTCCAGAAGTGTTTTGTCTATCTTAGGCAGTTGTTATACCACATTTGATGCTAATCTGAGAGAATTTAATTTTGACGAGAGGTTAGTGATTTAATGAATTCCAAGGATTTACCTGTTCTTGAACATTTTACTCCAACGTCGTCAGAATGCGAGCAATGAAGATAGTCCCATCTATAAGAACAACTTGTTATGTTTTGTTCTTCCCCAGAACAAGCGACGTAAGAAAACCATATCTGTCCAGAACCAGAGGGAACCTCGTTTCTTCGAAGAGTTCTAACAAAATCGGGATAACCAAGTTGACGACAAATAACTCTAGTGTCTCTTATATCCCATCCATAATTACAAACTGTTCCCCATTGACCATGATAGAATACCTCAAGCCGACCAGTTCCTGTTCCACTTGAAGGTCCTTGTAATCTGGCCGAAACAGGTGTACCTAAAAATTCTGAAGAACGTTCCGTCAAAATGAAGTAGGAGGAACAAACATGTTACCTGTTGTGCCTCAACACTTTATAATAATTATGTCTGAAGACGTCTTGCTTAGATTATCGTAGCCAGAAGACACAAATTGTGTCGCAGGTCAGAAATAATTGTCAAAAATAGTTGATGTGGTTGATATTTTGTTATTTCGGTGAGTAAAAGTCCCCTTTGCGTACGTGTTGATATGGACATCTGCACTTCTATACAGGATGGGTAAAAAAAACTTGGGAAATCAAATTAGCCGAAATGCGGCTGTAATGTGACAAAAATTGCCTAAAATACCTCATGGCATGAAGCATATCAAATAAGTGAATCATTAATTAACCTAAAACATAAAGTTTGTTCCCTTTGGGAGTTAAAATGCATTCTAAGCTCAATAAAGCTCTGTAAATAAAAAAGAAATGTTTTATCAAATCGTTTGTCTAGGACACGCGCCACGTTGAATTAGTTCAATTGGTTTAAATGATTTCGCATTAATTAACCACGTCCTGTTGATTGTACACATGGGAATTGTCAAATTCGAGCCATAAGCTCGCGGCTAATTTGAATTTCAAAGGTGTCAGGTTTTTTTACTTACCCTGTATATGCTTTGTGCGCATTTTCGACACTTTGAACCGCTTTTTCTATAAGACCAGTATTTAAGCTGCCGGAATTCTTGATCTTCAAAATTGCGTGACGCCGGATCATCCTATACTAAACTTCCGGTAAAAACTTCCCGCGCAAATAGCATATGCATGTAGCATGCTTTTAATCTGTCGCTAATATTTGTGCAGATTTGTAAAGAAGTATTGGGGATAACCAAATGTTTAGTTAAAAAAGTACATGCATGTATAATCGTGTATTAATACACGGTTCAGTTAGAGCACTCATATTGTGAATAGGTCAAATTATTTACCCTAATTATTATAGGTGCATGAGATATAAGTACGGGTTAGAATAGTACTGTATAATATTATATCTCAACTGTAAATCATCCAATCAGAAAGCTCGATTTGTACCACGTGATCAGTAAATTAATCATGGAGTTCCATCGAATTTTTCCACATTATGCTATAATGCGGAAGGCAGACGCTGCAGCGGGGTATTCGAGTTTGCGTGTACCACGCGTGGATGCCTCGCACGCGACTCGAGGTTGTCAACAATTTCAAAATGGAGGCAAAAGAAGCCATTTCACCCAGCTTTTGCGCTGCCTACACGTTGTTTCGATATAATATATAATTTATAGACCTTCCGCTCGGGGAATTTGACGAAATATTACCCCCTCGGGGAGATATAATTTCGTCGAATTCCCCTCGCTCCAGGTCTATAAATGATAAAAAGGTGGGTTTGCCTGAATATGCCATATCGATTTCCTGAACACCTCATTTTAAACCTGCGACACGCACGTTTGAAAAATTACTAAACTCTCTTCAACTGCTGTAGTGTGCAGAACAGTTCACCGGCGGCGAAGAAAAAAAAAGCACGGCGCAAAATCAGTAAAATGTTTCACTCATGGGTTTAGGGACTTAATTATTGGAAAGGTTGAGAAACATCTGGTTGATGAAGGAAATTCCGCGGAAACGAGTTCTGCAAACCGGTACTTCTACTCCATGGGTAACCTATTACTGTACATTTACCTGTTGAGGAACATTCTACTCCTGCGACGGAGGTATGGGAGCAAAAGGCTTTCCCCCAACCATTATGGGAACAACTCGTAATATTCTTCTCTTCCCCGGTACAAGCGACATAAGCTAACCATATTTGTCCGGAACCAGAAGAAACCTGGGACCTTTCAAGAATTCTAACAACATCTGCATAACCAAGTTGCCGACATACAACTTGAGCACCTCTCATATCCCAACGACTATCACAGATTGTTCCCCAATATCCACGATACAATACTTCAACAAGACCAGTACCATTTGCACTCTGCGGTCCTTGCAACCTGACCAGCACAGGTGTTGGTGAGAAATCTTAGAAATAAAATTTCCTTGTAGCATTAGGTCGTCAAAATAAATTATGGTAAAAGAATATAGCAATGTAGAAAATTGACGAATAATATTAAAAAAAAATTGACGAATTATATTAAAAAATAGAAATTTATCTGATAACTTGTACCTGTTGAACTACATTCAACTCCCGCATCTTCGGAATGTCTACAATTATGAAAACCCCAACCCCAATGAGAGCAACTTGCTATAGTCCGTTCTGTTCCTGTGCAATCAACATCATCCAACCATATTTTTCCAGAACCAGAATGAACCTGGCTGCCTTGAAGGGGTCTGGCAGCATCTTCATAACCAAGTTGACGACATACAACCTGAGCATCTCTCATATCCCAACTATCATCACAAATTGTCCCCCATTGTCCACGATATAATACTTCAACACGACCAGTACCATTTGAACTTGATGGTCCTTGCAACCTTACAAATACAGCCTCTGCAAGAAAATATGAGATTGTCACACCCAGAGAAACAGCTAGACGCTGGTATAGGCCTTTCTCAACGGTAATATGTCTGGGGAAAATATTATTTCCCTTAATAATGGAGTATAAACGTTGAAATAAAATGTTTTTAAATTTAGAATTAGTATTTATAATTGCACATAGGAGATGTTTGAGCAAAATTGCATAAGGCACTACTGTTTCATTCATGATTAACATTCTACTTCCATAGAAGTTTGCATACGGTGATACCCTAACTATAGCCTCGTAAGTTTATAATAAACTGTATAATAGCTACGAAGTACAAAAATGCCAAAATATGTAGGTCCGTTATAATTTGCCTCAATGCCATCTTAGGGGCCATACTAACAGGTGGGCATTTTCTTCGCGCTGACCGAAAATTGCGGGCTTATTTCTTCTTCAATTTGCATTTTCGCTTCGAAGAACTAAAAATACAGATTTTGGTGCAATATTTTTGCTATTTACTCTGAAGCATGTTCATTAAAAATTCGCTATCGTTATTGAGAAAGAAAAGCGGTTTACGATAAGCTAAAATGCGTCGAGATCCTTTACGAAATGGAATGTACTTTGGCTGGCGAAAAATGAAATAATTGCATCTCGACACCAAATACAGGATTTTTGCCACAGCTACAGAGCTATTTGGATTCAAGCTGATGTCAAAAAGTAAGTCACATTATTTTGTTCTTCATAAGTTAAAATGTCAGTAAAATGTCTCAGAAGTGGTTCTAAAGCTCAATCTTGCGGATGCCACAGTTGTCAATATACCTCTACTAACGAATTTTATTGCAAATCGACCCATCTTCATTGAAGTATAGCTCGAAAATTAGGGTATCCTCACACCCTGCAATTAGGCTTAAATCAAAGTTTTATCTATAGTCTTTTTATTAGAATTAAGATTCAACGTGGGAAAAATGCGCCAAAGGGGTAAAATTGACATTGTATGTGTACACTATTTTTGACATGTTTTGTTTGGTATTTTGAAAAGGTCACCAGGAAGGAAAATAAAGCTTGAACAATACTGGTGAGCCTTTAAATCGTAAGAAGAGGTGTGTAAATTATAGAATGTTGAAAAAAACTTGGTCCATTAGCAATGTTTTGGATTCTATGAGGTCTCACATATAGCATATTTAAATTATTGTTGCATTTATATAGAGATCCATTCATAACTCAATAGATCAAGAACTTGACTATCTCACACTTTGTAACTATATTTTTCTGTTAGATTTTTCACCTGCCTTTGTGAAAAAAAACAGTTTTAGGACCACGAAAAATGCGCGCGGTACTTTTTAGGAGCAATGAAAATGATGAAATTAGGAAAAATTAAATGTTGCTTTCCACTCGTCAGGGTATAATTTAACTTATTCTAGTGTGTTAACTAAAATTTTGGTCTAAAATATGCCTGTGGTATCTGAGCATTTTGTAGAACTCATTTTTTGGTTTAACTTAGGCTCCTTTGCTTTTTTCAGCTAATGGTATCTGCTCATATTAATGTTGGTGTTAAATATTCTACAGGGTGTATCAGAAAAAACTAGAAGATTTTAAAGTGTCCAGAAAACTATCATTTTATCAAAATATCTCAAAAATATATTTATGTCTAAGTATTTTAGCATCTCCTGGCTTATCTAACAGTAAAAACTATCAGAAAAATTAACCTAAAAAAGCGGGAGAACGGTTTGTAAAAGCCTCATTTTTAACCGCTTGCGCAAAGAAAATGAGAGGTTCAAAATCCAAGTTCATTTAAAGAGATGAAAGTTTGGACCCTTTTGTGCAATGTACTAAAATTTCAGAAAATTTGACAAACATTAAGTCCGCTGTGAAACGTCTCAAAATTGGACTTTTTTCCGTTTACTCCGCTCTCGCCTAACCTTTTTACAATGCCATCATGTTATACCTTACATTGATGTTGTATCTAATAATGCCATTATTAAAAATAAACTACACAAAAACGTCAAACAGTACACAATTGCAAACAAGAGCAGAGTTTACAAAATTTGTTGTTAGTTCTCAACATGTCCTCCATTTCTTTGCACGCAAATTTCTGCCCTACTTATCATACTGAAAACAGCACGCCGAACCATTTGCCTGTCCTGTCTTAGGATATCCATCTCATGTTGAATTCTTGCTTCAAGGTCTTCCAAGTTATCCGGTGGTGTGACATAAACCTTCGACTTTAGGTAACCCCAAAGGAAAAAATCCAAAGGAGTCAAATCGGGAGTTCGCGGTGGCCATTCTACCGCACGATTTAAAGCAATAAATCGGTTTCCAAATAATTGTCCCAAGCGCTCGAAAACAATGCGTCTCCGATGAGGTGGTGCTCCGTCTTGTATTCACCAAAGGCGCTGGAACCTGCCATCATCGTTGGGAGCGAAACGGCGTATTTCGCTTACAGCTGGAACGACTTGTTCATTAATCATTTGCAGGTATTCTTCGCCGTCTAAGTTGTGGCAAAAGAAAAAAGGACCAATGATAGACCCATTACCAATCAATCCGACCCAAACAGTAACCTTGTGAAGGTCATCATTTCGCTCATACTGAAAGTGCAACGGTCGTTCACCACGAGCGCAGTACTCTCTGATATTATGGGTGTTAACAGAGGCATTTAAGGCAAATCCAGCTTCGTCACCAATGAGTACGTCCTCAAGAAATCGTGCTGGTCTGTTCATAAGCCACTGGCAAAACCTTTCTCGCCGCTGGTAATCTCCTGCAAGCAGTGTCGTCGTATCATCTGGTATGCGTGAAATCGTAAGTCCAGCCGTGTTATACGATTAAAGGTGGCCGAAGATAAACCAAGACCATTTCGCCGAGCGCTAATTCTCACTCCATTTGGCTGCTGATTTTCAATCGCATTTCGTACAGCTTCAATGTTTTCTTGAGACCTCGCAGTTCTTCGATGTCCTGATCTTCCCCGGTTGAGATTACAGCTTGTCCCGTTTGTACGGTATTTAGCAACATTGTTGTAAACTGTACCATGTGATGGACAGCGTACGTCAGGATACTCCTCCCGAAACCTTTCGAGCACTCTTGTGACGCTCCCATGACTACGGTGGTATTCAGTTACCAAAAAAGCTCTTTGCTGTGGTGTAAACTGCGGCCTTGGCATTGTTTTTAATGTTTGATATGAAAAATAAGCTAGCAATTCGTAAACAAGACATCTTTTGCATTATCCAGGTGTAATTAACCGAACTCTTTGTTAAATAAAACAATGAAACAAGAGTATTCATTGTTAGTTATGTTTTAAGTACGTCTTCCGAACCATCACTCATGCATGTAATCATTCTTGCATGAAAAAAGGTTACGCGAGAGCGGAGTAAACGGAAAAAGTCCAATTTTGAAACGTTTCACGGCGGACTTAATGTTTATCAAATTTTCTGAAATTTTGATACATTGCACAAAAGGGTCCAAACTTTCATCTCTTTAAATGAACTTGGATTTTGAACCTCTCATTTTCTTTGCGCAAGCGGTTAAAAATGAGGCTTTTACAAACCGTTTTCCCGCTTTTTGAGGTTAATTTTTCTGGTAGTTTTTACTGTTAGATAAGCCAGGAGATGCTAAAATACTTAGACATAAATATATTTTTGAGATATTTTGATAAAATGATAGTTTTCTGGACATTTTAAAATCTTCTAGTTTTTTCTTATACACCTTGTATATTTGAGACCTCATAGAATCCAAAACATTGCTAATGGACCAAGTTTTTTTCAACATTCTATAATTTACACACCTCTTCTTATAATTTAAAGGCTCACCAGTATTGTTCAAGCTTTATTTTTCTTCCTGGTGACCTTTTCAAAATACCAAACAAAACATGTCAAAAATAGTGGACGCATACAATGCCAATTTTACCCCTTCAGCGCATTTTTCCCATGTTGAATCTTAATTCTAATAAAAAGACTATAGTTAAAAGTTTGATTTAAGCCTAGTTTCCAGGTGTGAGGATACCCTAATTTTCGAGCTATACTTCCATAAAGATGGGTTGATTAATTGCAATGAAATTCGTTAGTAGAGATATGTTGACAACTGTGGCATCCGCAAGATTGAGCTTTAGAAGCACTTCTGAAACATTTTACTGACACTTTAATATATGAAGAACACTGAATGTGACTTACCTTTTGACATCAGCTTGAATCCAACTAGCTCTGTAGCTGTGGCAAAAATCCTGTATTTGGTATCGAGATGCAATTATTTCATTTATCGCCAGCGAAAATACATTCCATTTCGTAACCGATTTCAACGCATTTTAGCTTATCGTAAACCGCTTTTCTTTCTCAATAACGATAGCGAATTTTTAATGAACATGCTTTAGAGTAAATAGCAAAAATATTGCACCAAAGTCTGCATTTTTAGTTCTTCGATGCGAAAATGCAAATTGAAGAAGAAATAAGCCCGCAATTTTCGGTCAGCGCGAACAAAATGCCCACCTGTTGGCCATACTTGATTCGCATTCTCTCATTTCCTCGATAAACGCGGTGAGTCAATATGTCCAGGATTAGAGTTGTCTTCACCCTGGCTTCTCTCAATCAATGTATCGGCCATTACAAAAAGTCATACAAGTGTAAAGATAACTACGTTTGTTTATGGTTGGGTAATTGTAGCTAAAACAGCCTTGACAACGAACAACAGTGATACCAGCTACGTTGGACGCTTATGAACGTGTACCTCTCACATAGGCACGGATAAAATTGCTTTCTTATTGCTTTCTTATTATAGCCCTCCGTAACACTCCATAGGCGTCGATAGACCGCCATGGGCCTCCGCAGCCCTCCACGCCCCTCCATAGACCTCTATAGCATTCCATAGGCCTCCATAGGCCTCCATAGATCTTCATAGGCCTACATAGACCTCCATAGGCGTCTATAGGCCTCCGTAACACTCCATAACACTCCACAACACTCCATAGGCATTCAGTGGCTTCCATAGACCTCCATAGGCCTCCATAGTCCTCGATAGGCCTCCATAGCCCTACATAGGCCTCAATAAGGCACCATACCTCCTTAACATAGGCTTAACTCACTAGCTTATACCGACGCCATACTGGATTTTTGAATTAGCGCTCAAATTAATCACGCATTTTTAGCATCCATATCAGCCTGCATTTATGGCCATGAGTTATAGTTTAGGTTAGGATAATATATTAACGTTGATTTAATTGCTATAGTTAATGGAGTATTCCCCTGTAAAATAAATTCCTAATTAGGAAAATTCATCGGTTCAATCCAAAGTTTGTAAAATCGGAAAAATATCGACGTGTTAAATTGGCAAATTTTATATAATTTCATATTATGTTCAAAAAAGTGTTCTGAAAAGTGAAAAGTGATAACGCTTCTTCGAGCCTATGCTAAATTTGTCAATTTCGCAGGCTGATATTTTTCACACTTTACAATATTTCGCCTCTAAATTTTCCTGTTTAATAATTTTGGGATGCTCTTTTCATCTTACTGATGACAATCCCTACAGTTTTAAATTCAACCCACTAAGATAATGGTCCGTTGTGTAAAACGAGAATTGAGAATTGAGGACTATAAAAATACCTTTGGTAGAACATTGTACTCCGATGTCTTCAGAATGAGAGCAATAATTGTTTCCCCAACCATTGTGAGAACAGCTTGTTAAATTTTGTTCTTCCCCAGTACAAGAGACGCGAGATAACCATACAGGTCCTGAACCAGAAGGAACACGATATCTAGGAATTGTCGTAACGTACGTATGATCTAGATCATAACCAAGTTGACGACATGCAATCATGGCGTTTCTCATATGCCATCCATTTCTACAGATTGTCCCCCAATATCCATGATAGAATAATTCCACACGACCAGTACCATTTGCACTTGACGGTCCTTGCAATCTTATTCTTATAGCCTCATCTGCAAAATCTTTCAAAAAAATCTATGTCAGCCTGTGTTCATAATCGAGCTACTTAGGTCAACAACATGGTGGAAAGCAAGATCGATGCAAAAGGTTTGAATGAATTAATGTAAAGGCTTAAGACCAATAGCAGCTTTACGATTTAGCCTCAGGTTACTTAATTTGTGGTGTTCAATGACCGTGAGACCGATTAACTTCAAAAATGAATAATTATAACTTAAAAATAATAGTAATAACAAATTTTCCTTGCGGGTCAAAACCATCAAGCTGGCTACGCCCCTGTTCAACAGGCCAAAGATGTTGAAGCGTTATTTCTGTTTATAAGATACATTGCTGCATCTCATTGCTGCGATTCATTGAATAAATAGCTGTATGTTATTTACCGGCTGCGAGGACCGGATGCAAAAAACTGTGCCCGAGGTCTCGGTTTATTTTTTAACCTTGACTTTATTGACTTTATCAAACACAAAAAAATGCAACAAATTCAATGAATAAACTTATTAAACTATAAAAACTATCAATTCTGCAGACCATTTTAGAATTTTAATACGTCAACAACTCCTTATAAGGATATCCTAGTCGGGAAACAGCCAATGAAATGGCAAATATTGGTACCATAGCAACTTAATCACGGCAAATTGATTAAAAAACAACGTATTGAACGGCGAAAAAACTTATTTTTAACATTTATTTAGCCTTTTCCAGAAAGGTTTTCACACATTTTAGCCGTACGTTGTTTGGTTTTGTCGTTTTGTTCACATTTTTCACCGCGGGCCGGTTGTATTTCACAGAATTTGGCACCCAACCCGCTCTCAGCCAATCAGATTACTTTATTTACATAGTTAAAAATAAAGCTATTTTCTTGATGCATTAATTCTCTTTAATGATATTTTCATACCAGTTATGGAACATTCCACTCCAGCGTCTCGGGAATGAGAACAATAATGATCTCCCCAAGGACTGTGCGTACAACTTGTGATGTTTTGTTCTTCCCCATTACATGCGATGTAAGCTAGCCATATAATTCCTGAACCTGAAGGAAAAGTGTTCCTACGAAGTGTTCTGACGGCGTCTTTATAACCAAGTTGACGACATACAACTCTCGCATTTCTTAAATCCCATCCATAATCACAGATTGTCCCCCAATGTCCGTTAAAAAATACTTCAACACGACCAGTACCATTTGTACTCAACGGTCCTTGTAACCGGATGGAAACAGGCGTAGCTGACAAATCTTAAGAGAATTATATTGATAATACACGATCAGTTAACGTTAATAAACGTTAGTATTGTTTGTTTGAAATCATACGAGGTTTTTCAATTTCCCAATGATGGGTAATTTTATGAAGTAAATTAAAACTTTTATTATGGTTTATGCATGTCTACAAAAAGTTAATTAAATAAATTCAATAATATACGCTAAGCCGATCGACAAGCTAGCCCGTTAGATCTTCGACTTTCAAGATATCAAAATAGTACATGCAACATTCTTTAAAGGAATATAAAAGTCAAAGTCGATTTTCCAATATTTATGCAGTAACAGCTGTCGACTGACTCGACTCCAAAAGCTTTAAAGTGATAATTGTTTTCAAAAAATTCATTTAACTGACGTTATTATTGAAATACAAACTTTTCCTTTTCGCCAAGAAAGATGTTGCTAATTACCAGCTTTCTACTCGTCCGAACTTTGCGCACGCGCAAAGTTCAGCGATTCGGCTCTGTCGCACATGCGACATGCCGCACATGCGACATGCAATGTCAACAAAATTCTGTCGACATACTTGGGTATAATAATTCTGCCTACGGAACCATTACCATTAATGATTGCCGGGATTTGCGCCGGCTCAGAGATGGAAGGGTGACAGACAGAACGGCGCGGATGAATTTTTTTCACCTGCGCAGTTAATAAAAGAGGTCAATAAAAAGGATGTATTTTTTTCAAAAAAGAACTTAAATTATCTTTATCTTACCTGTGCCAGAACATTCAACTCCGGCGTCGTAAGAATGAGAACAATGTTTATTAGCCCCCCAACCATTATGAGAACAACTTCTAATATTATTTTCCTTTCCATTACAAGCTACGTGTGCTAACCATATCTGTCCCGAACCAGAAGGGACCAGGTTTCTATAAAGAGTTCTACTGTGTACGTGATCTAGATTATAACCAAGTTGACGACATACAACTCTAGCATCTTGCGTATCCCATCCATAATCACAGATTGTCCCCCAATATCCATGATATAATACTTCAACACGACCAATACCATTTGCACTTAATGGTCCTTGCAACCGCAGTTTTACTGGAGAAGTGGAAAAATCTAAAAAGGATTAGAAATTCCGATAGGACAAAAGCAGGTGAGAATTTACTTGATAATGGTGTAAATAAATGATAATTCATTTTTGTACTTTGGTAAAAATTATAATGACAGTTAGTTAATCGATAAAATTATGATGACAAATAGTGATTTTCAGCTGTCGGAATTTGAAAATCGATTCAATATTCTTTAGTTCACGTTCAGATAAAATTATTGGAGCGTGGGGAAATTCATAATTTCAGAAGTAGACCTCATTGGTTCCTTCCTTTTTTCTCATTAACTGAAATATGCGACATTCAGCTAGTGTTTTGGCCTGTAGTTGTTAAGCAGTTATGAGAATTCTCAAAGGTGCTACCAGCTTTGTGCTCGTAGCTTTTATCAGATGGTTAAAGACAAAATACTCGATGAAACGTTTTTTAAACATGCCACGTTGGCTATTGGACTATTCACACTTAGGTACCTTTCTATTCTAACTCGTTTTTAAGCCGTCAAGAAGTTCAGGTTACCGCGGAATAATTACTATGCAACAGGGGTACTGCCCAATCAAATTTCGCGAATTAATTTCCGGCTATTAATGACAACCAATTAAGTGATGATCTTTTTTACACATAATTGTCTGTAACACTCTTTTCCAAAAAACGTTTTCCTGAATTTAAGTAAAAATAATGCACTTGTAAACACTTCCTCTCGATGCTTATGAGCAAAAGCTATCTCCATAGAATTTTGGGGAACCAAGAAAATTTTCCTCTCAACTATCCTCGTTGCTCATTTTTTTTCTGAAATACTGCAAATCACAAGAAATTTGTGGCAAGTTCGAGAATTCCCTCGCCTTCCTGTTTTTCAAGCGTTCTTTTTGGAAGTTCTGGTGTCTGTATATTATATTTTTATGCTGTTAATATTACCTTGTCAATGTTTCTTCCGTTTAATATTTTTTGAGCAAAGTCTTAAATAGGCTGGAAGTTTAATTTACTAAATCTGATACCTTCATACCTGTGCTAGAACATTCTACTCCGGCATCTTGAGAATGGGTGCAGGAATGAATCCCCCAACCATTATTATAACAGCTTGCAATATTTTCTTCCTCTCCAGTACAATCAAGAGCAACTAGCCAAATATTTCCAGAACCAGAAGGAACCTCGTTTCTCTGAAGAGTTCTTGCAACATCTTGATAACCAAGTTGACGACATGCTACTTTAGCATCTTTCATATCCCATCCATCATCACAGATTGTCCCCCAGTAACCTTTGTGCAATATTTCCACCCGGCCAGCACCATTGCCACTTGATGGCCCTTGTAACCTTAGCGAGACTAAAGGACAGGCAAATTGGCAATGAATCTCAAACGTTTTGCATGCGAATCTCAACACATTTTGTTTGGCGATGTTTTAAGCAAAATGGGGAGGTTCCTAATAAAAACATGGTGTGAAAATACTTTAGTGGGTGATTTTCATTAACATGCTTCGACGTATCGTTGTCTTAAGAAGTATTTAGTGTATGCATTTATTCAGGAAATTTTCAAAAACCTAGATTTGTTATTGTGAAAATTGGGCGGTGTACCGGCCAGCTCTTTCCCTCCCACCTCCGAATGGGTATTCATCAAAATGAAAATCTCTAAGCTCATTAAAAAAGGCCGAAACCTCGTATCTTAATCTCTCTAATCATTTACCTTGGCACTGATTTGGTGCAAATTGAATTAAAAAAATAATTGCGCCAGTTATGAAGGCAAAACTTGTCATCTCGTGTACAGGTAACTGAAACGAAAAATATACGGAGTTACATTATTTGGCTAACCCATGTTCAATGTTGAGACACTAAATTGAAAGTCCACGAGGTGTTTATTGAGTATACTATTTCGCAACCCTATTTTCTCTATTCCATGCACTCGTGGAAATTGCACGCAAAATTCAACCCAGTGCACGCAAAACAGTCATTAAATCTACGAAGTCAACTTTGGAATTATTACCATTTACAGCCCACATTATTGTCCACATAACTTTTCTTATCATTCACTTTATTGTTTTCCCAATTTTGATCGGTTGATTTACCAGCAAATAACTGCGTGCAAATAGTAGTCTGAGCATGCGCATTTGCTGAAAACGTTGCTCAGCTAGAAATAATACTCCGAGCATGCGCATTCGCTTCAATTTTGTAAAAAATAATGGCGACTCGTTTTGCTGAACTTTCGGAAATAAGTTGTACTGCTATCACGAACAAAAAAAAAACGCGGAAAATACCATAAAATAACAAGTTAAGTGAATGATAAAACAATTATTAAACTCCGGTCTCACAGAATACCGTGATTTGTCTGAGGCTTGCAGATCAATGACTTGCAGCATAAAATCTAATATCTGAAATGAGTTTATTTATAAGATACCCGCTGGTGTTATCGACGAATTTCCTGCTTTCTTTCTTTTTTTCGTACCGATGGAGGTTCGTAAATGCGATTATATTTGCTCCTATTCGCTCAACTGGACTTAGAGTTAACAGATAATGTGATTTCACTGATGTGAAGTGATGTGAATTAATGAAAATTTCTGATCTGCATGTCGTCAGACTATTTCGAATTCACGGCTTGTAGTGAAAAGTTTAAAACTGATAAAGAGAATGGTAGTATCGGGATGAAAATTTTCCTCTTAATGTTAGAGATTTACCCTGTAAAGATTACTATTTATGTCGTACCTATTCTGTCATGACCGCTTAGTATAATGTTTGAGGTGTGGAGATTGTTGCAAGGAGAGCCTCAAAAGATCGATTGAGTTTCTGAATTATCGTGTTTAGTTAATTCTTCTTTATAATGACGCATAGCAGGAAATACTTGGGTTTTGAAATGTCGTGGAAAGCGAAGTAGGAGAGTTTTACAACTGTATTTTGAAAACTCACTCGAGTTTTAAATCTGTTTCTAAAACAGAAACCACGGTGTTGCCAGTCGAACATGCAAGTGCAGGGACTGATCAACGACGAAATCTTGGATGAAATATTTAACATAAAGACAGCAGTCGTGAAGTCATTTTGCTTTATTTTCGCCGTGGTATAACCTTTGCTATGGACTACTTGCATGATAGACCAACTCAGTTGTGATCTATAAGTAAGAATTCGAAGGGGAAATGTCACCACAGCTAAAAGAGCATACTTAGATTAATTCGTGTATAAATGCCAAGTACGGCTGCAAAACGTCGAGTAGAACAGAAAATACAGCTTTGCACGAAGTAGACAATTTTTGTAAACTTTTGTATTACGAGCAAAAGTTTTTAATTATTAAGTTAATTACACTCTTCCGGCCACAACACAAAAGCATACAAAAATTTGCTTAGTTTATATCTTCGGAACTTTACATTATATAATAACTACACTGAAACACGCAATTTGAATGGTTCGTAGGCATATGCATGTAGTATGAAACAATCCTATTTCACGCTTTCCGAAAGTCTCGCAATTTCACGCGTGTAGTATCAAGTTTAGTAATTCTTCTCTCGGAAACCCTCCTTTTGTCGCCTGAATCAAAATTCGACTGAAAGCTGTTAAAAGTGCTCTCTCTGCCCACCTTGCTACTTTTAGTAGTTGATGATTGACACATTTAACACTTAAAAATGAATAAAATTGAGCTTGTTTATTTCTTTCTGAGCCTTGTTTACTACAGTTTCTTGTAAATTCACGGAGTATGTTGGGCGAGTGTGCCTTTTGTTTCGGTATTTTAAACTTCACACACAAGTGTTCACTAATAATAAAAAATTGTCGGTGTATTAAAAGGGTTGAATGTAGATCCAGTCACATTGAGTGCTTTTGTATTTAAAATGCCAGAATTTCTTCTTACCGCACGAAGGTGTCGTTACAGTGGTCGACTGGCCGAATTGAAGCACACCTATTTCGGTGATTCGTAAAATTTCTTTTCAAATATAAAAAGCATAGATATTTGTCCAAACAGTCCATAGATGCTTTGCGGTTCGCGAGTAGATCTAGACCCAGTACCCTTGCTCGATTGGGAAATGGCTAATTGCCGATATATATATATATATATTGTTCGGATCGGGAAGCTTTTATTGTTTCGCTCAACTAAGGCCTGTTTCCGACGTCGAACTTTTCATGTGCCGAATCGAATGCAAATGAAATTAAACAAAGACTTTAGCTTATTAACATTAGGTTCAGCACATAAAAAGTTCGACGTCTGAAACGGGTCTAACTCCCACAAGTATCACAACGCACGTTCAAAACATAAGGTATACTTTGTAGAAAACCCTGTATTCATTTCTTAACCGCAGCAGATAGATGTTTGAAGTTGGTTTATTGAGAGTAAAGTTAAACACATTGATTTTGAAACCTCGATCCTCTTCACAAATATTGTTGGCCTTGCCGGGCCAACATTATAGATTCCCAATTACGGCAAACAAAGCTACCGCCATGGGAATTTGTGACCATAAAATTTGCGATTCTTATTCACTTTTAGATATAATTTAACGATAGAATTAATTCAAATCTAAACGATTAACGAACGAACGAAATAAATTACTTCATTCATTAGTATTAATGCCCCGTACACTTTGAACACGCTACAATAAACCACTTCCTGACTTTCCTGAATTACTGTCATAGAACCGTATCACAAAATGTTTATAATAATTAGGCATCAATATATTACATACTTTGATCTTCTGCAACTCTCAGCTTTTTCTTCATATAAAATTCAACAAGAGAACCAACGGAAGCGTTCGGAGAGCTTCTCAATTACCTACAACATAGAATTGATTAAAGCAGCAATTTACATAAAATATTAATCTTACAATGTTTTAGTAGAGTGCCTCTTCTGTTGTTAAATGATAATTAATGTATTAGCGTTGTCATGAATTCTACGTACGTCCTTCTAGAAATGAGAAAACACATGATATCACCAATATGAAATGAGAATCCGGAAAAGTGCCTGCTCAAGTTAATATTAGTTGCATTGGTCTAATACTACCAAATCGAAGTGACTTACTTCCGACTAACATGAAATTTAGGTTGGCTTCAATTTTTGTGAGTGGACACTATTTATTAGGTTTCGTGTTTAAAAGCGTCGATATGTCAGGAAAGTAAGATTAGTTTCCCTTCTTCATTTTCTTTTAAGCGAGGGGAAAGTAAGGTGTTGTTTCCTCATGATACCTTCCGGGTTCAGGCTAAAAAGGAAAGTAATATGTAGTTTTCTTTGTATTCCTCGCCAGCACGTTTTGCCGATACAGCACGTTTCTCCTGTCTTAGATATAGTTGCAGAGAGTTTAGAAAATACAACTGCAACGTGCTCATCAACAATGGCATTGATCCTTAACTAGACAAAAGAAAATGTAAATTACGTTGCATTCAACCTTGCACATCGCCGTGGTTGTTGACAAGTTTACCAGATTACTGAATAAATTAGCCAAATAATATTACCATAATCGCTGTTTTCTTTCTTTCAAACAATGGAATCAAAGAGCCGACTATGAACATGTCTTTTATTCAGTAATCTGGCAACCCTGGTCGCTGAAACGATGACGCTGACTTACGCCAATACCACGGTGCATCACCACCCAGCAGTTAATGTGTTCTATGTTGCTTAGGGGCTGTTTACATGGGCCCGCGGTTTTAGAGATTTAACGAAGCGTAAAATGTTCTGTTTCAAAAGGAATTATTTCAATACTTCAAAATCCCATTTCATGCTTCGTTAAATCTCGGTAACCGGGCTCATGTGAAGAACCCCTCAGTGTCGTCGAAGCAAATTTGATGATCGACCATATATATAATAGTTAATAATCTCTCACTTGATTGAGTCAACTTGAGTATTATGCACTGAATATGTAGTGTAAACAGTTCCTATGTATTAAGGTTAAAAATATTTTGTTTGCTTTTTGAATAAAAGGATAGACTTGCTTTCTACTTTGAACTTAGCCCCCGATTAAGCTAAGCGAGCTTGATTGAGTTGTAAACGAGAGGCACGCTAAGCGTACATGTATCTGCGCAAGATGAAATGTAGTAATGGTTATGAAAAACTTGTTTTACCTTACTTGCTTCAATGCTGGGTTTTTTAATGAACTGTAACAGTATTGGTATTTAGGTAAAGTTTTAGCACTGCCGACAATAAGCAAAGCAAACAAATGATTTATAAAATACAGAATAATTCAGAGAATATATTCTTAATAACATTGATCAGCATAATTAAAGTATGTACATTTAAAAAAGTTTTAAAATGATTATTTAAAATTTAGTACTATTGTACTAAAGAATGTACTGACTGGAACTAATATTGACTAAATTTTTATACACAATAGAGAAAGTAAATAACTGATATAAAATCCAGCAACTGTAATGAGAGTCCCTTGGTTTTTTATTTAATTGTCAATACATAAATTAAGATGTCAATGGGGATAGGAGGTAATTGTCCATTATTTATAATCAACATAATATGGATAAATCCTGACAGGAAAAATTGTTGATGGAATCCATATTTGCACATAACTTTATTTAATACTAATGTTGTTTATGGACACCTGTCAATGTCCACTCTTGAGCAACATGGATCAGCTATTCCAGAAATCCACATTGTAATGAAGACGTTGCAAACCAAAGGCCACATACATCACCACAAAATGTTTAGAAGAATAAAAGTCAGATGTAATATTCAACTCCACTTCAATGTATAAATCATATACTGTGTGGTTTGATTACTGCAGCTGTATATAAGACTGTGCCATTTTACTTGAAAGCCAACACCAGCAGAAGGCATCAATAGCTTCTGTTTTGTACAGTAAATTGTATGCCACTGATTAGATCCATCTATATGAATTATGATAACTGTATATGCAAAGTCCTTTTCTTGTTTGTATACAAATAATACAATACTTCTCATGTCCTGCCAGTGAGTTGTTGTACTTCCACGGCATAACTTGAAAGCCCATATTAGCAGAAGGCATCATAGCTTTTGTTTTGTACAGTTAATTGTATGACATTGATTAGATCCATGCATATGATTTATGATAACTGTATATGTAAAGTTCTTTTCTTGTTTATATACAATATTTCTTATATCTTGCCAGTCAGTTGTTGAACTTCCACGGTATAACATGAAAACCCATATTAGCAGAAGGCATCATAGTCAGAAATATGGCCTTACATTCATGTCAGTGATTCATATTATGGAAGAAAAGATTGTATTTTGTGTTGGTTGTTTAAAATCGCTTTATGTCCATGCTTTTAACATTCGCCATCTTGTTTTACACGCATTAATCGGAAGCTCTCGACAGCTTTCGGCATGAACTCGGACAAAGATTTAGAGTGCTCTGATTGGCTAAAGGTTACGGTTAACAGCTAACAACACGATGACATTATATCTGCGCTAGCGCAGATACAAAAATGGTCATGACTGGCATGATGGGCGAGATGATGGTAAATAAGTATGAGAATATAGCAAACAAATAAAGACTAATACAGTATATTACGGACAATGAGACGAATTTTGATCGTGTTGACCAGTCTCGTTCCCAGGGCCTTTGGGACTGTATACGGGGGCTGGGAGCGAGAGGAGAGAAGAGGAAGGCCCTGAGTCCGTAAATTGAATATTTTAAAATGGCGGCGTGGCGTATAGAACGGATCATATTCTCATTTTACAGCATATTGGAATTGTGCTATTTCGGAATAATTTTAAGGATATTACTATAATTAAACATAAATTAGAAAAAATCATTTACTAAATCAGAAGTCAAAAGCGGCTGGCCTTATACCCCAACCCAGAATCAAGGTAAAAGGCCCTGGGACCGAGGTTGCATGTTGACACCAATGAACTCAAATAAGATCACAAGGCTAGCTCCGCCGGAAGTTTGAGGCCAAAATGGCGAACACTGAAGCCCGTCTTGTAGACATTGTCGACCATCTTGGTTTCACTCATTAATGAGGGAAAGTCAGAGAGCTAGCATTCCAGTCTTATTTCATTGAGTTCACTGGTTGACACACTCGATCAAACATCTAATGAGCTCAGTGCATAGGTCGTCTACAAATCCGGTCTCTCCAAAGGCACAGAACGATCTCGTTGACAACTATTTAATGGAGCCAGAATGTTTGCCGACTTTCTGAGACGAAGTCACCCAAAAATTTTACGAAAACGAGTCCTGCGATTGAGGAGAAAGTTGCGAAATTGGTAAATGGTCTTGTAGGTGAAAAGTTGTCAAAGACTGACGACTGACGTCATTAAATAAAACCAGCAGGCAGAAAATTTTCCTCGGTTAGTAGCTCCGAGATGTAATAAAGCTGTTTGGTATACATGCTGAAATGTCAAAGGTTGGTTATACTTATATGCGCTGATTCAAGCGACCATGCATGAAGGTCATGCATGAGAGCACAAAACAAGCCACCATGCTCTACTTCTTGTATTATCTGCTAATGCGGAATTTAATCAGAAGCGCCAATATTTCTTACGTCCGCATCTTAATGGTTGAATGCACTATTGTTACATATTTTGCACTGTTTTTTGGACAAGCTGTGATTAAAGAATTTGGCTCGAGATATTATAATACAACGTGCTTGTATTTTAGCTTACAGATGATATTTTATGAATAAAATTAAGTATAATAATTATTCATTTTTTACCTCGTCGTCAACTAAAGTTTTTGGAAATTGGTGGCAACCTCCCATCCGGCCATGCACCATGCCAAAATTTACAACCCGTTTTGGAATTTTATTATACGAGATTAATAGGGCTAAATTAGGTTTGCATCATTACGTTATAATTTATGTTATTTTCCACCCCCTATCATTAGAAAATTTGTTGTATTCAGTTTAGTATTTAGTTTACTTAAAAAATGCTTGACATGCAGTTCTGGGAATTCGTTACCGTGAATTTTATCGCATTATTGTGATTAGTTATTTTAGAGTTTGATAAGTGTTGTCTGTATCTCTTGCCTTATCTAAAGCAGCATATCTCGAGTATCCATCGTTTACGGAGCCCTTCGGTCACTGGTAGCGGAATTTTTGCGGCACAATTTTAAGATCAATCTCTTCGTAAATTTGATCTGCATTTGTATCTTGAACACCGGTACACGATCCACCATTTCTGTTTCCTAACCGTCGTCGACGACAATACACAACAGCATATGCAACACAAAGTACAACAATAATTACAACCACGACGATGATTAACGAAATATACCATTTAGTTCCGTCCTTCGACCTTTTCGAGTGTGATTTTTCTGAAAATAAAGTCGCATTATTGGGACTTTAATCTCGAGTATCCATCGCTTACGGAGCTCTTCGGTGACTGGTAGCGGAATTTTTGCGGCACAATTTTAAGATCAATCTCTTCGTAAATTTGATCTGCATTTGTATCTTGAACACCGGTACTCGATCCACCATTTCTGTTTCCAAACCATCGTCGACGATAATACACCACGGCAGATGCAACACAAAGTACAACAATAATTACAGCCACGACGATGATGAAAGAAATATACCATTTAGTTCCGTCCTTCGACCTGTTCGAGTGTGATTTTTCTGAAAGTAAAGTCGCATTATTGAGATTTTAATATCATTAAGGTAGCGCTTAGAGAATTGTGCTGTATATTAGCCATTTTCCAATCGAGCAGAGTACTGGGTCTATTCGCAAACCGCAAAGCATTTATATGGACTGTTTGGAGGGACTAATGATTACAATTACAATTTCTTGTCCCTTCAAACAGTCCATAGATGCTTTACCATTCGCGACCAGACCCAGTACTCTGCTCGATTAGGAAATGGCTAATTTTGCACAGGAAATTGATACCTATAGTTTTTAAGCATATGTTTTTTAAAATCATATTTTGTATTTTACACAAAAAACTGCTTTGGTTGTTAACTCGTTGGTGGTTGTATCGCGCACAGCAAGTTTACTGGTCGATTTACTCTTGATGTCAATTACAAGGGCGATATTTCTTATATAGCTAAAAAATTAAGAATTATTTCGTGTTTTTCTCATAATATCATAATATTGACCTAAATTGTTTACCGTAATTAAAATCAACCTTAATTGATTTTTCATCCGTGAGAGTGTGGCTTTTTCCAACACATGTGTATGTTCCATTATCTGTTTCACTGACATTACTGAGATTCAACACGTTTTGCTCCTGTTCTGTGTCACCAAACTGGACGCCATCTTTATACCATGTCACATTGGCTGGAAGATTTCCACCTTTTGCTTTACACAAGCATGTTATGTCATCACCAAGATTTACTGCGATAAAACTGGAACAATTGACGATTACATTTGGTCTCTCTGAAATGTTAGGCAAGAGAAATAAGGTTTTTAATGACACGTTTTTAGACTGGAAGAAACATCGAGTAAACACGTTAAGCCCATGAATATCATATGAATTTATAAGCTTAATTATTGGGGATTGAATCATTTCGAAACTTTCTTTATTTTTTTATAGTACGAATGCGCATAAATCGCGATTCTTTGAAAAATATTTGCTATTTGGAAGTTTCTTAGGTTTTGGCAAAAGTGGACAATATTTTATTAACAAAGCTTGCCAACCTCGCCACGAGAACGAAACTATTTATGGGCAGCCTAAGGTGCATACTTATGTTTCAGTTCTGCCCGACGATTGAAACCGCATCTACATGCGACCAAGAAAAGTATCGGATAGAACTGAATACATGAATATCAGACATCTAATTATTGCAGTGGTTAAATAATCACCTGTCGGAGAACATTCTACTCCAGCGTCTCGATCATGAGAACACCAAGTACTTCTAACACCCCAACCATCATGTAAACAACTTTTAATATTTTCTTCTTCTCCAGTACAATCAACGTTGTCTAACCATATTGGTCCAGAACCAGGAATAACCTCGCTCCTCTGAAGAGTCCTCACAACGTTGTGGTAACCAAGCTGACGACATACAACCCTGGCATCTTGCAAACCCCATCCATTGTCACAGATTGTTCCCCATTGCCCCTTGTAAAATACCTCAACACGACCAGTGCCATCTTCGCCCAATGGTCCTTGGAGCCTGAGTGACACATTTATAGCTGTAAAGGTTTAAACAAATTTATAAACGAATAAATATCCGGGTGATACATTGTTCTGCCTCTGCAAACCAAAGGCAAAGTTATATATTATTGTGCATGCCTATTGTTATTCTTATTTAAGTATTGTCTTTAATTAAATAAGAATTTACAGATAAGTCTTATTAAAGTAGTGGTGCTTGATTTCTTATGCTGATTTCTTTAGTTATACGAACGTAGCTAACTAAATTTAGATCCAATTTTGTTTCAAATTAGATATGACATCATTTTTTCCAGCGCATAAGATCCGTAAGACTCTTGATATCGTTCTTGGAATCTCTTGAGTGCAAGAAGAGGAAATTATTTTTTAATCAAAAGATGCAAAACACAGGAGATGCGTATCGAATCACCGTCAGGCTTATATTTAGGTTGTACCCATCAACCTCGTTCCCAGGGCCTTTTGGGACTTACACCAACCCAGAATCAAGGTAAAATGCCCTGGAAACGAGGTTGATGTTGTACCAAGAAACCTCAGTAAAACTATTGAAATCACGCGTTATATAATATAACGTTACAATGTAATAGTTAAAATTTGAATGCCTAAGCACCCTGTTGGGCATAGGCATATAAATGTTTTACTTTTACAGAAGCTATTTCATGCATCCATTAATTTATTAAGAATATTTACTATTTACAAATATGGACAGTAATATCTAATATTACTGCTCAAGCACAATGCCTTCGACATGTTCCCTATCTCGCAAAATATATAGCATTATTTATTTCTTCAGTATTTAACATTTTATAATTTCATTTTCAGTAACACTTGAAATCGATATTCTCAAGGCAGATTTATGGTAATTTCAGGCGTTTTCAAAATTGCTTTAAGAGAAAACTATAAATTGGCTTACCAATTTCCTATCATCGAAGTTTTACTTACACCTTACTAATAATTTTATAGGCAAAATGTCATATATTGATTTTAAATGCAATTGCCTGTACATTTTCAGCGGATATTACAAATGAAACACCTCTAGCTACACATTTTCTAATTGTTTTTGGAGACATGTTCAGATCTCAGGAAAATTTCTTATTTGCATGGTCAGCGACGCGGAAGTGTGTGAAGCAACTAAGAAACAACATGCATGCAAAGTTTTTATCGCCATCAGATAATTTTCTGTGTCAAATTAATTCATCTGATATTCTATACTACTGTCAGTTGAAATAATTTTACCTACCAGTCGCAGAACATTGTACTCCGGCGTCTTGATTATGGTGGCAAGAATGAACTCCCCAACCGTTATGAAAACAACTTGCAATATTTTGTTCTTCCCCAGTGCACGAGACGTCCATCAACCATATTCTTCCTGAGCCAGAAGGTACGCTGTTCCTTTCAAGAGCCCTGACAGCATCAGGATAACCAAGCTGACGACAAGCAACCCTAGCATCTCTCAAATCCCATCCAGAATCGCAGATTGTTCCCCATTGTCCATTGTAGAATATTTCAACACGACCAATACCCTCTTTACGTGATGGCCCTTCCAACCTGATTGGCGCAGTTATAGCTGTAACAAAGATTTAAGCACGCAAGCGTGTCAACAAAAAATACGTTTTTCAGACAGTAAGGGCGTACCATGCCAATTGAGTTGACAATACTTTATTACTTGAATTTAGCTAATAATAAAGAATATCTAACGTAACATTTTAGATCATTTTACGCAGAAAATAGCACTTTCGCAATTTAACTAATGCAGAAAATAGCAGAACTTTCATAATTAATCTAACGTTATTTCAACTTTATATTTTGATTATTTTTGACCATTTATATTTTGAGCATTGTCCTATTTGAAAAAGAGTAAGATACCTCTTGCGAGGTACACAAAAACGAGGCCATTAAGGTTTTCTTCTGTCAAAAAAATATTTGTTTATTTCTGGATTTTGATTGAAAGAAACATCGTCTTTGAAGCCTCTGAGAGTCCAATGGGAAAATGAAAATAAGCATGCATGATTTTGAGAATTGCCTCATGCAGGCCTCTTGCTCTTTTTCAACTAGGTTTATGGTTCTGCTTTTCACCGGTAAAGGAGAAGCAAAGGTACATATCCACGTTACCATAGCATCTAAGTGCGGATTGTTTATTAATTAGAGGTTTTATTGACGTACAGTGATCGATCCAATTAAAGTATAACCAAAACTCTCGCATACAGCATGAAAATAAGAATTCCATATTTTGTTTTTATAGTAAATTTTTAATTAACAATGTGAAAGCTCTGCAAAGTCTAATGTGACAATTTTGCGAGCTCTGAGTGAAATCTGAACGCACTATTCAAGTATTTGGCAAATCAACACTTCACTGACGTAGAGAGGACGCGGAAGATCATTAAGGTGGCTTTCCTTCTTTAGGTAAAAACGGCCACACCGGTTTTTCTGTACAGAGAGAATACTGATATTTTAGAGTGTTTCTATCACTCTCCATTCGAGTATATCGTTATTTACATCTTCCTAGCACAGGAAAAGCAGTTTCATCACTATATTCCTAACAAATATTCTATTTCAATTAAAAATAATTTATGACCTTTTAGCCGCCAAAAGGAAAGCGCCCTTAGTAGAGCAAATATTCGTTTATTTAGCGTCTTGAACCTGATTGTTCTTTCGTTCTGTCAATTAACATGAAGATATGACCCTTCTGAATACGTATATGCCAAATTTGAAGCCTGAACTAGGAAGAAAACTTGAAGAAATCTTGATGGATGAAAACCTTTTTAAGCCCAAGGAAAGAAGCATCCTTAAATGCTAATTTTTGTAAAAACGTTGTCACGCGGAATCCTAATTTGTCCTGTCGTGGTCCGTGAACGGTGGATGGTGCATGGACGGGCGACGCTCGACCGTTTTGTTAGTTTTGCGCATGCCCGACTAACGACTGGTAATCAACAACGTTCTGATTGGCTAGGACAGAAAATTTGCATTTCAATGAGAACGTCGACGTCAGCATTCAACTCTTTTGTAATTAAAAAGCGCGTCATAAACTTTCGGCAAAATAAAATCAGAAGAAGCAAAATAGATGAGGACAGATAACATAATTCATAATCTGCAAGCTTATAAGTGTTTTAAAATGGTACGTGTTTACTTTTTATCAGTATATTTGCTTCGCAGTAAGGATGCTGTTTACTTCTATAACTTTCAGCTTTGTATGCCTGCAAATTCATAAACCAACTGCCTAGTTGAAATTGTTTAATATTAGAATTATCTGCAATTCTTAAAGACAACAGTACCTATGACCTATCTACGACAGTGAAGATGGTGTACAGTCCGTAATATAAAGATTGAATCTGTATAATATTTCCTCAAGAAATTTCCGAATATTTGACAGGCTTGTACGTCGCTATACTTCTAAATTAACATCAGAAAGATTTTTTGTTCAGACATTTGAAACAGCTAGGCTGCAGAATTGAAATCGATTTAAGTCTATTTATAAAGATTAACTACCATGAATGAAATTCCAATCCCATGTTTCCCTTACAATCAAAGTGCGCATAAATCCTGAACATAAACCTAAATCTTAATAACATATATTTTCCAACTATATTTAAAGAGAAGTGTTTGATATGTTATGGCGCACGTAATCGCGCTGAATAATCTCGTTTGAGGTAATGTGAATGGCGCATTTTAAGTACCGACCTGTTGTAGAACATTCCACTCCGACGTCGTTATTATGAGAGCAATAATGTTCTCCCCACGGTCGATGTGAACAACTTGTTATATTTTGCTCTTTCCCAGTACAAGCGACCTGACTCAACCATATCTGTCCGGAACCTGGAGGAAATTCGTTCCTTTGAAGAGTTTTAACAGCGTCAAGATACCCAAGTTGACGACATACAACCGTAGCATCTCTCATACTCCAGCTATAACCACAGATTGTCCCCCAATATCCATGATAGAGTACTTCAACACGACCAGCTCCTTTTTCACTTACTGGGCCTTGTAACCTTAGCAGCACAGGGGTAGTTGAAAAATCTAAACGGAATATTCACAACTATTGAAGCTTAAATGCTAGCTCACATGACTATAATTTCGAAAATCCTATATTATATGAAGTGAAACCTATATTTCTATAGTATAGGTTTTGGAGAATAAATAGAAAAACAAAAGTAAAAAGACGACAAGCTGGTTTATATAAAATGGAAACTGCAAGCCTTCTGTGAAATTTCAAACTAACTCTAAACTGCAACAACTTGAATTTCAGAAGTTTTAAAGCTTAGAGTTTCCTTTTCGTAAATTTCCATTCTAGTTCGGGACTGATCAAGTAGTAGCATTGCGTAAAAACCGAAATATTCGACAACCTTTACCTGTTCTACTACATTCGACTCCGACGTCTTTTGAATGTTTGCAATCATAAGATGTAACACCCCAACCATTATGAGAACACCTAGCTATATCACGCTCGGAACCTGTACAATCAACAGATTGTAACCATACTTGTCCAGAACCAGAAGGAAACTGTCCACTACGAAGTTCCCTAGCAACATCTTTAAAACCAAGTTGACGACATAAAACCCTAGCATCTTTCATATCCCATCCTTTATCACAAACTGTTCCCCATGTTCCATTGTAGAATACCTCAACTCGACCAGTGCCGTCTTCACTTAATGGCCCTTGTAACCTGAGCGATACAGTTATAACTGAAAAAAAAAGAATGGAGAGTAGATATGTCGTATGAATATACATAGATTTAGATTTAGATTTAGAATGGTATGCTGTTTTTCTAATTTTTGAATATTTTTCATAGATTCAATATACGTGCTATGAAGACGTTTGGGATGCGTATTTTTAAAGTGAGCGTTTCTTTTAATTCATTTTTTTTTCTTCCCAAGTATAATTCAAATAGCTTCATTAAGCAGTTCGCCTTTTTCACTCAACCAGAATTTCGGTAAGCCTTTTTTCGAATTGAAGTTGATGTCGTACGGCTAGAGATATTACCTGTCCTTGAACATTCTACTCCGGCGTCTTCATAATGAGAGCAAGAGCTCTTCCCCCAATTGTTATTTGGGCAGCTTGTAATATTCGGTTCTTTCCCAGTGCAAGCGACGTGAGCTAGCCATATCCGTCCAGAACCAGAGGGGACCAGATTTTCTTGAAGAGTCCTAACAGTATCCGGAAAACCAAGTTGACGACATACAACCTTGGCATCATTTATGTCCCATCCATCATCGCAGATTGTCCCCCAATATCCATTATAGAATACTTCAACACGACCTATACCATTTTTACTCAATGGTCCTTGCAGCCTTACCTTCACAGATGTAGTTGAAATATCTATAAAAAAATACTATATAAATTCTTATGATTCTTTTGATAAGTCGTTCAACTCTATGTAATGAATGGTCGACTTGGATTTTTTTTTTGGTTATGCGCATGACTCGTGCAAGACTCGTGCTGAACGCAAAAGGAGAAAAGTTGCTATTTCAACGAGAACGTCAGCAAACTATCATGATTTTACTACGAGAATGTAATAAATATTTTAAGTCTTTAAACATATTTTTTAATATTATAATTAGTTATTATAGTATAACATTTATAGTACGCGCGTGCTGATGGGTCGAGAAGCGTGTTTCTATAATTTTTCCGCCGAACTTGTCAAGCGAATTTTCCCGCCGAACTTGTCAAGCGAAGTAATGTAATGAGAATTTGTAATTGAATCGAATTATAATATTTGTAAAAAATCTTTTTATTGAGTTATATTGTAAAAGAAATAGAAAACATTTTTTCCTGTGTTTCTATACAGTTATAGAAACACTTGTGGGAGTTTGGGAGAACTCGAAATAACGTGGAAAAACTCGCCCTACGCGCTCGTTTTCCCACTGATTATTTCTGGTTCTCCCAAACTCCCACGCGTGTTTCTATTTAACAATTAGACAACGAGTCCGAGTTGTCTATGAGCGAATAGTCAACGAAGGCGAAGCCTGAGTTGACTATCCGCTCATAAGCAACGAAGGCGAGTTGTCTAATTGTTTTAGTATACACCCTGTACCTAGATATATTAATTTCGAGGAAATAATCGATACACCGCAATTACACCGAAAAATAATTTAATTAATTCAATTTTATACAGTTGCGCGAGCGAATTTTTCCCAAACGTGCACTATCACGAATAGACGATGGTTGAGTAGCCAATCAGAATGTAGGATTTGTAATAGACAATAGTCGGGTGTATACTAAAACTGTATAGAAACACGGAAAATGTTTTTTATTTCTTAAATGAAAATCATGCTTTAGAGATCTGTAAATTCCTTACGTAGAGTATTACACGAACATTTAGTTAAGTGTCCCATACCCCACATTGAAAACTTCATAACATGTCACAAGAAAAAGGCTGATTTATAAAACCTGGAAGCGGAACAGCTTCAATAAAAAACAATTTTAGAATGTTGCTGTTGCATGAATCTCCTATATCGTCTTTTAAATTATATTCAAATATTGATTTGCATTTGGCTGTATCATTTTATACCTATGATAATGCACATATGCATGCTCTTTACGTGGAAAAAAAGTTGTGTCTCCTACTTGCATTGCAGTTTACATTACATTCGAGATTTCGGCACGCACAATTAAAATTGTTACCCATTAGTCGTGTTCAGGCTATCAATACAAAAGCCTAGCACAGATGAAATTTGCACGGGTACCCATCTTAGGGGCTGCTTACATGAGCCCGGTTACCCAAGATTCAACGAAGCGCGAAATGATTTTGAGGTGTTGAAATGAGCAGAAATGAGCATGATCCCGGCAGTCGTATAAACACCACAACTATAGCATGTGCTTGTTTGGTGTCCTAAAGACCTATTTCAATACCTCAAAGTCCTGTTAAAGTCACGCTTCGTTGAATCTCGGGTAACTGGGCTCATGCATGTAACGGAGCTTTAGTCTGTTTGGTAAACGGTTTTAGGACCAAATGATTTCCAAAATAAGGCTGGAACAGACGAACTAATGACTGAATTGCAACCACATAGTAACATTAAAAAAATGTACGTTTCGTTGAATACAGCAACTGCATGTTCATATTCTATTTCAAGAAATTATATCCTTAAAATACTGGCATTTTCTAACATTCATAAGACGACTTTCTGTATGATGAATTTCAAATACCGACCTGTTGTAGAACATTCCACTCCGACATCATTATAATGAGAGCAATAATGTTCTCCCCAAAGACTGTGAGAACAACTAGTTATATTTTGTTCTTCGCCAGAACAGTCTACAAGATTCAACCATATCTGTCCAGAACCTGAAACAACCTCGTCCCTTCGAAGAGTTCTAACAGCATCGAGGTAGCCAAGTTGACGGCATAGAACCCTAGCGTCCCTTATATCCCAGCCGTACTCGCAGATCGTTCCCCAAATTCCATGAAAGAATACTTCAACACGTCCAGTACCATTAGAGCTTTGTGGTCCCTGCAACCTGACTAACACGGGCGTAGCTGAAAAATCTATGAAAAGAATACAGTATAATGAAAATACAGCTAAAAATATATAGCCTATATAAACTCGCGTGAAAAAGAACGGCGAAATAGTATTGTTGAAAATTATGCTTGCGAGTTGCGAGAAAAGATACATATACAGATTTTACTTTTTAGGAAAATCTTTTAAATAAAAAATCTTGTTGGCTGCTGCGCCTTTAGGTCTGCTTTAGACGTGGAACTTAAACAAAGATTTTAGCTGATTAACATCAGGTTCGGCATATGAAATATTCGACATCTGAAACGGGCCTAATTTTAGCATGCGCCGAGCTTGGGTACTGATTCGACTGGGAGATTTGAATTAGCAGCATACGCGTATGCCATGAGGCATGCATGGGCCTTGTTTACGCTACACTCAATATATTGCCAACGCACGTTCTAATAAAATTGAGACTTTCTACAGCTTCGTAATATATGCCATGCACAATGAGACTGCGGTAGTTTAATTAGAAAATAAAATTTTGATCTTATAAACTTAAAATTTCGAATAAAGTTAAATTTAAATTTTTTTTTAAGTTGCGTGTTTACGTCAGCTGAGTGTTACTTTAAATATTTTGTTTTACTATTTTTTTCCATCATCCTAAAAAATTGTCTAAATGGAAACAGGTCTATTTTTCGTATTTATAAATATATATTTTGTATTCTTGTTCATGGGAATTTATCCCCGAGCCGGTGCGGAACACCGTGCGAGGGTACTAATTCCGCTCGGAGATTATGACTACACCCCGGTATTCTACAGAACATTGCGGAATCCGAAGTTGTTCAAATTCTATGTCGTGGACCTCGGATGGTTTTGTAAGTTTTTAAGAAATTTAAGTGAATGAGTGGAAACCGTCAATCAGAAACTAACTGATTGGCTGAGTGAGAAATTTGTATTTATACAACATTAGATACGATGTTACTTAAAGTATTGTTATCTGCAAGGAAACATGCAAATACAAATAGCAAGTTGTTTAAAAAGTTTTGGAGGAAATCACTGAAAGGTATACCTTCTGTAGAACATTCAACACCGGCGTTCCTGTAAGAGCAAAATAAGTGAATAAACCACGATGGCCAATGATTGTAAGGACAGCTTAAAATACTCTGCTCTTCCCCAGTACATGCGACCCTAGATAACCATGCTATTCCATCACCAGGAGGTGTCTCGCTTCCTTTAAGAGCCCTAGCAGCATCTAGGTAACCAAGCTGACGACAGACAACCCTAGCATCTCTCAAGTCCCAACCATGTTCACAAATCGTTCCCCAAAGTCCTTTGTAGAATACTTCAACGCGTCCTGTACCATTGGAACTTAATGGTCCTTGCAACCTCACCAATACAGCTGAAAGATGTTAAAAGATTTTTTCACTCAGCTATTTATCATATATAAAGTCCCACACACATTTAAACACATGTGTTGATCATTTCAGATATAAATATATATATAAAATATATATAAAAAATATTTATAACAAGAAATTTTACATTGCTAACTATTTCGGTCTTTTGTGTGTCTCTACACATGGCAGCAGAATTACAGCGGATTTGCATGTGATAATTAGCTTGAAAATTGCCAGCTTACTAATAAATGAGGCGAAAATGAGCATATTTTACTTGCTTTAAGGAGAGGGTTATGCCTCGAATTTCTTCTTCATATTTTGTGTATATTTCAAAAAGTATTTATAATTTTGTACATGATTTTGGAAAAGGTTGGTAGATTTTCAATGAGAATTAATGTTGAGATGAGAATTAATGTTCCTGTTGACTTCAGTGTTTATAGCATACCCGTCTACAGTGCTTACGCTGGAAGAACCAATCCTTAAAAGGAAAGGTAAATTAAATTCATTAGCACCTAATTTTTAAAGAAGGCCATATAGATCTTCATATCAGCAACATGGTCCTATTTTGGCAAACGTAAAGAGGAACGCTTATTTTATGAATTTCACCATTTTTATTTCTACAATTATGCTATATGAGTTTATATTGCAAGGTAGTTTGTGTTCATTGGTGCATCCACTATCTAACAGTAACGTATATCGCGGTCGCATTGACCAAAATAGTTGGCGATGCCTCAAGATACTGTCCTTCGTTATAGGGACGTTAAGCATATAGGACGCGAACGGGCAGACGGCGGCTATCAATACAATGGGTCATTGAAAAGAAATGAATAATTAAAGACCCATTATGGTTTTTAGACGTCGTCTTCGTTCTGTTTACAACGGGGAAACGTCATTTTTTGCCTCTTGCCTAGAACGGTTGCATTTCAAGACCCAGCGAGCCCTACCTCGAATTAAGCCGGTTTTCCACTAGCGATATTTTTCGCGCGAATCGACTTTATTCCTTTGTATTTGAGCAATTTGTTCCAGATGGTTGCAGTTGAGAGCTCTGGAACAAAAGTAAACTGTCGATTCGCGCGAAAAGATATCGCTAGTGGAAAACCGGCTTTAGGCTCTGTAGAATTGTCCTCAAACATAAACACGATGCTTTTAACGCCTTATATCTCAATAAATCGGTACAGTAAATAATATACAACAACCACTTTGCCACAGCATTTACTTAAAGGAGAATTTCAGGACCTAGAAATACCCAAGATAAGTAACTCCTTGTTAAAACTTTGGTAAACGGCTGCATGTTCCTTTAATCTAGAGCTGGTTGGCAACCGCAATTTTATTCCTATAAACCCTCATTTAGTTAGAAGTTTTGAGAACGGGAGAATTGATCACTTCAATATAATTGTTTCACATCAACATGGCCAGAAATTCAGGCCGGTAAGCGATGAGGTGTGTGGGCTCTTGCGGTAATATAGTAACAGCTAAAATAAAATATTATAATACTCCATTAAATTTAGATCGTTTAATTGGTGGATAATGGTCATGCAAAATTGAATAGAAAGTCTCATCTCCCAAGAGTACAATCGAATGCGTTCCATTGCACTCTCCACTCCAGAGTGCAATTGTACTAAACATTTTGTTCCATTGCACTCTTTATGCTTTAAGTAAATCCCATCTGTTAAAATCCTTCTCGCAACCGTGGACCATGGCCGCAATTTATTTAGATTTGTATAGTGCATGGCATAAAAAAAATACTCTACGAAATCGATGTATTTCATTGCATTAGGGAACACATTTACGTGTCTTTTTAAGTTTCTAAAATGCGATGTAAATAAATCTAGGGTCTTTACGAAATAGCTCTGACGTGGATATATGCCGATGCTTTCTTATACAATTTTAATCGTTAAAATATTCTTTCTCGTGAACATACTGGGTAGCGTCGCAGATTCTCGCAAGAATGATTTTCATTTGCTGAACTTTACAATACATTTCTGTTTCAACCAATAGTATAGCTTCGTTCTTTAGAAAGCATAGAAAAGCATTATCCAATTGGACGAAAGCTTCTGAGCGATGTGACCTGTTCCACATGCTAGGGCATCTTGACTAGTCCTCTAATTTCCAGTTTTTAAAAATCGATAAGATTAATGTTGTTTTGAACGTGAACAAGCAAGACTTTTCAATTGTGGGTTGCAGAGAAAGCAAATTTTAATAATAACCTTTTAAATTAGCGCTAAATCACGCATGCTTGGCATCCATAATGGCCTGCATTTCTTGCCAAGATTGTATTTCACGAAAAATTTTGCGAAATATATAGTGTAATATACCTTTCGAATTACATTTTACTCCAGCGTCTTGATTATGAGAACAAGAATGATCCCCCCAACCACCATGAGAACAACTTGTTAGATTTTGCTCATCACCAGCACAAACAATGTTCGCTAGCCATATCTGACCAGAACCAGAAGGAAACGAGTTCCTATGAAGTGTCCTTACATGCACATTGTCAGGATCATAACCAAGTTGACGACAAACAACCCTAGCATCTCTCATATCCCATCCATAATCGCAAATTGTTCCCCAATATCCATGATAGAATACTTCAACACGACCTGCACCATTTGCACTGTGAGGTCCTTGTAATCTTAGTTTCACGGACTTGATATCAGCTGGGTAATCTTTAAAAAAGTTGTGTCAGTCTGTTTTTAAAATTAGGCTGGGCCATATGTAATAAGTATCATCTAATTTTGAAAATAGCCCTTGCAGGCCGTACAAAGGGAGTCAGTCGATCATGGGACGAATATATGAATATGAATATGAACACCCGCCCTAATTCAATTAAGTTTCTAAAAAAACATGCAAGACATGCACATTAGCAATTAGTAAAAAACAGAGATATATTTTTCTATATATATGAATATTTAAAAAAATAGATAACATTTAACTCTTGTCTGTTCAGCTATAGAGACACGGTACGGTCATTTGCGATAAGAAAAAAAACGTCTCATCACTAATAACGTAATATACCGCGTATCTTTAACTGAACGGAGAACGGTTAAATGTTATCCATTTATTTTATATTAATTAACAAAATCGAAAAGTTCCCAAATTAAACGTTCAAATAGTTTTTTTTGTTTTTCCCAAGACACGCACGAAAATGTAATTGGCTGACAAAATAAACAAGCGATGATTGACAAAATTCGGTAAAATTTTCTGTGACGTTTTCCGTGCGTCTGTCCTCTTAAAGATCATGGTTCACGACCAATGAAATTGGTTGGATTCTTTTAACCCTAAAACGTTATATTATATAAATTATTTGGTGTATGAAGGAGATTAGGACATCCATACCGGTTTTGGAACATTTCACTCCAGCGTCTTGATAATGAGAGCAATAATCAACTCCCCAAGGGCTGTGGGTACAACTTGCGATATTTTGTTCCTCCCCCTTACAAGCGACATAAGCTAACCATATTTGTCCAGAGCCAGAAGGAAAAGTGTATCTTTGAAGTGGTCTGAAAGCATCTCTGTACCCTAGTTGACGACAGGCTACCCTAGCATCCCTCAAATCCCATCCATCATCACAGATTGTTCCCCAATGGCCGTTGTAAAATACTTCAACACGACCAGTACCATTTTCACTTAATGGGCCTTGTAACCGGAGCGACACAGGTGAAGCTGGCATATCTTAAAAGAACATCGTCGCGCGATTAACGTTTGTATTACTATCTGTTCCCATATGTGATATCTTCCCAGATAAGACTTTATGACACGTTCGTTTTATAGAGACAATGACACGTTCGTTTTATAGAGGGTCATAAATTATGGACAAATTTTTCCGAATATTGAGTCAAAGCTTTTGGATGGTCTGTACTAGTCGACAGTGATGTAGGGCCTGTTTACATGGAGCAAGTTATCCCGGCTAGGCCAGGTGAGAACTACATAAAAATTATAATGAAAGACAAATCAGTTTATGCCATTGATGTGATGCGCTTTCGCTCTATGTAAATAGGCCCTTCGGCTTATGTAAACACGAAATATGAAATAAATTTATCTTCTTCACTCTTTTTCAATCCTAATCTTGGGACAACCAGACCTAATCAATGTCCACCAATTCTGCTTTGTCTTTGTTGTACTGACGCCATTTTCGAACGCCAAAATTCTTAACTGAGTCATGCGGGACTCGAAAGATAACATTATTTTAAGGTTTAGTCTGTTTTGAAGTTTTTGTACTGCTCTGATTGTTTCAAGCTTGGTTTTTAAACATTTATTTAAGCTTCAAGAGTCCATCAACTGCTTGCTTTATGCCATAATGCAGCAAAGAAGCGAGCAATGTACACTTTTCTGTCTACTTTCGTATCGAATGATAGAAACATTATTGAGCTTTGAGTCATTTGATAATATAAGTTCCGATTGGGCTAGTTCAGAAAATTGGGTGTTTGCTTTTAAATAGCGAGTCGTTGCATCATGCATCTAGTTGTCGTATTAGTACGGCTTTTTTCAAGACGCGCGGTCGACGAAAAGAAGTGAATATCCTTGTTCTCAGCGAAATTTAAAGTGAAATTTAAAGTCGGTTATAAATACAATAAGTCTGAAATGAATTTCATCGGGAACTCTGTCATACCTGTTGTAGTACATTCAACTCCAGCGTCTTCACTGTGAGAACAATAATTAACTCCCCATCCTCTGTGATGACAACTTGTTATATTTTGTTCCTTTCCATTGCAATCGACGTAACCCAGCCATATCTGTCCAGAACCAGAAGGAACCTGCCCACCATGAAGTGCCCTAGCAGCATCTTTATAACCAAGTTGACGGCATACAACCTGGGCATCTCTTATGTCCCACCGATTATCACAAATCGTTCCCCATTCATTATTGTAGAATACTTCCACACGACCAGTACCATTAGCACTTATCGGTCCTTGCAATCTTATCAATACCTCTTGAAGGTAATGAAAATAGTATTTCAATTACAATAATAGAGAGTTATTTCATAATATGAGCTCCATCTTTTAAAAATCTAGCACTAATCCCGTCCAATCCTGGGGGATTTTTATTTTCTCCGAGTCGGTCCGGAGCACCGTGCGAGGGTACTAATTTGCCTTAATAGTATATTAAAGTTAAGGGCAATTTTGTTATGTAGTACTACCATGATAATAATATCACCTGTGTTTGAACACTCCACTCCGGCGTCTTGAGAATGAGAGCAATAATTAACTCCCCAACCATTATGAGAGCAACCTGTAATATTATATTCCTTTCCATTACAAGCGACGTGGGCTAACCATATCTGTCTAGAACTTGGTGGAACAGATGGGACCAGGTTTCGGTAAAGCGTTCTGGCATGTACACGATTTAAATCATAACCAAGTTCACGACAAACAACCCTAGCATCTCTGATATCCCATCCATAATCACAAATTGTTCCCCAATATCCATGATAGAGAATTTCAACACGGCCGATACCATTCCCGCTTAATGGTCCTTGTAACCGCACTCGTATAGGGTTAGTGTCAAAATCTAAAAGGAATTTCGGATGCCATACGAGAACTAATGGGTTAGACCCTAATTAATTCTTGGCGTATAGCACAATATTATATAATAATATATTTCCAAACCACACTTAGTGGAGTAAAATATTCTGGGAGTTGTTATGTTATAACAATATTAAAGGAATACCAAATGATTTTCCGTGCAGGATTGCGTGATCCATGCACGCGGGATGTTGCGAGACTTTCGGAAAGCGTGAAAATACACGAGCCGTAGGCGAGTGTATTTTCACGCTTTCCGAAAGTCGAGCAACATCCCAAGTGCATGGATCACGCAATCCTGCACGGAAAATCATTTGGTAATTGTTTTTATAAATAACTGTAGTGAAACAACGGTTAACTTTATTAAAATTAAATTTCGCGTGCAGGATTGTCTAAAACGCGTGCAGGATTGTCTGATCCTGCACGGCTATTGACCAATCACATTGCGTGTTTCACTATAGTTATTATATAAATTATTATACTGTATACACAGTATAATTATCAGCGGCCTTTATTTCTGTATATTGATATGGCTGTCTAGAGTTTTAATTAGGTTGCACACATAATATTCTTATAAGTTTTATAAGTGTCCTCAAATAAGTAAATTTGCAATTGCGTAATAAATTAATCAATTGCACTGATGAAGGTCCGGGATAACGTACCGAAAGCTTTGCAGTATTTGCATATTAGTTTAAATGATGGCATGTAAAATTAAAAATCGTACGAGCACTTAATTTGTAATCCTCAAAAAAACTTTTTTAGGATAAAACAAATCGGCTCGTACGATTCTCCTAAAACTTGCATATTTCACGCACTTCAAGAGGGAAGTCAGAGAAGATTTAAAAATATTAACCGAAGGAAACACGAGAAATATACGATTATTTTTATATTCATGACATCACAAAAAATGAGGATTTTAATTTTATTGTGCGAAAACACGTGTGTATGGCTATCTATATATAACCACGTTTTGGTGCAAAAATATTTTATTGGAATTTGGATTATAATTCCTGCAGAGGCGGATCTGGGGTAAGTCCAGTCAGTCGCGCGGCTTATGTATTTTTAGCAATAAAATGACAATCAAATATGCAAATCAATCCGCCCCTGATTCCTGCCAAAAAATGTTGCTAACATAAACAATAACATTATTTCATTTAATAATGATTTTGTAACATAAAACTGTAGAGAGCTACCTTAAGCAAGTGTGCGTGTTAAAATTTCATTCCAAGCTTCGAAATTAGTTTATTGAAATATATTAATACTCATAGGTACACCGCGTAAGTATTGAATACTGCAACACTTTTGGCCCGTTAACCCAATCTGCAATAGGCCCGTGTTAACAGACCGAAAGCTTTGCGGTATTAAATACTTACGTGGTCTACATACAAGCTAATTTACTTATTTGTGGTCATCATGGAAAATTACAAGAATATTATTATATTTTTATATTTATACCCGTTGTAGAACATTTCATTCCAGCATCTTGAGTATGAGAGCAAGAATGAATCCCCCATCCATTATGATAACAGCTTGTAATATTTTCTTCCTCTCCAGTACAATCAAGAGCAACTACCCAAATATTTCCAGAGCCTGACGGAACCTCATTCCTCTGAAGAGTTCTTGCAACATCTTTATACCCAAGTTGAAGACATGCGACTTTAGCATCTTTCATATCCCATCCATCATCACAGATTGTTCCCCAGTATCCTTTGTGCAATACTTCGACACGGCCAGCACCATTTCCACTTGATGGCCCTTGTAACCTTAGCGACCCATCTAGGAATTAAATTGAACTTTTGGAATGCATTTGCGCCATTACACATAAATGCGCGTGTTATAAGTACAAAAAATTAGTCGCGACGGCCGGCTTAGCGACCAGTTTCCACTCACTGAGCATGCGCCAAATTAGCCGCACTGTCAGTACGTGGAAGGTATTATTTCCAAAATATATTAATGTCTATTTTTGATTGTGTTAATCAGGCGTTGTAAGCCGTATCTCGTGAAGATTAGCTTAAGCTAGGGCCTTTACAGACCGCGGCGTGATGACGCGAATTTTCAGTTTTCAGAAGTATATAAATAAAATTCTGGAAGCAAAATTTGGAGTCATCAAATTTTAATGTCAAAAATGAAAGACCAGTTTGGTATTCGTGAAAATGAATTGAACTGGTTTACCTCCTACTTAACTGATCGTCAGCAAGTTTGCTGTGAAAATCCTACTTAACTGATCGTCAGCAAGTTTGCGGTGTAAATGACTATATCGGCTTCTCAATCTATCAAAAGTGGTGTGCCGCAGGAGTCCATTCTTGGTCCCTTGATGTTTTTATTATACATTACTATGATTTCCCGCAATACTTAAAATCCACAACTCCGGGTCTTATAACATAATATGCAAATTTGTAAAACATTGGCAAATTATTCAATGTGTTGAATATTCGGCGTAAATAGCGCGCAAACTCGCAAAACGTCGCCGCACACTGCATGGAAGAACTCGAGTGACTTTTGGGTCAGAATGTATATTTCTGTCACCGGCTTTAGTTTCGAGGCCTCATATCTTAATCTCGCTAATGCTTTACCTTGACATTGATGTGGTACAAATTGATTTAAAAGGAAAATCGCGCCAGTTATAAAGGCAAAGCTCGTCATCTTGTAAACAGGTAACTGAAACAAAAAAATATACTGAGTTGGTTACCATGATAGTTTCAAGGCTTAATAGAGTGTATATGTAAATAATCCACGCGTTGTTTATTATTTAGTGTTCTTTATACTGAATTTCTAGTTGCTTTTCACTTGTCGAAATTTTCGCGAAGGAGTGTCATTTTTCTTCTTACTATATAGCTTTGTCTGAGCGCTAAAAATTTAGATTTAAGTAAAACAGAAACAGAAATGAAATCTACTAAGTCAAATTTGACATCAGCTGCAATTCATTACGTATAGCTCGTGTATGGGATATTCTTCCTCGCGAGAAATATTCTTGTTCACAGCAAGGCTAACAGATTTTCTGAACTGAACCCATGCAATTTTTGTCACTCGTATGTATGCAAAAAATACTGTTTTCTGACAAGAAGCACGGATATTTTCTTATTTTTACGATTTGCTATATCTGAAAATTATACCATTACTTACGATCACGATTGATAACATAATATACAACCATAGTTAATATATACATGATTTGGAGACTACATTAAAGTACAATAGAACTCATTAACTATGTCGGAGAACATTTATGCAAAAAATTGTTCCTTATTCGTCACGTGGCTACAGGGACATCAGGAAGACTGTGGATGTGTGTTTGCCAAAGCTCTAAAGGTGTTTGGTGGTTCTTATGCCATGATTATCCCATTGTGATCGAAATTCAGTGTAATGAAGTGCACACAAGTCAACCTCGCTTAAAGAATCAAGAAGCCCAGAGTTTTCCATAAACTGAAATAAGTCCTTGTATAAGGCAGATAAAACTCGATTTACTTCCGCCCATAAGCGTTCAATGCGTTGATTGTGTATGCTTCTGCCAGCTATAAAACTTCCTCTCCCTTCTCCCTTGTTTGCAACCATGAAACGTGCCACATCCACATTTTCAACACCATGCATGGTCTCCTCTTACACGGGAGGGCAAGCCAAATTCCTCAACTCCATTCTAAAAATATCCAAGAACTGTGTTTGCACAGTTATTTGTATAACAATTCAAATATATCCTCAAGCGACTAAAACCGTCAATACATCCATGTATCACAAATCTTTGTGATATTAATTTGTGGTTGGAGTCAATGTGCCAGAGATGATTAGGACCTTGCACATTATAAACTCTTTAATTGACAAATTGCATTACGTCTCCTAATGATTCTTCCAATAGGATCGACACGATACATGCTTTGTCTTATCCGCTCTCTTTGAACAAATACACGCCTAACTCTTGAACCTCCTCTAACATAGCTTTCACCACTGTAAGAGTTAGGCAAAGAATTTGTCTTACATGCTCATCTAAATCCTCATCACTGATTTTGGAAAACATTGGATGTATTCCATATTCATCTCTTTTTCTAAGTAGAGTTCTCTCTGAAACAGCCAGAAAATTTTAGATTGCTTTCCAATTCATACCAGTATCTCTTAGTGCTTCAATTTGGTCTTTCGGTATATCGAAAGCAGGTCTTCCCCCGGTGCTTGGCATAGTCATACACATGATATAAATAGGTTAAAAATTCATTATTTCATTTTCTCTTCACGACTCAAACACGAGTTCGATCGGAATACCTAATTCTTTGGAAGCTTCAATTCCATGATTAAGCTGTAAATCTCTGAGGGCGAAAGGCATATAGACTTATGTGTATCAGACATTGCTGAACGGCCGAATAGTTTAACTTCCTGATCGGCTAAGTTATTGCTCAATTATAATAGAATAATAAATATCAAAGAAACATGACTAAAACCAAATATGGCGTCTTAATTGACGAAATTGTTTTTTTATATAACATTGCTAGAGCGGCCATAACCGCCATATTGATAAAATATCTGTATCAGCGTAGTAGCCTCTGTATCAGCGCTATTAAGCGTTTCAGGTCTGTTGGTGCATCAAAAACACTGTAACAATAATTATACTTTATGTATGATGCTCTAATACAGTCTCACATTGACTATTGTACGTAATGCCGTGTGGGGAAAACTTAAGCTAGCCAATCCCAGAAGCTATAAGGGGCTTATTATATGGAGTGGTTTCAGCCCGGGCTGAAATTTAGTGTTGTTGTCATGCATGTAATCGTAAATAAACTTAAACCCGGACAGAAAAATTCGCCTTGACAATGCTTTTTCGTTTCTTTATTTCATTTATTATTACTTATTTCACTTTGTTTACAGCCTGCACTATTGCGAATATTGTTACGTTCAGGAAGTTAGTATTGTTCTGCTCAACTAATAATAATTAAACTTCCACACAACACATGTTCAAAACATAGGTACTTTCTGGGAAATCTGTATTAATTTCTTACCCGCAGCAAATAACTGCTTTCAAGCAGTTGATCGGAAGTAAAGATAAACACATTTAGTTTCAAATCTTGGGCAAATATTATGGCAAATATTGTGAAATAGAAATCAGGGTCTTGTCGGGCCAACGTAGGGATCTCCAATTACGGAGATACTCAGATACCGCCATGCAAATTTGTGACATGAAAATTTGCGACTCTTATTCACTTTTAGAAGGATATAATGAATTTAAATCTAAACGATTAACAAACGAACGAACAAATGCATGAACGCAAGTATTAATATCTACTTTGAATCCCCGATATACTGTCACCGAACCCTATCGCAAAATGTTTATAATAATTAACACATTAACACATTCTACACATACAACGAGCAAGGACGAACTTAACAAAGGAAAACAACGACCAATCGATCTATCCAGCTTCAATAGATTTTAATAACCTGGAACATGAACTAAAAAACAGTATTTCATTACCTAACTTTAAGAACCTATTGAAAAGACGGTGATCGAATATACCATTTGGCTATAGACTTTCCTTCTTCATTCCTTTCCATTATACCATTTTCTACTCAATATCTTTCCTCCACATCATAATCCAATTTCCTCATTGTATTGAATTATATAGTATTATATTGTATTGCGAACATCTTACAGTATTGTATTGTTTGGCATAGGCATTGGATGGTACCGTTCAGTATTGTATGGTATTGTGTTGTATATATGTGTTGCTGTAAATAATGCATGTTTAAATTTTGAAATTATGTAACATATAGATGCAGGACCCCAGTGAAAAACACTTCGGTGACGTGGGTATCCTGGTTAAATATGAACTTAATAATAATAATAATAATAATAAATTAGGCATCATTATATTACATACTTTATTCTTCTGCACCTCTCAGCTTTTTCTTCATATAAAAACCAACAAGAAAACTAACGGAAGCGTTCGGAGAGCTTCTCAATTACCTACAACATAGAATCGATAGAAGCAGCAATTTACATGCAATATTAATAAAATAAGCCGCCCGTTCTTACAATGTTTTAGTAGGGCGCGTCTGCTGTTGTTATGATAATTAATGTATTAGCGTTGTTATAAATTCCACATACGTCCGGAAAAAGTACCTGCTCATGTTAATATTAGTTGCATTACTCTAATTCTACCAAATCGAAATGACGTACTTCCGGTTAACATGAAATTTAGATTGGCTTCAATTTTTTTGAGTGGATACTACTTTATTAGGTTTTGTCTTTAAGGATCAATCCCATTGTTGATTAGCACGTTGCAGTTGTATTTTCTAAACTCTCTGCAACTATATCGGCGGGGAAAACGTATCGTATCGGCAAAACGTGCTCGCTTTTTAGCCTGAACAGGGAAGGAAGCATGAGGAAACAAAACCTATTACTTTCCCTTCGCTTAAATGAAAATGATGAAGGGAAACTAATCTTACTTTCCCGACATATCGACGCTTTTAAAGACGAAAGAAAATGTAAATTATGTTGCATTTAACCTTGCACATCGCCGTGGTTGTTGACAAGTTTACCAGATTACTGAATAAATTAGCGAAATAATATTACCATAATCGCTGTTTTCTTTCTTTCAAACAATGGAATCAAAGAGCCGAGTATAAACATATTTGGCTTCTTTTTTTCAGTAATCCGGCAACCCTGGTTGCTGAAACGATGACGCTGACTTATGCCAATATCACGGTGCATCACCACGCGGCAGTTAATGTGTTCTATGTTGCTTAGGAGCGGTTCACATGAGCCCACGGTTACAGAGATTTAACGAAGCGTAAAATGTTCTGTTTCAAAAGGAATTATTTCAATACTTCAAAATGTTATGCTTCGTTAAATCTCGGTAACCGGCCTCATGTAAACAACCCCTCAGTGTGCTTGAAGCAAATTTGCTGATCGACTTGAATCTTATGCCCTGAATATGTAGTTGTAAACAGTACCTATGTATTAAGGTTAAAAACATTTTGTTTGCTTGTTGAATAAAACGATAGACTTGCTCAACTTTGAACTTAACCACCGCTTAAGCTAAGCTGGCTTGATACAACCTGCCCCTGAAGGGTGTCGCTAAACTGGATCGGATTTCACTCCAGCTGTAAAACAGGCCATGACTGGCATGATCAGCGAGATGATGGTAAATATGCATGAGAATTATAGCAAAGAAATTAGACGAACACATTATGGACAATGAGACGAATTTTGATCGTGTTGACCCACCTCTTTCTCAGGGCCTTTTGGGACTGTATATGGGGGCTGGGAGCGAGAGGAGAGAAGAGGAAAGGCCCTGGGACCGTATTTTGAATAAGCATAATTTATCATAAAATTTTCCTTAATATTTTCAAAATGCCGGCGTCGCGTAGAACGGATAATATTCTCGCATTAAAGCATATTAGATTTGTGCTGTTTCGGAATAATTACAAAATATTACGCTAAACATAAATTAGAAAAAAACATTTAATCAATCAGAAGTCAGAAGCGGCTGGCCTTTTACCCCAACCCAGAATCAAGGTAAAAGGCCCTGGGACTGAGGTTGCATGTTCACAGCAATGAAGTCAAATAAGATCGCAAGGCTAGCTCCGCCGGAAGTTTGAAGCTAAAATGGCGGACACTGAAGCCCGTCTTGTAGGTATGATCCAGTCCTCCGGCGCCGGAATTTTTAGGTAAAATGTAGGCAACATATGAATGAATATTTGAAATTCGTCTAGGTTCAATTTACAGACATTGTCCGCCATCTTGGCTTCACTCATTAATGAGGGAAAGTCAGAGAGTTAGCGTTCCAGTCTTATTTCATTGAGTTCGCTGCTTGACACACTTGATCAGACATCTAATGAGCTCAGTGGGTCGTCTACAAATCCGGTCTCTCCGAAGGCACAGAACGATCTCGTTGACAACTATTTAATGGAGCCAGAATGTTCGCCGACTTTCTGAGACGAATGAGTCACCCAAGAATTTTACGAAAACGAGTCCTGCTATTGCGGAGAATGTTGCGAAATTGGTAAATGGTCTTGTAGGCGGAAAGTTGTCAAAAACTGACGATTGACGTCATTAAATAATACCGGCAGGCAGAAAATTTTCCTCTGTTAGTAGCTCCGAGATGTAATAAAGCCGTTTGGCATCCATGCTGAAATGTCAAAGGTTTGTTATACATATATGCGCTGATTCAAGCGGCCATGCATGAAGGTCATGCATGAGAGCACAAAACCAGCTACCATGCTGTAGTTCTCGCATTATCTGCCAATGCGGAATTTAATCAGAAGCGCTAATATTTCTTACGTCCGCATCTTAATGGTTGAATGCACTATTGTTACATATTTTGCACTGTTTTTAGGACTAGCTGTGATTACCGAATTAGGGTCGAGATATTATAATACAACGTGTTTGTATTTTAGCATACAGAAGATATTTTATGAGTAAAAATTAAGTATAATTATCAACTAAAGTCGTCAACTAAAGTGTTTGGAAATTAGTGGCAACCTCCCATCTAACCATGCACCATGCCGAAATAACCTACCCATTTTGGAATTTTACTATACGAGTTATATAGGGCTAAATTACGTTTGTATCATTACGTTATAATTTATGTTATTTGCACCACCCCACCCCCCCCCCCCTATCTTTAGAAAATTTGTCGTATGCACGTATGCTGAGTATTATGTGATGAGCAAGTTTACTTAAAAAATGCTTGACATGCAGTTCTGGGAATTCGTTAACGTGAATTCTATCGTATTACCGTGACTAGTTATTTAAGAGTTTGATAAGTGTTGTCTGCATCTCTCGCCTTATCTAAATCAGCATGAGTCGAGTATCCATCGTTTACGGCGCCTTTCGGTGACTAGTAGCGGTTTTGCGGCACATTTTTAAGATCAACTTCTTCGTAAATTTGATCTGGATTTGTATCTTGAACACCAGTACTCGATCCAGCATTTCTGTTTCCTAACCATCGTCGACGATAATACACCACGGCAGATGCAACACAAAGTACAACAATAATTACAGCCACGACAATGATGAAAGAAATATACCATTTAGTTCCGTCCTTCGACCCTTTGGATTGTGATTTTTCTGAAAATAAAAGTCGCATTATTGTGATTTTATTATCATGAAGGTAGCGCTTAGAGAATTGTGCTGTATATTAGCCATTTTCCAATCGAGCAGAGTACTGGGTCTATTCGCGAACCACAAAGCATTTATACGGACTGTTTGGACTAATGATTACAATTACAACTTCTTGTCCCTCCAAACAGTCCATAGATGCTTTACGGTTCGCGACCAGACCCAGTACCTTGCTCGATTTCGAAATGGCTAATTAATTTGGCACAGGAAATTGATATCTATAGTTTTTAAGTATATGTTTTTTTTAACTCATATTTTGTATTTTACACTATGCCTGCTTTGGTTGTTGACTCATTGGTTGTTGCCTCGCGCACAGCAAGTTTATTGGTGTTTACTCTTGATGTCATTACAAGGCAATATTTCTTACATAGCTGAAAAATTTGGTCGAACGTTAGGCAATACTTTGGATTAAAGTTCAAAATTATTGTTAGCCGGGCGTGAATACTGGGTTGCATGTTTTCAAATATTCGGACAGAATTGTTTGCAACGAATTTATGAATCAAGCATAAAAATTATTACAGCATAAAGACAAATTTTCATTTTCGGCTCATTGGATAATGATGAATTTCAAACACTATTACAAATTCGACGTTTTTTCTTAAAACATAGACACCGCAACAATACGATTATAATCTTTCAAACAGTTATTCATCAGGGTATAGAAAGAATAACAGATACAAAACTATATGGAGAAGGGACATAGGCCTGGTTCACATTTGTCCTAAGAATCGAATATCTTTTTGTGCACGAAATGCTTTTTCTATCGGAAATTATCATCGGAAAATTCAAAAAGTAATTCAAAACGAATTCTTAGAAGTAAATTTTTACCAGAAACACCTTAGGCCAAGCTTTGCCAATCTTTTTGGACCTACTTTCAAATTACTCATTTCCTTATCTTTATAAACGACAAAATAGATGACGGATGACTTCTGAAAAAGCACCTCCGCTTCACGTGTGATCATCCCGTGATATTCACGAGGTCGCTGGAGTGTACAGGAAAATTTTCGGGGTGCGAGTTAGGCTTAACCAATCGGTGGTCATAATTATTTATAGCCCTCGTTGCATTTTTAACAAGAATTATTTCGTGTTTTTCTCATAATATCATAATATTGAGCTAAATTGTGTTATTTATTTACCGTAATTAAAATCAACCTCAATTGATTTCTCATCCGTAAGAGTGGAGCTTCTTCCAACACATTTGTATGTTCCATTATCTGTTTCATTGATATTACTGAGATTCAACACGTTTTGTTCCTGTTCTGTGTCACCAAACTGGACGCCATCTTTATACCATGTCACATTGGCTGGAGGTTTTCCACCTTTTGCTTCACACAAGCATGTTATATCATCACCAAGATTTACCGCGATTAAACTGGAACAATTGACTGTTACATTTGGTCTCTCTGAAATATATTTTTACATATTTTTGCACTCAAAAAAACGCCAGGGTAACGTCAGGTCCATGCGAAAAATCTCAAGAATATAAAAATTTAGCCTTAATTAGGACTGAGGGATGATATGCCTAAAAAACGCGACCCTTTGGAAAACAGGGCAATGTTGCTGAAAGGCTACCGCGTGCATAAATATGTTAAAATAAAAACAATGAACAACTATTCGGCTAAGTTTAGGATCCCGTCTTGCTGAGATTAAACGAGACGTGAAACGACGTACTTTTTGTTTAGTGAAATGAAAATAGAAAACCTGACGGTAGCATTGATGTAGCCTTGTTGGCAAGACTACTCCAACCTCAAAATCATGAAATTGAGGGATAACGTTAATGGTGTTGTTGCATTTATTGTGACACGATCATTGTTAATTCTGTCAATTTCGTATCAAAACGATGAAAATTGCATCATTATAATAAAGTGGCGTACACGGACGGATCTATTTTCGATCGCATTAAAAGAATCTATGAGCAGCACTATATATGAATAACATACGCCTAATTATTGCGCTAGTTAAAGCCTTAAAGCCCTCTATTTAGATAATCACCTGAACATTCTACTCCAGCGTCATAATCATGAGAGCACGAGCTATAGAGGACACCCCAACCATTATGTGAACAACTTTTAATATTTTCTTCTTTCCCAGTACAATAAACGTTGTTTAACCAAATTGGTCCAGAACCAGGAATAACCTCGCTCCTCTGAAGAGTCCTAACAGCGTCGGGGAAACCAAGTTGACGACAGACAACCCTGGCATCTCGTAAATCCCATCCATTATAACAGATTGTTCCCCATTTCTCTTTGTAGTATACCTCAACCCGACCAGTACCATCTTCTCTCAGGGGTCCTTGAAGCCTGAGTGACACATTTACAGCTGAAAATACAAAACAATGAAAGTACCAATATTTAATTGATTAAAACACTGCCAATCAACATTAATTTTAATATCCTTGGAAAGTTCAGTAGTAATCAGTGCTTACACTTATTCAACCCCGAGAAAAGAGCAATTTAAAGTGAATGAAAAGGCGAACCATGGTTTCTATGTATTGCAACCAATAATTCAGTGCCAACTTTTTCTTACCACTGAAAAGGACTTCAATTGAATTTCTGCCTGCCAGAGAGTCACTTTTCCCTACGCATACGTATGTTCCACCATTTGTTGTATTAATAATGTTGAGAGTCAAAACATTCTCTTTCTTTTTCGTGTCACCAATCTGTGTGTCATTTTTGTACCACGTCACATCGGCTGGCGGGTATCCGTTTTTTCCCTCACAAAGACATGTTACACTATCACCGATATTAACAATGATCGGACTGGAACAATTGATTGTTACATTTGGTTTTTCTGAAATATATAAGTATATGTATCATGCGGCTATGCAAGGTTCAGAAACAGAAAAAATGAATTACAAGTACTTCTATAACGCCTAGCTGTAATAAAAAAAACATTCACCCTCGTAAACATTCAGTTTGGCATAGCAATTCTGCTATTACTGGTCGATGATGAATGATATGGTCTTTCTTTAATCAATAGTAAAGTTTATGATAAATCAAGCTCGCTTCTGTAGAAATACTGCAATGCAAAATTATTTTATGTATTTTTATTCGTAATTTTTACTTTAAATTATATTCACCGTAAAAATCGATCTCAATTGATTTTTCATCCGTGAAAGTGCGGATTTTCCCGACACATTTGTATGTTCCACTATCTTTTTCATCAACATTACTGAGAGTCAACACGTTTTGTTCCTGTTGTGTGTCACTAAACTGGACGCCATCTTTATACCATGCATATGTCACATGGGTTGGAGGTTTTCCACCTTTTCCTTCACACAAGCATGTTATATCATCACCAAGATTTACTGCGATGAAACTGGAACAATTGACCGTTACATTTGGTCTATCTGAAATTTTGGGCAATAGAAATAAGATTTTAAATGACACGTTTTTTTACTCGAAGAAATATTGGGCAAACACGTTAGGCCTAGGGATATCATATAATTTTATAAGCTTAATTATTGGGGATTGAATAATTTCGAAACTTTTTTTAAATTTTTATAGTACGAATGCGTATAAATCGCGATTCTTTGAAAATTATTTGTTATTTGGAAGTTTCTCAGGTTTTGGCAAAAGTGGACAATATTTTAGTAACAAAGCTTGCCAACCTCGCCACGAGAACGAAACTATTTATGGGCAGCCTAAGGTGCATACTTATGTTTCAGTTCTGCCCGACGATTGAAACCGCATCTACATGCGACCAAGAAAAGTATCGGATAGAACTGAATACATGAATATCAGACATCTAATTATTGCAGTGGTTAAATAATCACCTGTCGGAGAACATTCTACTCCAGCGTCTCGATCATGAGAACACAAAGTACTTCTAACACCCCAACCATAATGTGAACAACTTTCAATATTTCGTTCTTCCCCAGTACAATCAACGTTGTTTAACCATATTGGTCCAGAACCAGGAATAACCTCACTCCTCTGAAGAGTCCTCACAACGTTGTGGTAACCAAGCTGACGACATACAACCCTGGCATCTTGCAAACCCCATCCATTATCACAGATTGTTCCCCATTGCCCCTTGTAGAGTACCTCAACACGCCCAGTGCCATCTTCGCTCAGTTGTCCTTGGAGCCTGAGTGACACAGTTATAGCTGTAAAAATAATTTTCTTGTATGATTGCATGGCGACTTTAGTAATTATAATAACTTGTAGGTACACCACGTAAGTATTAAATACTGCAAAGCTTTCGGTCCGTTAACCCGGACCTTCATCAGTGCAATTACTTTAATACACGTTTGCGCGTCACTTAAATATCATGTTAGTCGTGATTAGTTTGCTCGCGCTATTAATTAAACGGTTTCATTTAATTAAGTTCTAATTAATGCGCGCGCCCTAGACAAGTATTTGACTAAGAGACACCGAAAAGAGCACGCCACGTACTATTAAGTGGCTTTCCCTCTTGGACGATAGTTTGATGTTTATAAATTTCAATAGATTCTCTCATTTTACGAGAGACAGTAAACTTATCGTTTGCTAAAATGGTAGCATCGTTCCATTTAATGCGATGATCATAAGTCCATGCATGGTGAGCTACTGCAGACTACTGCTACTGTGGTTTGGTTTACATTGGAGAGACCGGTAGAAATCTCTCAATACGTCTTAAAGAACATAAGACGAACTGCGAGAAAGGTAAACTGGATAAGTCTGCAGTAGCTCACCATGCATGGACTTATGATCATCGCATTAAATGGAACGATGCTACCATTTTAGCAAACGATAAGTTTACTGTCTCTCGTAAAATGAGAGAATCTATTGAAATTTATAAACATCAAACTATCGTCCAAGAGGGAAAGCCACTTAATAGTACGTGGCGTGCTCTTTTCGGTGTCTCTTAGTCAAATACTTGTCTAGGGCGCGCGCATTAATTAGAACTTAATTAAATGAAACCGTTTAATTAATAGCGCGAGCAAACTAATCACGACTAACATGATATTTAAGTGACGCGCAAACGTGTATTCAAGTAATTGCACTGATGAAGGTCCGGGTTAACGGACCGAAAGCTTTGCAGTATTTAATACTTACGTGGTGTACCTACAAGTTATTATAATTATAGCTGTAAAGGTGTAAACAAATTTATAAACGAATCAATATTTTGGTGCTACATTGTTCTGCCTCTGCAAACAAAAAGCAAAGTTATATACTATTGTGCAAGCTTGTTATTTTTATTTAAAGATTGACAGATGAGTCTTATTAAAGTATTGGTGCTCGATTTCTTATGCTTATTTCTTTAGTTATACGAGCGTAGCTAATTAGATTAGATCTAAATTCGAACCAATAACTAAATTAGATTCAAATTAAATATGACATCATTTTTTCTAGCGCATAAGATCTGTAGGACTCTTAATATCTTCCTTGGCATCTCTTGAGCGCAGAAAAAGGAAATTATTTTTAATTAAAAGATGTAAAACACAGGAAATGCGTATCGAATCACCGTTAGGAATATTTTTAGGTTGTATCCAACCTCGTTCCCAAGGGCTTTTGGGACTCATCCCAGCCCAGAATTCAAGGTAAAAAGCCCTGGGAACGAGGTTGAGGTTGTACCAAGAAACCTCAGTAAAACTATTGAAATCACGCGTTATATAATAATTATAACGTTGCAATGTAATATTTACTTTTACAGAAGCTATTTTATGCATATGACAGTAAAATTTGTTTGTACCCACAAATGCATTATTTATTAAGAATATTTACTATTTACATATATGGACAGTAATATCTAAATTTACTGCTCAAGCAAATGACCTTCGACATGTCCCGGCCGTATCTCGCAAAATTTAGCATTATTCATTTTTTCAGTATTTAACATTTTATAAGTTCTATTTTCAGTAACACATCAAATCGATATTCTCAACGGACAGATTTATGGTAATTTCAGGCGTTTTCAAAAGTGCTTTAAGAGAAAACTAATAATAGGCTTACCAATTTCCTTTTATCGAAGTTTTACTTACAACGTACTAATAATTTTATAGGCAAAACACCTCTAGCTACACATTTTTTAATTGTTTTTGGAGACATGTTCAAATCTCAGTAAAAATTCTTTTTTGCATGGTCAGCGACGCTGAAGTGTGTGAAGCGAAACAACATGCAAAGTTTTTATCGCAATCAGATAATTTTCTGTGTCAAATAAATTCATGTAATATTCTATACTACTTTCAGTTGAAATAACTTTACCTACCAGTCAAAGAACATTGCACTCCGGCGTCTTGATTATGGTGGCAAGAATGAACTCCCCAACCATTATGAAAACAACTTGCAATATTTTGTTCTCCCCCAGTGCACGAGACGTCCGTCAACCATATTTTTCCTGAGCCAGAAGGAACGCTGTTCCTTTCAAGAGTTCTGACAGAATCAGGATAACCAAGCTGACGGCAAGCAACTCTAGCATCTCTCAAATCCCATCCAGAATCGCAGATTGTTCCCCATTGTCCATTGTAGAATATTTCAACACGACCAGTACCCTCTTTACTTGATGGCCCTTCCAACCTGATTAGCACATTTATAGCTGTAAAAAAGATGTAAGCATGCAAGCGTGTGAACATTAAATACGTTTTCTTAGACAGCAATAGGGTACTGCCAATTTAGTTGACAATAGTTTCTTACTTAAGTTTCGCTAACAATAAAGAATATCTAATAGAACATTTTAGATCATTTTACCAAGAAAATAGCAGAACTTTCGTAATTTGACAAATGCAGAAAATAGCTGAACTTTCATTTCTTCATTTCTAATCTAACGAAATTTCAAATTAATATTTTGTACTTTTAAGGATCTCAGACAACAACTTTTTCTCGATTTATTGATCGGTCGAGAGATCGAAAAGTATTTTAGTGATGTAGCCATAGACCTATTAGAGGAAGAGCAAGAATCTGTAGCGAGTTACACAACGAGATTTCTTCTGTCAAAATAAGTGCAAAACTATTTGTTTATTTCTGGATTTTGATTGAAAGAAACATCGTTTTTGCAGCTTCTGAGAGTCCAGCGGACCTCGCCACAGGCTTCTTAATTGCTCTTTTTCGAATAGGTCTACGGTTGTGCTTTTCACTAGAAAGGAGAAGCAAGGAGGAGGGGGGGGGGGTTAGTGCGGATAGTTTATTATCGATCCAATTGAAGTATAAACAAAACTCTTGCATACAGCATGAAAATAAGAATTTCATAAGTTTTTATAGTAAATTTTATCAATTAACATTGTGAAAGTGTCTGCAAAGTCTTATGTAACAATTTTGCGAGCCTTGAATGAAACCTGAACGCACCATTAAAGTATTTGGCAATTTAACACTTGCACTGACGTAGAGAGGACGCGGAAGATCATTAAGTACTTTCCTATTTTAGGTAAAAACGGCCTGACCGGTTTTTCAGTACAGACAAAATATTGATATTTTAAAGTGTTTCTATAACTCTCCATTCGAGTATATCGTTATTTACATCTTCCTAGCACAGGAAAAGCAGTTTTATCACCATACTCGATCCTAACAAATATTCTATTTCAATTCAAAATATGACCGGTCTGACTATTTTAGCCGCCAAAGGGAAAGCGCCGTAAGTAGAGCAAATATTCGTGTATTTAGCGTCTTGAACCTGATTGTTCTTTCGTTCGGTCAATTAACATGAAAATATGACCTTTCTTAATACGTATGTGCCAAGTTTGAAGCCGGAACTAGAAAGAAAACTTGAAGAAAACCTGATGCATAAAAAACCTTTTTTAGCCTAACAAAAGAAGCATGCCTCAATGCTAATTTTTTGTAGAAATGTTAATTGTCACGCGGAATCCTAAATTGTTCTGTCATGGTCTGTGAACGGTGGATGGCTCATGGACGGTCGACGCTCGACCGTTTTTAGTTTTGCGCATGCCCGACTAACGACTAGTAATCAACAACGTTCTGATTGGCTACGATAGAAAGTTTGCATTTCAATGAGAACATCGACGTCAGCATTCAGTAAATAAAACTGCATGTCATTTCGGCAAACTCTTTTGTAATTAAAAAGCGCTTCATAAACTTTGGGCAAATAAAATCAGAAGAAGCAAAATAGATGATGACAGATAACATAATTCATAATCTGCAAACTTATAAGTGTTTTAAAATGGTACGTGTTTACTTTTTATTCGTATATTTGCTCAGCAGTAAGGATGCCGTTTTTTTCTATAACTTTCAGCTTTGTATGCCGTTTTGCAAAGCCATAAACCAACTGCCTAGTTGAAATTGTTTAATCTTAGAATTATCTGCAATTCTTAAAAAGACAACAGATACTCGCGTGACCTAGCTACGACAGGGAAGATGGTTTACAGTCCGTAATATACCGATTAAATCTGTATATTTCCTCAAGAAATTTCCGAATATTTGACAGGCGTGTACGTCGCTATACTTCTAAATGAATATCAGAAAGATTTTATGTTTAGACATTCGAAACAACTAGGTTGCAGAATTGAAATCGGTTTAAGTCTATTTAAAGATTAACTACCAAAAAATGAAATTCCAATCCCAAGTTTGAAATTTCCCTTACGATCAAAGCGCGCAAAGATCCTGAACATAAACCTAAAGCTTGCCCTCTTAATAACATATATTTTCCAACTATAATTATTTAAAGAGAAGTTTTTGATATGTTTTGGCACACGTAATGCGCCGAATTATCTCGTTTGAGGTAATATGAATGGGGCATTTTATTAAGTACCGACCTGTTGTAGAACATTCCACTCCGACGTCGTTATTATGAGAGCAATAATGATCTCCCCACGGTCGATGTGAACAACTTGTTATATTTTGCTCTTTCCCAGTACAAGTTACCTGACTCAACCATATCTGTCCGGAACCTGGAGGAAATTCGTTCCTTTGAAGAGTTTTAACAGCGTCAAGATACCCAAGTTGACGACATACAACCGTAGCATCTCTCATACTCCAGCTATAATCACAGATTGTCCCCCAATATCCATGATAGAGTACTTCAACACGACCAGCTCCTTTTTCACTTACTGGGCCTTGTAACCTTAGCAACACAGGGGTAGTTGAAAAATCTAAAAGGAATGAATGACTACAATTTCTAAAATCCAATATTTATATGAAGTGAAACCTAAAAGGATAGCTTTTTAATATATTCTTATTTTTATAGTACAAATTTTGGAGAATAAATAGAAAAACAAAAGTAAAAAGATGACGAGCTGTTTTATTTAAAATGGAACTGCGAGCCTTCTGTAAAACATCAAACTGACTCTAAACTGCAGCCTCATACTCTATATTTACTGAATATTGAGCCAACTTTAATTAACTTCAACTTGATTTTCAGAAATTTTAAAGCTGAGATTTTCCTTTCCGTAAATTGCCATTCTAGTTTAGGACTGATCAAGTAGTAGCATTGCGGAAAACCCGAAATATTCGACAACCTTTACCTGTTCTACTACATTCGACTCCGACATCTTTTGAATGTTTGCAATAATAAGATGTAACACCCCAACCACTATGAGAACACCTTGCTATATCACGCTCGGAGCCTGTACAATCAACGGATTGTAACCATACTTGTCCAGAACCAGATGGAAACTGTCCACTACGAAGTTCCCTAGCAACATCTTTAAAACCAAGTTGACGACATACAACCCTAGCATCTTTCATATCCCATCCACTATAACAAATTGTTCCCCATGTTCCATTGTAGAATATCTCAACTCGACCAGTGCCGTCTTCACTTAATGGCCCTTGTAACCTGAGCGAAACAGTTATAACTAAAAAAAAGAATGGAGAGTACATCATTCCTATGAATATGCATGTGTGACTGAGGCACTGGCCAAAGTAAGTCAAATTTTTTTTACGCCAGTTACGGTCAGAAAGCTCAATTTAGATATAGAATGGTATGCTGTTTTTTATAATTTTTCAATATTTTTTCAATATATATTAGCTATTCAATATACGTGCTATGATGACTTGGGATGCGTATTTTTACATGCAGTGCCATTCAATGAACGTTGCTTTTAATTCAAAATTATTTTGTTCCGGCGTATATAATTCATATAGCTACATTCAGCAGTTCGCCTTTTTCACTCAATCAGAATTTCGAAAAGCCTTTCTGCTCATTTTTTTTCTTCGAATTGGAGTTGATCGTACGGCTAGAGAAATATATTATACCTGTCCTTGAACATACTACTCCGGCGTCTTCATAATGAGAACAAAAACTGTTCCCCCAATCGTTATTTGGGCAGCTTGTAATATTCTGTTCTTTCCCAGTGCAAGCGACGTAGGCTAGCCATATTTGTCCAGAACCAGAGGGGACCAGATTTCTTTGAAGAATCCTAACAGTATCCGGAAAACCAAGTTGACGACATACAACCTTTGCATCATTTATGTCCCATCCATAATCACAGATTGTCCCCCAATATCCATTATAGAATACTTCAACACGACCTATACCATTTTTACTCAATGGTCCTTGCAGCCTGACCGCCACAGGTGTAGTTGAAATATCTAAGAAAATTATACAATTATATATAGTATGATTATATATTCTACTCATTATATTTCAACTCTATGTAATGAACAATCGACGTTGGCTGTTTTTTTTGGTTATGGGCATGCCTAAATTTTTACGAGTAATGACTCGTACTGAACGCAAAAGGAGAAAATTTGGTATTTCAGCGAGAATGTCAGCAAACTGTCATGATTTTACTACGAAAATGTAATAAATATTTTAATAATATACATGAAAATGTTTCTCGACTGTGATTGGTCGATTTCAGTGCAATTAATCCCGAACAGCGGTGCAAAAATCTGTATCAACAGTGCAAAAATCTGTAACAACAGTGGAAAAATTTGTTACAGACCAATCTGATTGGCTGTCATAAATATATCAGCCAATCAAATCTGAGCTACGTTTTGGCGGGAAAAATATAATGCTTACCCCAAACAAAACAAACCTAGATGGCAACGTAAATCAAGCACGGAAATTTGGATTTTCGCGACTTTTTAACGTTAAAACAATGGTTTCACAACAAAATATTTAAGAAATATAACGTCGCTAAAGGAAATATTCAATATAAAGGAAAAATCGATCAACAAAATGTACCTGGGGACCAGAAATACAAGAAATACTCGTAAGTGTGTTTGTCTCGAACATTTTCATGTATATTATTAACAAGTAATAGTATGGTTTCTCGTGCAATTTGGAAAAAAGCATACACTCGTCAGTTTTTCAAAGACCCAAAATAGCACTCGTCCTTCGGACTCGTGCTTTTTGAGTCTTTGAAAAACTCACTCGTGCATGTTTTTTCCAAATTGCCCTCGAAACCATACTATTACCTATACTAAGTCTTTAAACATATTTTTTAATATTAATATTAGTTAGTAAAAATCATATTTTAGAGATCTGTAAATTCCCTACGTAGAGTATTGCACGAACATTTAGTTAAGTGTCCCATACCCCACAGTTGAAAACTTGATAACATGTCACGAGAAAAGGGCGGCTGATTTATAAAAACTGGAAGCGGAACAGCTTCAATAAAAAACAATGTTAGAATGCTGCTGTTGCATGAATCTCCTATATCGTCTTTTAAGTATATTCAAATATTGATTTCCATTTGGCTGTATCATTAATTTTTATACCTTATTTCAAGAAGCTATGGACTAAAACGAGTCTCTATTGGTCGTGTTCAAGCTATCAATACAAAAGCCTAGCACAGATGAAATTTGCACGGGTACCAATTTTAGGCGAGCTGATAACCGAGTGAAGGGAAACGGAGCTTTAGTCTGTTTGGTATACGGTTTTGGGACCAAATGATGCCCTAAATATAAGGCTTGAACAGACGAACTGATGACTGGGATGCAACCGCATAATAACTTTCAAAAAATGTACGTTTCGTTAAATACAGCAACTGCATGTTCATATTCTATTTCAAGAAATTATGTCCTAATAATACTGTCATTTTCTAACATTCATAAGACGACTTTCTGTATGATGAATTTCAAATACCGACCTGTTGTAGAACATTCCACTCCGACGCCATAATAATGAGGGCAATAATGTTCTCCCCAAGGACTGTGAGAACAACTAGTTATATTCTGTTCTTCGCCAGTACAATCTACGAAATTTAACCATATCTGTCCAGAACCTGAAGCAACCTCGTCCGCTCGAAGAGTTCTAACAGCATCGAGGTAGCCAAGTTGACGGCATAGAACCCTAGCGTCCCTTATATCCCAGCCGTAATCGCAGATTGTTCCCCAAATTCCATGAAAGAATACTTCAACACGTCCAGTACCATTAGAGCTTTGTGGTCCCTGCAACCTGACTAACACAGGCGTAGCTGAAAAATCTATGAAAAGAATACAGTATAATGAAAATACGGTTAAAAATTTATAGCCTATACAAACTCGTGTGAAAAAGAACGGCGAAATAGTATTGTCAATAATTTTGCTTGCGAGTGGCGAGAAAAGATATATACAGATTTTACGTTTCAGGAAAATCTTTATAATAAAAAATCTTGTTGGCTGCTGCACCTTAAGGTCTGTTTTAGACGTGGAACTTTTTATGCGCCGAATCGAATGGAAATAAACTTAAACAAAGATTTTAGCTGATTAACGTTAGGTTCGGCACATGAAATATTCGACGTCTGAAACGGGCCTAGTTTTAGCTTGCGCCAAGCTTGGGTACTAATTCCAATGGGAGATTTGAATTAGCATAGGCGTATGCCATGAGGCATGCATGGGCCTTGTTTACGCTACACTCAATATATTGCCAACGCACGACAAAATATAGGTGCTCGGCCATATTAATGTCGATTGTGCTCAGGTTTTTTAGTAGTAGCCTGCACCCTAATAAAATTGGGCACAGGTACCAATTTAGCCGTGCATGAATGCCAAGAGATCGAGTTTATACTGTCTATATCTCCGTAATATATGTCATGAACAAGTTCAAGGTAAATGAGACTGTAGTAGTTTGATCAGAAAAATAAAATTGATCTTATTAGCTTAAAATTTCGAATAAAGTTGCGTGTTTACGTCAGCTAAGTGCTATTTTAAATTTTTTCTTTTCCTAATTTTTTTCCATCATCCTAAAAAATTGTTCCGCCGGAGATTATGATTACACCCGGATAGTGCGACAGAACATAGCGGAATCCAAGGTTGTTCAAATTCTGTTATTGGACCTTGGATGGTTTTGTAAGTTATGCGCATGCGCGAAATTTTAGTGAGTGAAAATCGTTAATCAGCAACCAGCTGATTGGCTGAGTCAGAAATTTGTATTTAAATATAAATAACGTGAGCAATTCAAATAAACTAAAATTCTCTATTTTTTTCCTCAAACTGTTTTTGTGGGTAGCCTGCGCATGCGCGGCTAACCACTATGTAGTCGAAAAAGTGTCCGGATCTGTGTGTGTGTGTGTGTGGCAATCGTCGGATAATCTTCGGCAAACGTTGGATATATGACGAATATTACGGAAAATTTCGTTGTTTTCGAAGGACGGAAGCGAAGTTACGTTAATACGTTTGTCAAATTTTAAAGCGATGTTGAGTACTTTTAAAATTAAAGACGAAAAAGCGATCGGTGAGCGTGGAATCTACAACTACAAAGTTACACTAATAGGAAATAAATAGTAACAAGTTGCCCTGTTTTATAACTTATAATGCAATATTTCACTTGTCAATTTCTTGCTTGTGGACATGCAGCTATTAAACCAAATACATTACCTTATTGCAAATGGTAGTAACAAGTTGCCCTGTTTTATGAATTAAAAATTATTATGCAATATTTCACCTGCCAATTTCTTGCTGGTAGACATGCAGCTATTAAACCAAATACATTACCTTAATTAATGCAAATGGTAGTAACAAGTTGCCCTGTTTTATAAATTATAATTCAGCAAATGGTAGTAACAAGTTGCCCTGTTTTATAAATTATAATACTCACTTGTCAATTTCTTGCTTGTGGACATGCTATTAAACCAAATACATTACCTTAATGCAAATGGTAGTAACAAGTTGCCCTGTTTTATAAATTATAATTCAGCAAATGGTAGTAACAAGTTGCCCTGTTTTATAAATTATAATACAATATTTCACTTGTCAATTTCTTGCTTGTGGACATGCAGCTATTAAACCAAATACATTACCTTAATGCAAATGGTAGTAACAAGTTGCCCTGTTTTATAAATTATAATACAATATTTCACTTGTCAATTTCTTGCTTGTGGACATGCGGCTATTAAACCAAATGCTTTGGAGTTCAAAAACAAAACTGTTAACAAAAGTGCATTTCAACTGATCAAAAATCTTTAAAATATTGTTCAGATACATAGATAAGTCCTTAAAAAATGTTAATGCGAAACGTTTGAAACAATTTTGGACTCTTTGTTATGTGACTGTAAAATGATCTGGTCAAGTAGTTTATCCTCAATGAAATCTTTGTTAAGATCTTTCTCCTTCTAAACTAAGCTTTATGTTATCAGACAATGTGTGCCACCATCCCGGAAACTTACTCTCCTTTTTGTTCTGTTCACCTATTCTTTTCATTTCCTATCTCTTGTAAAAATGCTTTTATATATGTTTTGATCTGTCTTAAAATGTATTTAATACAATAAAATATTATAATATATAGATTGCATAAAGATTGCATAATAAATCCAGGGCCGTAACTAGAACGATAATTGGGGGGGTGTTTATTCATATATTCAGTTCTGCCCGACGGGTTTCTTTTGTAAGTGCAATAGCTTACAATAGAAATCCGTCGGGCAAAACTGAATATATGAATAAACACCCCCCCAATTATCGTTGTAGTTACGGCCCTGAATAAATCGACTTCGTTATAACTGTATTCAACCAGCTAACTATATGGCGTTTATTCCGTTGTCTATGGCATTAGAACATAAGACTAGAAAATAATATTTTATTGCATCAGTTGATATTTACGATTATAGCAGCTTTATCGCATTACAGGCTACCCACATGTACGCATTGCGTACCTATTTTTAAAAGTTACACCAAATAAAATGGAAAAATAATCAGGAAATGGTTATCAAAAACAAAAAGGGTTGCTTTTCAAGATTAAAAAACAGAAAAGTAACGATTTATACTCAATAAATAAAGTTTTAAAATGTGTTAAACTGGTACGTGTCTAGACTGAATTAACTTACCTTTTAACTTATCTCGTTTAACTTATCATCGCTATAACTTTAAAAACGGTTTTTGAAAGCGTAAATTTATATTTTAATGTAAACTGTCACTTCAAAATCAAAGCTGAAGTGTTAAATATTGAAATTTTAGCAGTTACCTAAGCTGGTAGGGCCTATAAAGCGCCTGTAGAAAACAAGTGACTTAGTGACATCAAACAAGTGACTATATTGTACCCAATAGTAAAAATATTAGCAGCGTGGCAGCGTCTTCAAACAAATTCGCGCATCACTATTGTGGTATAATATATCTGCCTAAAATAGACAAGAAAGAACCTATATACCTATATATATATATATATATATATATATATATATATATATATATATATATATATATATATATATATATATATATATAACATGTGTAAAACAATGTGCCCTCCCGGCTATCACTAGAGCGCAATGGTGACTCCTATATATATATATATATATATATATATATATATATATATATATATATATATATATATATATATATATATATATATATATATATATATATATATATATATATATACCCATTTGCAAAAACGTTGGCCGCAGATAGATAGATAGATAGATACTCGAGGTCTAATTAGAATTGCATATGATTACATTTGCATAGGATTTCAATCATATTACACAACATATGCAATTCTAATTAGATTTCGAGTATCTATCTATATATCTATCTGCAGCCAACGTTTTTGAAAATGGGTGTATATATATAAATATATATATATATATATATATATATATATATATATATATATATATATATATATATATATATATATACACATATATGTATATAAAGAGTTGGTATCATAAATGCATACAAGAGTTATTATAGAAAGTTAGTAGCTATGTATAAATTACTGATTTATAGAGTTAATATTATATCGAAATATCGAGAACTTCTTGGTGTCTTTTTAGGTAGTTGGTATACCACATTAGATGCGATATTACATCAAACAGTTTTGGAGGAAATCACTGAAAGGTATACCTTCTGTGGAACACTCAACACCAGCGTCACTGTAGTGAAAGCAAAAAAAATGAATAAACTCCGTTGACCAATTATTGTGAGGACAGCTTAAAATACTCTGCTCTTCCCCAGTACATGCGACGCCAGATAACAACGATCTTCTATAACCAGGAGGTGTCTCAAGCTTAAGGGCCCTAACAGCATCTAGGTAACCAAGTTGACGACATACAACCCTGGCATCCGTTATATCCCATTCACGATCGCAAATTGTTCCCCAGATTCCATTTAGATATACTTCAACACGACCAGTACCGTTTGAACTTAATGGTCCTTGTAACCTTACCAATACAGCTGTAAGATATTAAAAGTTTTTCTCTCTCAGCCATGTATCATATGTAAAGTCCCACACATATTTAAACACATGTGTTGATCATTTCAGATATAAATATATATAAAATATATATTTATAACAGGAAATTTTGCATAGCCAACTATTTCGGTCTATTGTGTGTCTCTACATATGGCAGCAGAATTACAGCGGATTTGCATATGAAAGTTAGCATGAAAATTGCCAGCTCACTAGTAAATGAGACGAATATGAACATATTTTACTTGCTTTAAGAAGAAGGTTATTCCTCAAATTTTGTCTTCATATTTTGGGTATATTTCAAGAAGTATTTATAATTTTTGTACACGATTTTGGCAAAAGGCTAATGGTAGATTTTGAATAAATCTGAGATGAGAAATAGCGTTCCTGTGGATTTCAGTGTTTATAGCATGCATATACGCGTCTACAGGACCTACGCTGGAAGAACCATATTCTCAAAAGAAATGGTAAATTAAATTCATTAGCACCTACTTTTTAAAGAAGGCTCTTCATAGTTATTCAATAACATATCGCTTATTAGAACGCTTATTTTATGAACGCAGCTCACCATTTTTATATCTATAATTATGCTACAAGTTTGTATTAATTTTGCAAGGTAGCTTGTGTTTATTGGTGCATCCACTATCGAACAGCAACGTATCGCGGTCTCATTGACCAAAAATAGTTGGCATTGGTTCAAGATACTGTCCTTCGTATTCGTAATTTAAATAGAGACTTAAGCATGTTGGACGGCAACACGACGACGACGATGCTGAAATTCTCCTTTAAATAATTATTATGGCAAAGTGGTGGTTGTTTACTATTAACTGTACAGATTTAGTGTGATTTAAGGCGTTAAAAACATTGTGTTTATGGACAATTCTATATAGAACTTTATTCGAGGTAGGGCTCGCTGGGCCTGAAATGCAACTGTTCTAGGCAAGACGTAAAAAACGACGTCCTCCCGCTGTAAACAGAACGAAAACAACGTCTAAAACCCACCACGTGCACAGGTGTTAATTATTCATTTCTTTTCAATGACCCATTGTATTGATAGCCGTCGTCATCGCGTTCGCGTCCTACAGGGTTTCTATTAGGGACCTTAAGCATGTAGAACGCGAACGCGACGGCGGCTATCAATACAATGGGTCATTGAAAAGAAATGAATATTTAAAGACCCATGATGGGTTTTAGACGTCGTTGTTGTAGGTTCCCTGCGCAGCGCCAGCAGCTCCTTAATACAGCGGTGGTTGTTTTGAATACTTATGTAAATATAGTTTAATTAATAGTTGATCTAATGTAATTTGATATGTAGTGATGTCACCGGTGGATAAAACGACGTATTGTTGTTGGCCTTGGGCAGAGGCTTCGAGATCGGTGAACGAGACGCGTTAAACTTGTGTAAATAGCTAATCAAATCAATCTAATAAATATTACAATCAAGAAAGATACAGTCCCCTGAATCGGGGTTTGAATGCGCATTAGTACGGCAGAAACCAAGTTGGAGGTTCTGCGATAGTCGTCTTCGTTCTGTTTACAACGGGAAAACGTCGTTTTTTACGTCTTGCCTAGAACGGTGGCATTTCAGGCCCAGCGAGCCCTCCCTCGAATTAGGCTCTATAGAATTGTCCTTAAACATGAACACAATGTTTTTAACGCCTTATATCTCACTGAATTGGTACAATTAATAATATAAAACAACAACTTTGCCATAGAAATATTTAAAGGAGAATTTCAGCCGCGTCGTCGTCGTGTTGCCGTCCTACATGCTTAAGGTCCCTATTGTTTCAGTATACTGCGGTCCGGTGATCATCAGTTTCGGCATAGACGTTCAATTAACCATACCGAACCTAGCAATACCCAGGTAGGTAACTCCTTGTTAAAACTTTGGGAAACGGCTGCATGTTCCTTTGAGCTAGAGGTGGGTGGCAAAGGCAATTTTATTGCTATAAACTTTCATTTCGTTAGAAGTTTCGAGAACGGGAGAATTGATCACCCTAATTTGCGGTAATATAGCAACAGCTAAAATAAAATATCATATTATACTTCATTGAATTTAGATCGTTTAATCGGTTGATAATGGTCATGTCTTATTGATCATAAATAGAAAGTCCCATCTCCCAAGAGTGCAATCGAATGCGTTCCATTGCACTCTCACTCCAGAGTGCAATTGTACTATACATTTGTCTCATTGCACTCTTTATGCTTTAAGCAAATCCCATCTGTCAAAATCCTTCTCGCAACCGTGGACCTTGGCCAAAATTTAATTAGATTTCTCAACTTATTGACGATTCACACACTGAAAATACAAAAAGACAAATAAAATACGCTGTTTCTCGTATGAATTCGTTTGCAGTATCGTGGTTGTGTATTTACAATGGTTGTTTATTTGCATAATGGCGATCAAAAATAAACTCTATGAAACTGATGTATTTCATCGCGTTGGCGACTACATTTACGCGTCTTTTTAAGCTTCTAAAAAGCAATGTAAATACTGAGTCTTTACAAACCAACTCTGGACATTTGCCGATGCCTGCCAACAACAAGCAGAAATTGGAGCTGTAATTAAGGTACCTAATATGCTCGGAGTATATTCTTTCTTATACAATTTCAATCGTTAAAATATTCTTTGTCGGGAACATACTTGGGCATCTCGAGCACTTCTCTAATTTTCAGTTGTTAAAAATCGATAAGATTGATGTTGTTTTGGACGTGAAAAAACATGACTTCTCAATTGTGGGTTGCATAGAAAGCAAATTTTGATAATTCTCTTTTAATTAGCGCTTAATCACGCATGCTTGGCAACCATAATGGCCTGCATTTCCGGTCAAGAATGCATTACACGAATAATTTGCAAAATATATAGTAGGACTTTATATAGTAAAAATTATATAGTAACACTTTATACCTTTCGAAATACATTTCACTCCGGCGTCTTGATAATGAGAACAAGAGTGATCCCCCCAACTATCATGAGAACAGCTTGTTAAATTTTGTTCATCACCAGTACAAACTAAGTTGGCTAGCCATATCTGACCAGAACCAGAAGGAAACGAGTTCCTCTGAAGCGTGCGTACATGTACATTATCAGGATCATAACCAAGTTGACGACAAACAACCCTAGCATCTCTCATATCCCATCCATTATCGCAAATTGTTCCCCAATATCCATGATAGAATACTTCAACACGACCTGCACCATTTGCACTGTGAGGTCCTTGTAATCTTAGTTTCACGGACTTAATATCATCTGGGTAATCTTTAAAAAAGTTGTGTCAGTCTGTTTTTAAAATTAGGCTGGGCCATATGTAATAAGTATCATCTAATTTTGAAAATAGCCCATGCAGGCCGTACAAAGGGAGTCAGTCGATCATGGGACGAATATATGAATATGAACACCCGCCCTAATTCAATTAAGTTTCTAAAAAAACATGCAAGACATGTAAATTAGCAATTAGTCAAAAACAGAGATATATTTCTCTATATATATATATGAATATTTAAAAAATAGATAACATTTAACTCTTGTCTGTTCAGCTATAGAGACACGGTACGGTCATTTGCGATAAGAAAAAAAACGTCTCATCACAAATAACTTAATACCGCGTATCTTTAACTGAACGGACAAGGGTTAAATGTTATCTATTTATTTTATAAATAAAATCGAAAAGTTCCCAAATTAAACGTTCAAATAGTTTTTTTTGTTTCTCCCAAGACACGTAAGAAAATATAATTGGCTGACAAAATAAACAAGCGATGATTGACAAAATTCGGTAAAATTTTCTGTGACGTTTTCCGTGCGTCTATCCTCTTAAAGATCATGGTTCTCGATCAATGAAATTGGTTGGATTCTTTTAACCCTAAAACGTTATATTATATAAATTAATTGGGGCATCAAGGAGATTAGGACATCCATACCGGTTTTGGAACATTTCACTCCAGCGTCTTGATAATGAGAGCAATAATCAACTCCCCAAGGGCTGTGGGAACAACTTGCGATATTTTGTTCCTCCCCCTTACAAGCGACATAAGCTAACCATATTTGTCCAGAGCCAGAAGGAAAAGTGTATCTTTGAAGTGGTCTGAAAGCATCTCTATACCCTAGTTGACGACAGGCTACCCTAGCATCCCTCAAATCCCATCCATCATCACAGATTGTTCCCCAATGGCCGTTGTAAAATACTTCAACACGACCAGTACCATTTTCACTTAATGGGCCTTGTAACCGGAGCGACACAGGTGAAGCTGGCATATCTTAAAAGAACATCGTCGCGCGATTAACGTTTGTATTACTAATCTGTTCCCATATCATGTGATATCTTCCCAGATAAAGTCAATGAGACAATGACACGTTCGTATTATAGAGGGTCATAATTTATGGACAAATTTTTCCGAATATTGAGTCTAGGCTTTTGGATGGTCTGTACTAGTCGACAGTGATTATTGTACTAGTCGAAAATTGGGTCAACCAAGACAAAGCAGAAATGAAGGACATTGTCATTGATTAGGTCTGGTTGTCCCAAGATTAGGATTAAGCTGCAAGAGTCCATCATTGGCATCAACTCTCTCCTTTATAGCATAATGAAGCAAAGAGGCGAGCAATGTACACTTTTGTAAATACTTCGTATTGAATGATAGAAACACTATTGAGCTTTGAGTCATTTGATAATATAAGTTCCGATTAGGCTTGTTCAGGAAATTGGGTGTTTGCTTTTAAATAGCGAGTCGTTGCATCATGCATCTAGTTGTCGTATTAGTACGGCTTTAAGACGCATGGTCGACGAAAAGAAGTGAATATCCTTGTTCTCAGTGCAATTTAAAGTTAAACTTTAAACTGTAAGCTTGTGGAATTCTTTAGAGGCACATTTCAAACTTTGCCCCAACGTATCCAGTTTCAAGAAAAGCATTCGAAACAAACTTTTAATCGACTTTTTAGCAAATTAAATATATTAATTAATGTAAATATAGGCTAGCTTATAATCTTTTATATATTATCATACCGATTTTGTAATTATCTTTGAAAAGCCCCTTTGAGGAAAAGATAATAAATTTCACTATCACTAACTTGAAGGCGGTTATAAATACAATAAGTCTGATATGAATTTCATTGGGAACTCAGTCATACCTGTTGTAGCACATTCAACTCCAGCGTCTTCACTGTGAGAACAATAATCAACTCCCCATCCTCTGTGATGACAACTTGTTATATTTTGTTCCTTTCCATTGCAATCGACGTAACCCAGCCATATCTGTCCAGAACCAGAAGGAACCTGACCACGATGAAGTGCCCTAGCAGCATCTTTATAACCAAGTTGACGGCATACAACCTGAGCATCTCTTATGTCCCACCGATCATCACAAATCGTTCCCCATTCATTATTGTAGAATACTTCCACACGACCAGTACCATTAGCACTTATCGGTCCTTGCAATTTTATCAATACCTCTTGAAGGTAATGAAAATAGTATTTCAATTACAATAATAGAAAGTTATTTCATCTTTTAAAAATCTAGCACTAATCCCGTCCAATCCTGGGGGATTTTTATTTTCTCCGAGTCGGTCCGGACAACCGTGCGAGGGTACTAATTTGCCTTAATAGTATAATAAAGTTAAGGGCAATTTTGTTATGTAGTGCTACCATGATAATAATATCACCTGTGTTTGAACACTCCACTCCGGCGTCTTGAGAATGAGAGCAATAATTAACTCCCCAACCATTATAAGAGCAACCTGTAATATTATATTCCTTTCCATTACAAGCAACGTGGGCTAACCATATCTGTCTAGAACTTGATGGAACAGATGGGACCAGGTTTCGGTAAAGCGTTCTGGCATGTACCCCATTTAAATCATAACCAAGTTCACGACAAACAACCCTAGCATCTCTGATATCCCATCCATAATTGCAAATTGTTCCCCAATATCCATGATAGAGAATTTCAACACGGCCGATACCATTCCCGCTTAATGGTCCTTGTAACCTCACTCGGATAGGGTTAGTGTCGAAATCTAAAAGGAATTTCGGATGCTATACGAGAACTAATGGGTTAGACCTTAATTAATTCTTGGCGTATAGCACAATATTATATAATAATATATTTTCCAACCACACCTAGTGGAGTAAAATATTCTGGGAGTTGTAATGTTATAACAATATATAGTATACATTATGATTATCAGCGGCCCTTATTTCTGTATATTGCGGTGGCTGTCTAGAGTTTTAATTAGGTTGCACACATAATATTCTTATAAGTTTGATTAGTGTCCTCAAATAAGTAAATTTGCGCAATAAGTTAATCAATTGCACCGATGAAGGCCCGGGATAACGTACCAAAAGCTTTGCAGTATTTGCATAGATTATTAGTTTAAATAATGGCATTTAAAAAAAATCGTACGAGCACTTAATTTGTAATCCTCAAAAAACCTTTTTTAGAATAAATCAAATCGGCTCGTACGATTTTCTTAAAACTTGCATATCTTACGCACTTCAATATTAGAGAAGTTTTAAAAATATTAACCGAAGGAAACACGAGAAATATACGATTATTTTTATATTCAGGACATCACAAAAAATGAGGATTTTAATTTCATTGCGCGACAACACGTGTGTATGGCTATCTAACCACGTTTTGGTGCAAATGTATATATCTATTGGAATTACATTTCCTACAGGGGCGGATCTGGGATAAGTCCAGTCAGTCGCGCGCTTACGTATTTTTAGGTAATAAAATGACAATCAAATATTCAAATCTATCCGCCCCTGATTCTTGCCAAAAAATATTGCTAATATAAACAATGGCATTATTTCATTTATTAATGATTTTCGCCTGTATTCTAAAAGCTCACTCACACTCACACTTGACGAGTGGACGCTTATGCTCAATGAGTGAAACTTAAAACTCAATGAGATCCCCCTCGAACTCTTTGAGTTGATTGTTACACTCACACTCCAGTCATTCAAAGACGTTACTCACCCTCCAATGAGGCCTAAAAATGGAGTGAAGTGTGAGTGAAATGTATACCTCCCTTGACCCGCACTCACGAGTGTGTATGTCATAAAAACATGGCCGGCAGATCGCTATAAATAGACTGATTGCCGTCGATAATATTATATTCAATAACAGAAATAAAATGAAGACATATACGTTCAATATAGACACGTATGACGATGAGCAATTTAGGAGGATATATAGGTTAACAAAGGATGCTTTTCAGGAGTTGCTGCGGATTATTCGACCACATATACGTGCACATAACGACAGGGGAAGACCTATTCCCGCTACTATTCAACTGCTGACAACTCTCCGATTTTATGCGACTGGTTCGTTCCAGTTAGCATGTGCGGACTTATGTGAAATATCCCAGCCATCAGCAAATCGCATTATAAAACGCGTGTCGGAAGCTAATGCTCGTCTAAAGAATAATCACATAAAATTCCCTAATGAGAATATGCAACAGCAAAGCAAGCTTAATTTCTGGCGCATTGGTGGATTTCCCAACGTTGTTGGAGCAATAGACTGTACCCACGTTAAAATTACATCTCCCGGGGGTCAAAATGCAGAACTGTATCGAAATCGAAAAGGGTATTTTTCCATTAACGTGCAAGTTGTTTGCGGAGCAAATTTGGAAATTCTAAAATAATATTGTCACACGCTGGCCAGGTAGTGTTCACGATGCGAGAATTTTTGATAACAGTCGCTTATGTGCAAAGTTTGAACGAGGGGACATTGATGGCATTTTATTGGGCGACAGTGGCTATCCATGTCGGCCTTATCTGATGACACCACTGTTGAATCCGCAAACACCGCAAGAGCGAAGATATAACATGGCCCAAACATATACGGACGAGAAATACGATAGAGAGAACATTTGGATTATTAAAGAGACTATTTCCATGCTTATCAATGAGTCTACGTACAAAACTAGAAACAACACTCACTATTATTGTTGCTACAGCTACTTTGTACAACTTTGTCCGAAGCCGAAATGATCCGTTTGAAGAACCGGACTATATTCCAGAGAAAGATGACGAGATTCCGGATGTTGAAGGTCATGATGGACGATTGGGTTTTGCTGTGCGCGACGCCTTGATAATACAACATTTCACTTAAATTATAATAAGCCATCTTTAATATGTTTGAGAAAGGTTTCAAAACAACGGTTCAAAGCAATGTTTCAAATACTATTTACATCATATATATACCTGTACATATTGTATATATTATATAAGTTATTTATACCGTTTGCCAACTTGATTTGTAAGAATCGTCTATCACAACAACATATTAATTAATGAAATTGTTGTAATATGACGTTTTTTGTTTAACATCATTCACTTCAATAATTATTGTTTGTGCATCCTAGCACGGGTGAATGGTCTCTGCTGTTCTTCTTCGTTAGGTTTTACGTGTTTTCTCATCGAATTCCAATACTCCAGTTCAGCGTTCAGCACTTCAAGCTTTCTTGTGTGTTCAGTGATCAATTGGGGTTTTTTAATAACCAACAATTCCATCTCCGCCTCATGTTGTTGTTCTTGCATGCTCAAACAACGCTCTTGAGCCGCAGATATTGGTTTCTTTGTGGTCGTTGGTAACGAAAAGGCAGCTTCTACAACAGTTGACGGTTGTTGATGCGGAGTAACTGTTGATGTTGTACCAGACTGAGCCTCGCCATTTTCGGTTTCTATTAAATGAATGAGAATTGAAACATGCCCAATACCATAATCTTTCTACTATATAGCATATACCCTTACCAGATTCGTAGTTATCGTCATCAAAAGGGTTTTCTAGGCTGACTATTTGAGCAGGGATTATTCAAGCAATAGCCGATGATTGTTCGTCTGCAAGTGATGTGGATACACCACCACCAGTTAATTTAGCGGCCCGTTTTTCTTTAGCAAGAACCTTTTTGGCACGCATCTTCAAAGTTTCCCAACATTTTTTAAGTTGCTTTGCATCCCGCTTAGTCACACCTGACTGCGAATTAAATTCTTGCGATAACGTTTCCCACAACGCGTTTTTCTGGGATATTGTCCTAAAATCATTTCTTTTACTTTCCAGGACGTCTTTGTGTTTTGCCACTAACTCTGTAAGAAGTGACTTTTCTAGTTGTGAAAAATACTGCCTGCCTTGGGACATCTCACTGCACGTTGTCTTTGGACTTCACAGCCGAGAAAATCAAACTCTTATATACATGATTATTTACTGAACTGCACTCCAGTTAGTCGCACTTGAGTAAGCTTTTTGAATGCAATTTGACCAG